TACATAAAGTTCGTACTTTATTTATTTAGTTATTTACATGTGTAAATAACTAAATAGATATTAGATAGTCAATAGATATCAATAGGCCAATAAAAAATGATCGCCACGTCTATATACATAGGTATAAGAATTGAGAATATTTACCTATCACGATTGTATAATGTATTTTCATTCATGTTCTTCTAATTATTGATCTAAGTAAAAAAAGATTCAGTCACATAACGAACTAGTAAAATCAGTTTATATTACAAGTGGTTACAACCACAGGTTAGTTTGCGGTCATTTAACTTGGCGCAGTTAACACCAGGCTACGGTTGGATACATATGACCCCAATGGCTGGAGTGTGTTGCTATATATGTACTTTTAAGACACTTTTAATTGGCTAACGAATATTTTCGGTCGGGCGGAGCATAGAACTCTGATACACCTATAAATGAAAAAATATCGGTAGAAACGGACACAGAATTGTGCCAGCTCTTTACTATTTTTTCTCTTTTATACAACATGTATTATTTTTTTTTTCCACACCAAACTAATATACAATTTATAAAATTACAAAACATTTTTTAAAACCGTTATAACGGTTTTATATGTGTAATTCTATAGAGTATTAAAGACAATGTTTATGCATTTTGGAATGTTCCATGAGCTTTTTTTTTACTTACCACATTAAAAGTGATTCATATGTATGTGAATGCTAACATTTCTAGTGTATTCATTGACATATATATTCATTGTTGTATATTGTTATATATAACAACATAGGTTTTAATTGCAGGAAATTCCATAATATTTTACGATACAACTATTAGCAACATAACAACAACAAGGAAGCAGAAACCCAATACTGAAAAAACACCCATTGACTCCATTCTTTATGATTTGGCAAAAAGTCAAGAGCAAAACAAAGTGATTTTTGCTTAACAAAGTCCAATTGTCTTTATCTAGATTTAAAAGATTCCCAAGATTTCAACCAGGAACTAATTTAATACGATTATTTTTTCGACCTGACTTTAAATATTAAGACAAACCTATATTTGAGATTATTTGTGCGTAACATTTTTTGTTCAAATTTTATCGCATTGTCAACAGAAAAAAATATTTTTATGATATAAAAGGAAAATTGAGGTAAAGTCACTAATGTCAGACAGTGACCTACAGGATGACACTTTTAAGATTAAATTACAAGAACGACGGGAAGAGACGCGTGGACGTCGAGTGTAACAGCTTAAGTGTATAAAGATAAAGGGGTTTGCAAAAACGAATCTGGATGCCCAAAATAATTATTGTCGCGGACGAAGTCGCTGACACAGCTAGTTAATTATATAAAAAAATCTTTTAAGAAGCACTTCGAAGTCAAATATTATTATGCTATCTATATTGTGTCTAATATGCATTAAACTTGACTTCCTCATTTCAGTGCCTCAGCAGTAAGTAATAAATGACTAGCACTAGCAACAAGACTGATCTAAGAGTTGAATATCATAATATATATAAGTAAAGAGTATAAGTAGAAATACTAGAATGTATATTGTATATAAAAAAAATGAATAAGTAACTTAATGACAAATTTGTAGTAAGGTTTACTTTGAATGCTTCTAATCCAGTGCAAAAAGCTTGTGATATTTATCTACTCATTTAGTAATTATTAATAGGTAAGCGCAATTCATTTGTCCTTAAGAACTTATGACACAAATAAATTTAGTCAATAGTAGGTGTAACAGTTTTTGTTCAAATTAATAATTGTTCAATGCATACAAGTACAGGTATATATGATGTAAATAAAAAACAACGATTACAACTTTAAATACTTATTAGCTACCAAAGAATAAGTCCATATTTATTGAGCACAAATATTACCTACCTACATATTTTGTTCAAGCAACAATTGTCTACTTTCCCTATGAATAAATGTGAAAGTGTATCGGATTCTTTGTTCTTGATTGATGCAACAAACTAAGTAGTACAATTTTTGCTAATACTTAATTTTTTACTCCACTTTTAATATTTTAACAACTTATGGAGTAATATCTTAGTGTGTGTGTGTGCGTGCGTGTGTGATAGTACTTAGATATTGTAATCATGATTTATGTAAGTAATTACAAATAAAAAAAAATGAATTAGTGAAATGTAGTAAATGTATACATAACATATATACATTAATGACTTACTCGTTTTTTTTAATTCATGTAATGGGCTTTAAACTTACTAGATTATGTCTATGAAACTATGATTACACTAAACTTATTCTTTTCGCGGCGAAATTGCGCTTATCGAAAAAATTTAGGTTGCCAAATGCGCCTTCGTCCCAGATAACGTAATCGGTTGCCGAAATATGCAATGTGCTTGTAAAATAGCAACGTAACACAACTAACAACTAAAATAAAAATACTTAGTATAAGTATACTCTGCGTCAAACAAATATACATAGAAAATTATTGTCTTGATTGTATTAGTTTATATGGGAAAATATCTATTTGTGTGAATTAAATTACTGATATTAAACCAATAATATAATAAAAGTAAATAAAATTACACTTATATGAAACTACTAAAATTGTATTAACATTAAATGTCCAATAATTCAGATATGCATAAAATACCTGTTTTATATCTGTGAAGTGATAAAGATATTTGCTGTGGTTTTGGTTTTCAAAGTAATAAAATCAAATAAAAGTTGTAGATAACTATACCATAATTAATACAAAATGCTCCCAACAGATTTTTTTGCTAATAGCATATTTGCAATTGATATTGACGATAAGCATAATATTCTACATTTTGATTACATACAGCTCATTAGATATATATCAAATTTCAATTAGTAAATGTATTTAAAAGACCAGTTGGTATATTTAACCCATTATTTTCCATTTAAATTTAAGCAAAATGCACAGGCTTATGCTTAGATTTATTAAAACATTTGATCAATTTTAATGCAGATAATTGAACACAGACATTTTAATATGCTGAAAATAACATCATATTTTCTGCTGCTGTGCACTAGAGGATTCTAATAATGTAAAAAAAAATCTTGTTTAAAATCTATCACTGAACATGTAACATGTGCACACAGTATATATATAGCAATATCTATATGAAATGATATTCTCATTGGTCATTTTATGTGAGCATTTACTAATCTAAACAGTTTGCAATTTTACATACTCTAATAGAGGAGGTATTAATTCATAATATTAATGACGTTTTATGCCATGCTTAAATATTAATTGGCAATAAATAAGCATCAAATGTAGATGTAATGTGCATAGCCTGATAGTCAAATGAATGCTTCGAGAATTTTTACGAGGTTTAATATGCATTCTTATAAGTAATAGCCATATACTTACTAGTAATGTTCCTAAATTTCCATCTCGAGCAGCGTTGTGGGCATTGAAAATTGCTGATCTCAAATCCATGATGGTTCTATTTACGACGTAAAAACTAACATCAACGATCAAAATATCACTTTACGAACAGCACTTTCTTCTGAATATAATCATCGGAACAGACACTCTATCACTTTTTTAATTAAGAAAAGAATGAATAGATTTTAAAACACTACGAAGTCCCGCACCACTCACCACTGCTCAATTTTTCAGCAGTGGCACTAGGCAGACGACGGCACGCGATTCACAACAATCTCGATCAGCTTTGGTATCCGCCACAGCTATCTGCAGTCAGTCACAAAGTCAATTGCCATTGATGAAAATAGACAATTTACCAGGGCTGCCATTTGGCAAATATTTTTTTTAGAACTTTTATTGCAAGTTGGAGTTTATATATAGGCAACACTCGATTTAAAAAGATGTTAGATTCTTTATTTGCAATTCACAGGATATTGTTTTATCTCTTCTCTTCTCGACACGCCGGACGGAACAAGTTAGGGTTTTTGTATGGAGGCATGTACATATATCATTCCAAACTATGTCAACAGTAAAACAGTGCAAATATCCCTCCTCTGCCTTCCCCGAGCCGAAGCTTCCACGCGGAACGACGATAGTATTCTCCAACAGCAACGATGTAAAAAGTTTTATTTAACTTAATTAATTACAAATAAATATAATATTATGAGTACTCATTTAAGTGGACCTTGTTAATTTATTCATACCATTATTTCTTAACAAATGAATAAAAGCACTACTGTCTACATGGTAACCTATATCAGCATATTATTATTGCTATATCCTATAGTCTTCCTCTGTTTTAGTAATCGTTTGAAGCAGAAAAAGTAAAAGATTATGCAATTGATTTGTCAGAAGTTAAGACCGACCGAGAGAGACCTAGAAAAAGATCTACAAGTAGTATTCTTGACTCTCCTTGAAATAATTAAAGGTTAAAATGAATTTCAAGAAGATAAGTTATTTATGACTAGTTTAAAAAAGAGATCTTTCATCTTTTCTGTTTTGTCTTGGTATCTCTTTCAAAGATAGGTATGATTTTGTAGGGGAAGCCATAAAATTAATAAGAAGAAGAAAACCATTTTGAGTAATGGTGACAGCTGACATTTATGACATACAATTAATAATTCCTTTATAGAGTTGACAATGTAGGTGACAACTAAAAAAATTGTGGCGTGGATTATGTTATATATACTTATGTACTAGTTTCACTATGTGTAGAAAAATGGATTTTTGATTCATTATTTTCGTCGACATAATGATAAGTTGGAATTGTAAAACCGATAAAACGCGACAGCTGTAAATACACATAGAAGTTTTACGAAACTGATGACGTCCGATAGCCTTCTTGAAGTTTGCAACAAAAATTAACGGCAAGCATTAAGCCGTTTCTACATTAACATCGAGAATTGATATGGTTTTAATGTCGAAAGTTTACATGTAAAAGTTTTTGCATATCATTGTGCTTATAATGTTCTATTACGAAATTATATTTCAAATTTTATAGCAGTAGGTCTTTGGTAATGCCGCTCAGTGTACTTATTATGAAGGAGTATGGGATAATGTTTTATTCTGTATTTGTTTAAATTCTTACAAAAATGTATCCTACACCAGCGCGGCATCAAGCTGCTCCTGTAAGGGTACGTATTACTTTTTGATTTGTAAACAATGCCATAAAATTTGTTGTAATGTAATGATGAGTATTTAAGTCAAATGTTACCATTTTATATGTGTTTAAGGGCCCCCAACCTTCTGGAGGACAAATTAAATTTACTATAGCAGACACTTTAGAGAGGATTAAGGAAGAATTTAATTTTTTACAAGCACAATATCACACGTAAGTTTTTACTCAACTGTAGCTTATGAGATTTTTAGATGAAGCACATTGTAACATAAAATTTTGATAATCATTAGATTTAATCATTATCCCATTAAACATGTATATTTTTATTATTTTATTTTTACTAGTTTAGTGACTTTATTTATCTGTGCAATATATAACTCCTTCTATATTTATGAAATGTAACAGTAATTTTACTATTGTTTTAACTTAGTTATTGATATAATGAATATTTATATGTAGTTTGTTTATGATGCTTCTAATTTACAGGCTGAAGTTGGAATGTGAAAAGTTAGCTAGTGAAAAGACAGAAATGCAAAGACATTATGTAATGGTATGTCTAAATATCAATTGATTTTTATGTATTATTACATTAACGAAATCTTATTTTATTTATTTTTGTTTCAGTACTATGAGATGTCCTATGGACTGAATGTTGAAATGCACAAACAGGTAAGAATTATATTTATTAGGCTATCTCAAGAATAGTTTTCTTTAAATTACCGTTTGAAAAAATTGCACTTTGAGATTATAATCACTATTGTTACACTATTCTCATGACTTTATCATCATAACTTGAAATAATTGAAATAGAATTCTAGCTGGAGTCTCATAGTCAAGCAGATATAATGAATTCATAAAATACTTTATATAATGGTGAGTAATATTAACACTGAATCCTCTTAATTTTAGACAGAAATAGCAAAGCGGTTAAGTGCAATTATTGGGCAGGTGTTGCCATTTCTCGCCCAAGAGCACCAACAGCAAGTGGCGTCCGCCGTAGAAAGAGCTAAGCAGGTCACTATGTCTGAACTTAATGCTATTATAGGGGTAAGTTCTTTGTTCGTATCGCAAAAGAATACAAACATAACTACTTGCACAACCCCCGAAATGTTTTATAATATGCTTCACCGAGATAAGTCTTGTGTGTGGTAAATTATAACTTTTCTAAAGCCTGTATTTACTGGTAATCACAACATGTTGTGATGAAAAAGTATAAGTTACATCTGTTTAGTCTAATAATTAAGATGTTTTTCTAAATGTTGTCCGCAGCAACAACAACAACAGGGACTGCAGCAACTCCTTGTAAGTTGGTCAGAAATGTGCTTGGTTTTGTTTTTTTTGTTGTGATTAACACCACTTTTGTGTTGCTAGTTTTTTTTCATACACTATTCAGTATGTCATTATAACTAAACTACTGTCAATATTGTTATCTTGAAGAGATAAGTAGGTTTAACATGAGTGTTTTGTACAGTTTGCGTAGGATTTAGAAAACTAGTCATTTTCTTAAATACAGATAGAAATATGTTTGTAAAGTAAAAATGATATCTACGAAGAAATATGTAATTTTTTTTTTTTATTAAGTTCCTTTTAGATTTCAGTTTTCCAAAATATATATACCTAAGATAATTTTTTTAAGCTAATAAATTTATGTGACTACTAATTTTGGGCCTATTTGTCATAAAGCTATATTTAGATATACAGTACATGTTAGATACAAAAAGATAAATACTTTATTAACTAGAGTAGCTAAGGATACAAAAACAATGCGCTAACTATATCATTACGATTACATTTTAATAGCAGTCTTAAACCAATATAACCATTTCATATCGCCATACACATATAAAATTAATTGAGTTTCCACCTAACTCCACTTCCCATTAAACTCAAGCACCATTGACTTCACGCATTTACTTTGCATATGGCACTTGTATGGCTTTAAGAATCGTTTTATATCATACTCAACAACATTATTTTATGTAGTAGTTGAGATATATTTATTAGACTCTAAGAATTAATAAAACTCTTTAAAAATTGGTCAAGTTTGCCAAACTGAATTAATAGAGCGTTGTATCTTTCCCACAATACTCTACAAACGACAAGGACGCAATATAATGAGAGCTCTATTTGTGCAACGTTCATTTTTATGCTAATCAGGACAAATTTAATAGTGTAATGCTATAATTATGTGACAACCAATATATATCAGTGTTTGATAGTTGCATTGTTTGCAGCAACAGATCCACGCTTCAGCTGGATTGCCACATGGTGTTGGCGGTGCAGGGGCATTACTTGGTGCTGGTGGACTTCTCTTCCCGGGCGCTGGGCCACCACCCACGCCCCATTTGCCACCACCAGCTCACAAGGTACTAAATGTGAATATAATTTGAACAAACTGCCCTTTATACTGTTGTATGAACAGAGAATAAAAGGAACCCATAGAAAAACGAAATATCCTGTAGGCAGACGCTTATCCATGTCCGCTTAAATACTGTCTGTACTTTACGCGAGAACACATTTAAATAAAACACTTTAACGGTTTTAAACGCGATGTATGTTAATTAAAGTTCCACTTTATTTCCAAATAATTTTAAGTACATAATATAATATATCGCGTTTTAAACAGTTAAAGTGTTTTATTTAAACGTGTCAGCTTAACTTATTAATGTTATCTACAAAAGTGATTTTCAGACTTATGTAAGTGGCCAAATGTAAAAACTAGACATTTTAAGCTTGGGACTGGATTTGTTTAATTTAGTAGAAGGCGCAATTAAAAAACTTAAATTCTTACAAGTTTGTGAACGAAAGACACGTATAAACATATGACAATAAATTATTCAGCTGTTTTCTTCTTGTTTATAACAGCTGAACAAATAACGAAATGGTTTATGTAGGTCGAGTTACCCCCTCCAACGGATATAAAGCCGCCGTTGACTGGACCCGCCCCTCCACCATTGCTACCTGGACAGCCACCGCCTCGAGATGACGATAGACACGCTTCACGATCAATGGCACAACAGGTAGGGATCCTATAATCAAGTTGTTAAGAAATAAAATATTCAGGAGGAGGTTTGACTATATTAATTTCATGTTATGAGTTAGGAATAAATAAAGCCAAAGAGTTTGTTTGAACGTGCTAATCTAGGAACTACTAGTTCGAATTGTAAAAAAAAATCGTTTTTGTTTTGGCTAGAAAATTTATCGAGGTAGGCTTTAGGCTGTAAACTATCAGACTGCGACTAATAATAGCGAAGCCACTGTTGCAAATGTAGATAAAACGGGGAAAATTATTATAGTTTTCCGATGCGAAAAAGGTTCAAGATACCTAAAAAATATTTAGAAAAGAACAGAAAAGACAGTATATGCCTCGCTTTTAAGATTAACTTTCAAGAACGACGGGACGCGACGACGTTGTGGGTAGCAGCTTAAATCTATAATATTAAGGCCCAACCAATTTGGATGCCCTAAATAACGATTCTCGCGGACGAAATCGCTGACACAGCTAGTTATAAATATTATTGGGTTTTCGGAAAGTCATTTCGTTCTTTTTGTGGAACATGAAAGACAATTTTCGTATAATGAATAAAAAATTCTGGTCCAACACCTTTTGCCATCTCGTGTTAGTCGCCGATTTGCATCAACTAATGCCTTTATCGCACCTTTGTCAGCTTCGACCGGCCTTCCAGACCGTGGTGCATCTTCGACATCAAAATTTTGCAAACCAGTTCTGGCACTGGCGTACTGTTAACACGCCTTCTCCATACACATCCATCAATTTTTCTCGCTTTTACCTTTTCTGAAGTAAAAAAGTAAAATATGACGAAAATGCTGCTTATTGCTCTCCATATTTAAAAGGGCACCAACCAAAAACTACTGTGTAGAATTAATAGAACTTTTTCACACACAAGCCTTGCAATATCAGCTCTTAAGACATAGTGGTTATGCGGCTTAAGTGTGAAGTTGGTTTCGAAAAAACGTAATTAAGCCTTCTGAAGGGGAAAAAACGAAATAACTTTCCGAACAACCTATTATTTATTTTTCTAGCGTCATTCTGTATCGCCACACGAGCGTGAACGAGAACACAAGTACCGTCCTCGTTCTCCGCCCGAGCCGGAGCCACTAGACGCCAAGCGCCGCAAAGAAGACAAGGTACAACATGTCACTGTATCTAGTGTATGTGTCCAGTCTAGTATTGCTTTTTGTGTTGCGTTGAGTGTAAGATTGTCTGTTATTACTTTTTTAACGGTTTAAAACTCGAAATACATTACAAATAAATTTTTATTCATATTTGTGTTTACTATAATTTAGTTCGAGTAATGAAATGAGCTCAAATTAGGAATCCTTGAAGTTGTGTTAAGATACCTTGAGAATACCGTACCTAACAATTTGTGTACCTTGACTAGATATACTTGCTTATATGTGTATAAGCGATACCTAAGTTATATCTAGTTCTACCATTTGATTCTATATTTCTAAAAAGTATATAACAGACAATCTATTAGTTGTTTCTACAGGTCAACTTTTGAAATTACTAATCTTTTTTTATAAATATTATTTTTAAAATTGACCTGGCCGCTTGTAGTTTATTGCTATATTCTTAAAACAGAACATGTACACGTTGGTTTATGAATATATTCTTCAGGATAGCGACGCGGAGAAAAGCGATCAGGATTTAGTAGTAGATGTAGCAAATGAAGAAGAGAGAGGGTCTCCGAGTGTTCGGCCTCACGACGGCGAGAGAACAGAGAACGGGCCTAGACCTCCTTCTCGTTCCGGCTCTTCTTCTAGCCGTTCCACACCCAAAAGCTCGAAAGATGTAAGTAATAGTAATTGATATTCAGGTGTAAAAAACTTAATAAATCTCTTGTTTGGGAAAAAATATTATTCCATCTCTTTCTTTATTTTATTGTAGGCATGTAATGATCATTAGAATTAAGAATTCCTAATCTTTCCTAATTCTATATCCAATTGCACTTATATTTAATAAATAGGGCATCGGCTTAAGGCTTTTCGAGTAGTCTTTTAAATACACTTCTAGATATTTATTTTGATCATAAGATTTTATTTATTAATACCCTTTGAATTACATAAAACTGATCTAATACTGTTTGATAAAAAATGCCGTCAAACGTGAAGTATGACTTGTGTGGTATATTCACAGTACGCGGGAAATAGGTAAACTATAAGATTGCCTACGTATGATGTCATGCACTGTGATTGGTGTTTGAAAAACCGATGAAAAATATCATGACTAACGACAATTTATTTCTTCATTTTAAAATGTTTAATTGAATTATAAAACATTATTTATAAATTATCATAAAACTTACTAAGTAGATTTAATTTTGATTTTGTTTTTTACTTGATTACTGTCGGACAACCTAGTTGTGATATGTGCGTGGATATTATATTAAAGGACTTGCGTAATGTTCTTAAAGAGTATTAATACCAAGTCATTAACAAAAATATATTAAACAGGAAAAACCGGGAACGCCGGGTGCCAAAGGTCGAGCACCGACACCGACCGGCCGTTATGCATTTCCACCTTATGCTGCGTATAGAACCCCACTCCCGTATGATGGACATAGAACCAATGGCATGCCACCTGCCAAACCGTAAGTGATATCTACAAAGCTTATAAAAATATATATCATTTTATTAAAAAAAACTAATAAAGTACAAAATATTTCTATAGCATTTCCTTTTAGAGATGTAGAACGTCAATAAATAAAAAAAGATGTTTTTATCTAAGACCTTTACAGCTGTTTATCACGTAGTTTTTTTTTGTTTAAGTCAATATATAAATAAATTTTGATATATTTTTCGGCTTTTATTTTGTAAAACATATAGAAAAATATTTTTTTTCAGTGCGTATTCATACCACACATGTGGTGGTCCGCTCCAACCTGTGCCTTTCCCCGCTGACGCTCTTGTCGGTCCGGGGATTCCCCGCGGCGCGCGTCAAGTGGCAGCTCTACCTCACGGCGAAGTCGTCTGCGCAGTAGCCTTGTCGCTTAGCAACGGCGCTAGACACGCATACACCGGCGGTAAGGGCTGCGTTAAGCTTTGGGACATCACTAGTCCGGGCTCGCCTAACACATTAGAACCTCTATCGCAGTTAGACTGCTTGGTAAGTCCTATGTTTTAATTAACATAGGTAAATACGGTTCACTTATACAGTCATCATATAATAGCTTTATCTGTGACTTAGTCCGCGTGAAATAGTTATTTTAGGGTATCATATTGTTTATTTTTGTAAACAAACTCCTTTATAATTTTTAGCTGCGCTGCTTCCTGTCGTTCTTGCGAATTAATCTTAAAATATAGACATATACTGTGGCGAAAAATTTTTACATCATTTAAAAAAGAACCCTTATTTTTTACATATTGTGAGGTTTTTTTAATATTTTTCGCAGCGCACGCAACGGAAGCCCAAAGAAGATGAATAATTTTACCCATTTTTTCCACATTTCCCTCTGTTACTTTCTCCTCCTACCGCAGCCTAAAATCATTCATCCGACGAGCACAGAAACATGTTTTCAATTCGAACCAGTTGTTCCTGAGATTACCGCATTCAATCAATCAAACAAACTCTTCTGCTTTATATATTAGTATAGATAGATGATATCATATCACATCACAAATCATACTGCTATTTCACAATACTATTGTTTTAATGGTGAATAAACGACACTAAAACTGCCTTTTTTCCCACTTGTGTACTACTAACTTGAATTTTAAATTGTCTATAATTTCAGCAACGAGATAACTACATCAGATCTGTTAAACTGTTACCTGATGGACGGACCTTATTGGTGGGCGGTGAGGCCTCTAATTTATCAATATGGGATCTATCCTCTCCTACGCCACGAATGCGGGCCGAGTTGACGTCTTCAGCGCCAGCTTGTTATGCACTTGCCATCAGCCCTGATTCCAAGGTAAAGTGTACAGTAGTATACAGTAAAAAACATAGTTCCATACTCTTGTCCTATATAATTGTTCCTGTTTTAATGCTCAAAACTGTGATCACTTTCAGGTATGCTTCAGTTGCTGCTCTGACGGTAACATAGCTGTTTGGGATCTTCATAATCAAACATTAGTTAGGCAATTCCAAGGTATGCGGTATTTTACTACTCGTTCGTCAAGCATTTTTTCGGTTTCCAAATTTAATTTACAAAATATTACAATTTATCTTGCTTGTTAACAAATAAATGTTTTTTAATACAACATTTCTGTAAATATGTTTTTATTTGAATATTAATTATTCTTAGAATGAAACAACAATTCTTATATACCATGAATATTGCTACAGGTCACACCGACGGTGCATCGTGTATAGATATAAGTCCAGATGGAACTCGACTATGGACGGGAGGTTTAGACAATACAGTTAGGTCATGGGACTTGAGGGAAGGGCGACAACTTCATCAGCACGACTTCTCTAGTCAGATATTCTCTTTAGGATACTGTCCTACCGGTGAGTCTTCTTGTAACAAACCGTTCACCCTTTCCGTTTAATTTACGGAATAGTGTATAGTTGTGTAGTCAGAGTTATTTCGAAGGTGTATTATCTTATAGTATATTTTTTCAAACTGCAACTACATTATGGTTTTAAATCGGCCATATTTGTTGTGGTGTTTGCCAAGTTAGAAAAAATACACTATAGTTTGAAATAAAAGAAACTGTATTTTGTTCATAATATAGAGTTTATTTTTTAATTTTCAGGGTCCTGGCTAGCTGTGGGAATGGAGAATTCTCATGTGGAAGTGTTGCACGCGGGTAAACCGGACCGCTATCAATTAGTTTTACACGAATCATGCGTTTTGTCGCTACGGTTTGCAGCTAGTGGCAAGTGGTTCGTCTCCACTGGCAAAGATAACCTGCTTAACGCGTGGAGGACACCATATGGCGCGAGCATATTTCAGGTACATATTACTTTATACTCTACTCACCAAAACGAGTTAATATATTGTTATCTCTCTCGCACAATTCTCTACGAAAAACAAGGATACACAATGGTCGGTGGGCGTCAATTAACCTCATCAATAGAGTCTCGTCAAAATTCTTTGCCGTATTGAAATCTATACTAATATATAAAGCAAAAGAGTTTGTTTGTTTGATCGAACGAGCTAATCTCAGGAATTATTAATACTTATTCTTGTAATAATATAAATCCCAATAGGGAAATATGAAAAAAAAATTTGATGCCCAAATTATTATATATACCACGTGGACGAAGTCGCGAGCACAGCTAGTTTTCAACAAAGCTTTATTGGTTAAATGAATGTAGGTAATTTATGTATTTGAAAAAGATAGTGTTAATTTAACATAATTCTTTTATTTCCAGTCGAAAGAGTCTTCGTCGGTGCTCAGTTGTGACGTGTCTTCAGACGATAAGTTTATAGTGACCGGTTCTGGTGACAAGAAAGCAACAGTTTACGAAGTGATGTATTAAAAAGTGAAATAAAGTGAATTACTGGGTACTGTGGATAATCTCAGTAGGTAATATGCGGTCCAGTTAAATATTATGTGGTGGAACTATAAGTTTTTTTTTAATTTTTAAAACAGATATACTTAAATCTTTTCTATTATGGCAGAACGGATTTCAATATAGCTAGTATTTTTTTATATCTGCATCAGAATACTCTTAGTTGGTGGTTTTATCTTAATACTAATCATATCAACAGCACAATTTATAATGAATAGACTGTAACAGGCCGATAGTAAAAGTTCATCAATTAATTTATGGTGCTATAGACCAAGACCGTCGAAATAAATTAAACACCTTTTAATAATAAAACCACTTTTTTGCACAAAGATTGCTACAGTGCAAATTTTAATGATGCAGGGTGACTAATAGCATTTATCGCTATCTTTAAAATGGCTATAATTTTAGATTTGTGGAATTGCATTATGTTAAGCGTCCATTAGATTATTTTAATCCAAAATCTATTTTTTATCCTTGATCACACTCTCAGACAGAGCTTATCTTTTTTAATTATATCTTTTTAAGAATGTTCAGATAAAAGAATTCCTAATTACATTTGTGAAGTAATTAGGTAAATGAAGTCCAACATAAAAAAGATAAACAATTTTATTTTATTTGTTGCATTTAATTTTACATGCTAAATAAGAAAAATATATTTATAGAACACTGTCATTATTATTGATGTATAACGTTATTATAGCTAAAATAGATTTGTCCTTTACTCACACATTATTTTCGTATTGAAGGAAAGAGACAAAGCTTAATTTAACTATAATTACCTTACACTGGTATAAGACCTAAGTCTTTTGAAGTTTCACTTTTCGTAGTTGTTTTATTTTTATTTTTTTTATATATAACACTTAATAATTATGTTGGGTTGACTTCCTCTGATCCCTGCATATATTTATTGCGAGTGCAAATATATTTTTGTGTATTAAATATGAGAAGATTTAAATTTATTTTTGTGTAAATGTACAGACTGAATTAGTGAATAAAGTAATATTTTACAGTTTATTTACGAAATTTGTCGCATTTTCAATCATTAAGTTAGTTGAATGTTGATTTTATTTGTACTAAAATTATTTTAGAGCATATTTTTATGAAGAAGTTTTACCAGTGATAAGATATTGCTAAATAACGAAATTTGTAAAAATTGTATCATACAGACTGAATTGTGTTTATAATTTAAATGTTTCCGGTAGATGCCTGAAGAATCTAAACAATTTTCATATAACATCAATTGAATTTTTCATTAAAATGTTACTTTACATCCCTCCTTTTATTGATCTTGCTCTGCCTTTAGTACTTTACGAGAAAAAATAATAATTTTCATCTCAATTATAGTCAGTGGCTTCACAGGATACATTGTTTCGATTAGGCAGAGTCAGTAGCATAGCTAGGTGGACAAGGGTCCTGGTCTACCTATTCCTAAGGCTCAAGAAAGAATCGGGTCCTCATCCCCACTTTTAGCATAGCTTGAATTACATGAACGTCCGAAATTTTAAATAGCAACAAGAACGTTAAAAATCTTTTTCTTGTACGCTTATATCTTCTCAAAGATAAGGTTAGAGGGCCCCTAACGCCCTGGGACCCTGGTGAACCGCACCGCCTGGCCCTACCATAGCCTACCTACCATAGCTACGCCTCTGGGCAGAGTACAGAAATCTGAACAACACGCCTATAATACAGACAAGTCTTACTGGACTTACAGGAATTAACCGACATCCACAGCGATCCGCTTTGCTGCTCAACCAATTAAAATACCGGGTCCTGCCGTCTGCGTATTTTTCTATGTATGTGTATATTTTTAATTCAAACCATTTTTTGTGAAAAGTCGAAATATAAAGATTTCTTAGTTCATAGGACTCTTAAAAAAAGTAAACACCTCTAATTGTTTTATATGAAGTACATAATTCATATACATACCGGATCAGTATTGGTAGTTCCAAGAAGTTATTAAATATGCATATCTAATCTAGGAAAACAATGTTACGTCAGTGTTATCTGTCGAATAAATAATTTCAATAGCGTTTAATCCAAGCGTTTAGGAATTTCAAATGACTGAGAGCAAATTAAAACATTTTTAACGGATACAACGGGAACTATAATAGTCTAGAGAAATCATAAATAAGATATTCGGCTGGTTCCAGTACATGACTGTATGTGACCACTCTCGTGTCCATCTTACGCACTATTCCTAAACAGTTAAATTGCTTAGAGTTTAATTTCGTCAGCCTGTACTAGATAATATTAGAAGAACTTGTTAACGCGCTATCTCAGGAACTACTAGTTTACATTGAAGAAGTATTTGTGTGCTGGCTCGAGCATTTATCAGTGAAGGGTTTAGTAAAACTAGTAGGAAATTGGTAAATAATCAACGGACATTAAATTGCCCGTAGGAACTTCGAAATTCCGCCCGGATTACGTAACATCGTCCACAGATGTAGAAGCTAAAAGCTTAGTCGCGTTTCGAATTCCGAATTCCGAATACTCAAATCCAAATTATATAGCTGGGATAGAGATTTCCGTTCGTTATAATATTCAATTGTTTTACATATCATAGTTCGGTACATTGTGTAACTAGGAAACTATTACTATCGGATTTTTGTCTATTATCATAAATCACAACCTTTATCAGTGTGATAAATAGTTTCGCATATCTTTATATTCAATTAACAAACCGTGTTTTGATAATTAATTAAGTATGTACGTGTACATGAAATATTTTGTTCGCTCTTGCAATTAGCAACTACTTGTTATGGACAATTTATTTTATGTACTTATACGAGTATTAGTGATTCAGCTCTCTTCGAGTTTCATTTGTTTTTTTTTATTCATTCGTTATTTTACTGCAATATACAATAAGCGTACCCTTCTTAGCTTTACTTTTAATCCATTTAATAATTGTCTTAGTGGCACCGACTCAAAATTATATCTGCCCGCTACACACGACATCTCTGCGAGAAAATACGGTTTACGGTAGCCGCCATTTTTCAAAGCTTCTGAAAGTTTTCGAGCTTTCCCCCGTTATAATTGAGAATGAGAATGGGTTTCAGAATTCAGAATGGCAAAAACAAATTCTTAATTACGACGGCTGAACAGCTCGAAAACCCAAAAATATGAAGGAGAAGATACGTTATTCATAGATACCATCACCTGACTTCTAAAGAAACAAACATTTAAAACTAAGTAACACCTTAAGCGGTGAACAAATCACATTTTTATAGAAACACATATATGTACACCTATCAGGTTTTATATTTAATTTTAACCACAAACAACGAAAAAAAAACAAAAAAATGTCTATTCTTTACTCACTAACCTAGAACTCAAATGAGGTAAGATATCTTTATATTTATATATATATATAGGAGATATATATATATATAGGAGATATATATATATATATATATATTCTCCTGTCACGATGTGTGTCCGCTATGGACTTCTAAACTACGGAACCGATTTTCAACAGTAGTTCCGGAGATAAACAAACTCTTCTGTTTTATATATTAGTATAGATTACACTACTCCGTCTATCTTTGCACGGGCACTAAACTAGACTTTATATCTAACATCTTTAAGTGTCAATAAAATACCCATACATAACGGACGTTTAAAGATTCCTAGTGGGCTGTATTTTAAACATTTACGTCCAGTGACAGATGTACATAGATAGTATCAGTTAATGGAACATGTACGATGACGGAATTAGCATTGTAATTAAAATTATCAACATTGCCAGAATCAATGGCATATCTTATCCGAGATAATATTTGTACAATGAAACATGCTGTTATTTACAAAGATTATGCGACGAGCGTTCGGCTATGTCGGAAGATGTTTAGCTTATTTTTGATCGGGATATATTTCGTGTTAAGTGAGGCGTGTACGACGTACAACTTTGAGGATAGATACAGTGATGATTTTACAAATCAACGCGGTCTGTGCGATGGTCAGCCTATGTGGCTTCTCAGGAACTACACCGAGATTGAAGTGGAGAGACCGCACGAGTTAAGTGAGAAGTTTATTTCACCGAATCCTAGTATAAGTTGTGTTGCATCGTTTCTCTTTGAGGTGACTGCGAATGGAACTATAGAGATTAACGTGTACATGGAAACGAGCAATTTGAACGACCAAATTTCAATTATGGCTAACGAGGTGCGGACAAACGACGATGACGCTACCGTGGGTCACGTTCTGCTTGGACCTAGGTTTACCCCGGATTTCACTTCGGGATGGCATCTACTGCAGCTAACATTGACGGGTTCAGGGACCTATACGGGATATGTAAGTATTTTAAGACTATCAATAAATATATATGAGGCTGCTAGAGGCAGAGTGGCCTAGTAATAAAAAACATGATTTTCAATCATTAGGAAAACTTAGCCGAAAAAGAATTGAACTATTATTCGTGTAATAATTATGTTTACAATTCGGTCACTGTGCTCTTGTAATATAGATTAACATTTTTAGACTATGAAAATATATAAATAACTCCAGTTATAAAAAATGCAGTTAGGCTACTTTGCCTCTAGCAGCCTCATACAATATATATACTCATGTTCCCTATTACATTATACATATACAGTTATATTATGAATGTTTGGAATTTAAAAAATGTTTCCAAAACAAACAATTGGTAAGCAACTACGAAAGTTGTCTTCAAGTTTTCCCGAATACTTTGAGCCTAACTTGTCGCAACATAATTCAAGATGCCATGGGCGCGTGGCCGGCTACGTTGCCATGGCTACGTCTGGGGTACAGGTATATCTATCGCTATGTACGGCTACGGGTACATCTGTTTGTATCAAACCGAAGGTAGGCAGCATCGTCGGTCGCTGTGTGTTAGGCATACATCTCAATAAGTCGTTGGCGACGTCGACGGCAATATCGCCATGGTACTTTTTCTTAGTAAGAAATTGTTTCGGATACTCACCACACCTATTTGCTCCTAGGTTATGTCAGACTTAAAGCGACTAAAGCTCCACACTAGAAGCTACATTTTTCCTCTCACATTTTTTCGTAACATAAAAGACCGATTTTTGGTAAGTACATATTAAATTTTAAGAAATAAAATTGTAGTACATATTTTAAAAGAATAACTATTGCAATTTGCATAAAATTATGTTTTATATTTTCTTCTTGTCTTCTTTGTAACATTGTATTTAGGTATACATGTGGATAATTACTTCATTCTCATATTATAATAAATGTTACCTGACTACTTAATTTAAAGAATTTTCAAGTAGCTACTTATGGCATAAAATTTCAAGTACCAGGCCGCCAATTTGAAGAGGTTACCACTCATAAGTTCTACGAGATAATGAGGACATAACAAAGAAACCCTGTTTAGTGTCTATTATTAACAAATTACTTTTTAGGTTATTTTATTTATTTCTAAAGACATTATATGATTTAAATTATCAACTACGGAATGGCGTTTGACATATAAATTTCTAGAAAAGTAAAAAGAGAGATAATTATCGTGTTTTGAGCCAACGATATCACAAGAAGTTTCGTATATTTATAACATGTATATTTTCTAAATTGAAATTCGGTTTTAAGTTAATCAATGATATGAGACTGCTAGAGGCAGAGTGGCCTAATAAAAAAAACATGATTCTCAATAATAAGAAAAAATCGCGCAATGAAATGTAAAAATTAATTTGTCCTATTATTTGTATAAGAATTATGCTAATTTTTCGGTCAGTGTGCTCTTGTAGATTAACATTTTTAGAAATATAAAATATAATATATAAAAAAAATAAGTCAAGTCATAAAATTTAGTTAGGCTACTCTGCCTCTAGCGGCCTCATAAGTCATAACGAAGAAAACAGACTAGTTTTCATTATCACAATCTTAAACAAAATATTATTCATTGCACGCAAAGTAAATATATTAAATATTATTTTTGATTAGGAAATAGGTAGACAACCTACTCGTTTTACGTTACTTATCACTGCACTTTATCATCAAACAAAATTAATCACAAATTTGTAAACTGCCTCTGTGCGATTTACCGAAAAGATTTCGTCATGATTTGAAGTGCATCTATTCCATATTATGGATAAGCAAATCATGGAATCTTAATAAGCATTACGAAATGTCGTTTTCTCTGTATGGGGCATTGGGCAGACACATATTTGTGTCTGTTTCATTAATCGGTTTTTATTTGGCAATAAGTTGATTAGTCTTCAGTGCCCTGCCTGACGAAATTATAACTTGGCATAATTTATTTTCCTTGGTTTACTACAAATATATTTCTAAAGATTATAATAGTTCATTACATTTATAAGGCGTTATATTATATATGTTACTTTAAAGAACTTATTGATATCTATAACCAACAGTTTGTTAGTCTCTAGTTTATAAATCCTGACTATTTGAATGGTGTTATGCATTGGACATACAACACGTAGTAAAACTTTTGTCAGGCGCATATCTATGCTTGAATTTTTATAAGGTGGTAATGTATTTTATATATAGATGCATAATTCGTGAAAAACGTATTTTTTTACTGTTGAGTGTTTGTTTTTTGGTAATAAAAGAAGAGCTACTTAGTATTTTCAGGTTAAGATATTAAATGTTATATTATCATAGTTAAGTGTGTGAGAAATCCCGTTGGCACCTGTAGGCCATGGGACGAACGCAGTTCTGTGTCCGTTTCACTGATTTTTTTTTAATGGGCAAGTGATCACTCGCGTGCGAACAGCCCAACACATACAATTTATCGTTTTCCAAGTATTTGAACTCAGGTCTTCTTGGTCTTAAGGTGCTCGACCATTGAGGTATGGAGACGGTTATACTGTTAGTTATATTATAATAAATATATAGTTTTAATCATACGCGCTTAAAACTTCGATAGGGGAGGAAGTGAATATCTAATGATAATTATCGTTAGTAATTAATAGAAATAAACCTCTATTAGAAAACATTTACACCTAATAATTACAGTTGTAACAGATAAAAAAAATCGCCGCTATATATATATTTTTTTTTCATTAAGGAGAATTCATATTAATTAATTTTTGCAATTATTGTATCATAAGTCAAAAATAGATTCAAGCGAAAACCATCATTAATTGAATCTTGATAAGTGTCATTGTCTCATGAGTAATTATTAAATTTCATAACATTTATTTGTGGGGCTGCTTATCGTTGATTTAAAACGATATATTTTTTATCTAATCAAATGATGGTTATCGGGCAGGTAATTGTTCTTTGATGTGAATATCTTCATTCTAGAGCTTCCAATATAGATGCGATAAGTATCTTCAGGATAAACAATGATAGATATCTTTGATTGTTATCAAAGAAAAAATCTATTTATTTATTTTTTCTTTTTTTTTAAATGTATTTATAAGTAAATTATATTAGTAATTTAAAACTTGTTAAAAAAGAGAAAGACATCTGTACGGTTACTAATTTCAATAATGTTTTATATTTAATATAAGTAGATATATTAAAAATATAAAATAGATCCAAGAATTAAAATAATGTTTAAGCATGCTTACACTTAATACACATGTAATAAAATTTTTATCGAGTTAAAAAGCAAAATATATTAGTTAAACTTTGAAATATTTAAACTACGGCCCGACGTTTTGAATGCTTTGCAGCAGTCGTGGTCCCGAAGAGATAGTTATTAAATAAAAAAATAATTAGTAAGCCCAAATTTTTGTAATTCAATCCACTCTCCCTATATTACAACGTGAGAACAGGGGTGTTTGTAATTAAAAATTGCAAGTTGTATGATTGGGTAATTAGGTATGTGAGTTTTATCAGAGGCCGAGCAGCTCATTATGAATGCCAGTCGATAAAATATTACTCCTAAATTTGATTCGAGACTAGTATCGTAGAAATGTCAAAGCGTCGGTGCCTCCTTGTACTGCTACTAAGCCATAGTGTTTTCTGCGACGACTGTCATACATATGACTTCGAAAAAGACTTCGAGATCACATTCCATCAGAATCAATCCATGTGCGAAGGGAGAGTGATGTGGCAAATTGGTGATTACTCGGATTTCAATATTACTAGCCCCCACGAACTGAGTACACAATTTGCTTATCCCGGGAAATCTCTGAGTTGTGTATCTAGTATTTCCTATCCTATGGAAGGAAATGGAGTTTTTGAGGTAACGGGTTACTTGGAACCCGAAGGTGGTGTCGAACTGTTGGTTTTGGTTAACGAAATAGTTCCCAATGGACCTGATGCAGCTGTTGGTAATATATGGTTCACTGCAAAAGGATGGGATACTAGAAATGTTACTCTTACCGGTCGTGGGAAGTATCAGGGCTATGTAAGTAAACGAAATTGTAATGATTATGCTGAAAATAACCAAACAATTGTATTTTTGGCAAAGTTAATTTTAGTATTGAGCTTAGAATCATGAAAATATAAAGTAGGTTTATTTAATAGGGATGTATAATATTTCACAGGAAACAGCGTTTAATGAATACGTAACGTCATCGTTAATTGTGGAAATTAAGAGAGGAGACAAACCTTTAGTGTTATTTCTCCGTGTAATTTTCTATTTCTTTATTTATGTTATTCTTCATTATGCGCTTCGAAAAGCTGAGATTGCATATTATTTAAATCCTGGGACCTCCTTCGAAGAATAGGCTATTAAGAAATTTTAATTACAAGAAGTTGCACAAAATATTACATGAATCACATTTAAGAAGATGACATAGAACGGTAAAAATATAAGTGAAATAAGTAATTTTAATCCTTTCATTTCAGATAACTATGTTAGGAATGGCAGCATCCGATTCAATGGTCCTCGTTGATTCTTTTCGATATATCCCCCCGGATTATGAGGAAGAATGTAATATATATGAGTATCCACCGACAACGCCTGGGGATACGACTTCAACGACCGACGAAGTGACTTCTACGACTGACGAAATAACTTCTACAACCGACGAAGTAACTTCTACGACCGACGAAATAACTTCTACGACTGACGAAATAACTTCTACAACCGACGAAGTAACTTCTACGACCGACGAAATAACTTCTACAACCGACGAAGTGACTTCTACGACCGACGAAGTGACTTCTACGACCGACGAAGTGACTTCTACGACCGACGAAGTGACTTCTACGACCGACGAAGTGACTTCTACGACCGACGAAGTGACTTCTACGACCGGCGAAGTGACTTCTACGACCGACGAAGTGACTTCTACGACCGACGAAGTGACTTCTACGACCGACGAAGTGACTTCTACGATCGACGAAGTGACTTCTACGACCGACGAAGTGACTTCTACGATCGACGAAGTGACTTCTACAACCGACGAAATGACTTCTACGACCGATGTAGTGACTTCTACGACCGACGAAATAACTTCTACAACTGATGAAGATACAACAACAACAGAATTTACTACTCCAAATACAGAATCTCCTAACACAGGAGAAGGCGGTACTGATTACGATAACCCAAGCACACCTCAGCCTACAGAACCCACACAAGGTCCAATAATAGATCCGTACAGCTTTTGGAACCCGTACACAATTACTATGGTCGTTTTATTGTGTATTATATTCATAATACTATTATCTTTTATATGTTATTATTTAGGCGTAAAAAGAGGCAATCAAAAAGAGCCTATCGTACTAGTAGCACCTGATATAGATGATCTACCGAAATCAATTGTTATACCTAGAGTGGATAAAATTAGTAACAATTCTTTTATACCATACTTGGCGTAAATTTCCATTACATGAGAGGTGCATATAAAAGTGCATTGAACAAATTTGATGAGGACGAGCGGGACACGGTAGTACAGTTGGTTAGAGCAACAATACGGATTCTGTGGTCATGGGTTCGTCTGTGTATCGGTTTTTAATATTATTTGAAGATTACAGACATTTTATTGAACAAACAAGCTGATTATTTTAAGAACCTACTGATATTAATAGCCATAGTGGCCATAATGTTATTAAGTTTCTGTGATTAATTATTTATTTGTATTTTTGTCTGTGTCATTAATATCTGTATTTGCTCATTCTAGTTCTAATATAGCTATAACAAATTATGTTTTAAAACTAATTGCTATCATATGTACAACATCCGCTAAATATTGTTATATTTTTTATTTATATAACGGCTTACATTAAACTTATAAGTATTTACCATACATTTTGAATTCAACATTATTTTGTCATAGATAAATTGAAATTATGATACGGTACAGATTAAATAACGAAACGACATTCCTAATCCATTTAATCAAAAGCGAGTATAGCATACAATTAATTTACAAGAAATTAATAATTGTTATGTACAATGTAAATATTCTTAATAGGTTATTCGGATATAGTGTACATAGTAGACTAGTAAACATACGCTTAATTAAGTTTTAAATATTGTTTCTTATAGGCTATGCTCATAGAAAGATTTGTACATTTTATCCAAAAAGGTTTTTTAGGTCTTCACCTTTTTGGTTCGTTGGTTTAATGTCAGCAATGTACAACTAAACGGGTCACTGGGTTCAGCATGTTGCTTAAAGTTAAATAATTCACAAGGAGAAATCACAGGAATAACGAATTTCCACAGATAAATTATCAAAATTTAGTAAATTTGTCGCATTGGTGTCAACTGTTAGACAGTGCAGTTTTTGTAATTAAAAAACCATATAATTAATATATAAAAAACCGACCTAACTAATTTTATATGTAGTAGCGCAATATACAGTAGTCCTTTTAATATGATAATTCGATATCTTAAACTTCACAATTGATATCTAATGTGGAATACAGTGGCACAAAACAATTTGATAAAGTTTATTGATAAGACCTTTATACTAATTAACATTCAAAGGGCAATATTTTTACACCTTTGTACTTATGTGGCTACAATATTTCAAACACTCTCATACCTTATAATGTGCCTGGATAGACATTGTATTTGAATGAAAGCCTTATAATTATTTTTAGAATTGTAATTTTTATTTTGCATTGATGCATTTACTACTTAGTTTCTACTTTATTCAATTCTAATGTCAATCTGTGGCCTGAAAAGAAAAGGATTTATTTCCTTACGTATATTGTTTACTTATCTTAATTTTTGTCGTAGCGTTTAAATTTTTTAAACCTTATCTTATCAAATGTGCAACAAATTATTGTTTGCATTACAGTAATCCTAAATTACACGCATTAAATCTGATCCGTATTTTGTCTTTGATTTTTGTATAAGTATACCTGTAAATAAACAAATGATACTAAAATCTTGGTGTTTCCCTATTGAGTGACCTTAAACCAAGGTCTAATTAATTTTATAATCAAACTGATATAGGTACAATCGTTTTGTTCCTGTGTAAAACTTCAACAGAACGCAATTCTTTTGTTCGTCTGTCATAACGGTTTGTGACGTCACAGAGAATTGTGTTCTTACCTTCGTGATACAATTAGCTTAATGTAGCACGTACCAAGTAATAAAGTATAGGGTATTTTTTTATGACGTATGAAGGAATGATATCTCTTTGAATGATCTTAAAAATGTCAGCGACAATATATGTCTAGGTTTAAGATTGACTTGCTGGTAAAATTTATAAAGATGAGAAGGTTTGCAAAAACAAATACTGATGCCCAAATTAACTATTTTGCGCGAAGTCAGTGGCACAGCTAGTTTGTTACAGATTAGTACCAGTTCTAGAATCAGCAGAACCATTTAACGGACTAAAAAGTTAGACAATTTAATATAATATGTTTCATTACAAGAAATGATTTTAAATTTATCTGCTTATAATAAATTTGTCAATAAGTCATTATGAAATTTAATTTCTATAGCAAAACTAGAAGTTTTACTTTGTAAACTTCATTTATATTACCAATCTAAATAACACAATAACTGGTCAATGGTCTTAATAAAATAGTAATGGTTATAAGCTTATAAATGTAATATAATTTGTCAGTCCTTGAAATCAAATAGCCAAAATAAGTTCCTTGACCTTCTGTCGAATTAGGTAATAGGAAATGCGAGAAGCCTTAATTTACCCAAATTGAATGTGTTAGTGTCAGCCAACGATATGAGGTTTTCCCCAAGGATCCTGGTGACTGGTAAAGCTGTATTAAGGTCTCGGTTAACTTCTTTAACGAGCTCATGTGTCAGCTTATTAATGATTTTGTAATTCTGCTGCGTGAGATACTTTCGTTCTTACGTTTATACCATGACCGCCTCTGTAGCTAAATGGTTAACGTGTTGCCTAGCGGCGAATTTAGTTCTAATCTAGTTCGAATCCCGGAGAAACGATAGATTGTTTCGGTCGGGCAGGGCACAGAAGTCTTATCAACTACTTGCCTGTGAATAAAACCGATTAGTGAAACGGTCACCGAAATGTACACCCCATGCCCCACAAGGGGAAACGGAATTTCACTTACATTTGTACCATGATACCATAATCCTAAATTTTTACTCAAACAAAGGACGGACAAACTTGGGGTTCACTGAATATAATCTGAAATACCTCAGGTATATATAACATTTTAATAATACTTAGTGACGACCTATTCTGGTTCTAGATATTCGGCAATCCACAGACTAATGTAAACGCAGACTTAATAGCTTTTTTATCTGTAAACGGTGATTCGTTACTCAGTCGGAATGTCGATATTCCTACCACCGTTTTAAAATCCAGATTTTCCAAAGAAAGTCTAAATGTTTTGGAAAAATTGTTGGACCTAATGCAAACTGAACAACCCTTGGCCAAACGTTGCTACCATTAAAACAACGACACAGTTAGTCTCTGTTGATCATAGAATTAGCAAAATTTCAGTTCAATAATAAAGGTTACCTCTTTCTACATTAAGAGAAAAATAGAGTACATTAGATTTGTTTGTGTGTATGTTATGCGCGAATTAATTGCAGGTACTTTGTAGGCAAGGTGAAGAGTTTTTTATGATTCAGCTATTGTGTATGAGTCATAAAATAATAAGACTATGTAAACAGTGAAAACGATTGATTCATTGTATCCGTGTCTATTATGTAGATGTGATTGCAATAAATCGAATTATAACTTGACAAATTGAAAATATTTAAATAAAACACTTTAACGGTTTAAAACGCGATATAATATAATATATCGCGTTTTAAACCGTTAAAGTGTTTTATTTAAATGTGTACTACTCGCGTAAACTATAGACAGTATTTAAATTGAAAATATATGATGGGGGATTTAATTATACTTATGGCCTCTCTATAGGTATATATCTATTGGCTTATTAGTCTAATGGTAGCTTTTTTAGTCTAATAATCAATGTGTCGTGGATAACTACGGGTTCCAACATGTTTCAAATTAATCTATAATTTTTCTAAAACATGAGGACTTCGCACGAATATCTGGATATTAGGTGGGCGGCAGGAATATTGCAATCCCGTCCGGGTGACGAACCACCGTCTACAGATAGAAGAGCCGTAATGCGTTATGTCTGTGGATTTCCGAATATTCAAAGCCAAAATAGGTCGGAATCGATTCTTTTGAGATTTATACGGTTACTTCACTTACTATCAAGTGAATCCCGTGCTTGTCTGTGGTCCGTAAAAAAACCATGTAGCCAGCTTTTCCTACAAAAAAGGAGTACGATATAGGTTAGTTTTTTTAATTAATAAAAACAACAAAACCTCTTTGGCGACCGCTGTTATCCGCAGGTCCAAATATTATCTTTTTATTGTCTATAGTTTACGCACAACAACATTAAATAACATAATAGGGTAAACGCATTCTATTGTGTTTTAATACATAATAATTCTGTAGTCAAGGCAAAATTCTGTTGACATTTTTATAAAATCAAAGTTGAAAAAGTTTAAAACTTTCACCGCGCGAACTAAATGTCCCGCGTTAAATCTGACCTAAAGCACCAACAGGTCAAGGTTAATTATGTAAGTGTTTCTCCATAATAAAGCTTATTATGACGTATGTAGCTTTGAAGACCACCATACCTACCTATAATAAAAAAAATAGTAGCAGGCCATTTGTAGAACTACTCTACTCGTATCGTAAAGACCCGTAGAAAAGTTTTTTTACTAATTAATTAAACATGTCACGCTAGCTCAATTGGTAGTGCAGCAGCACAGAACGCCGGTTCAAGTCCTGCCCGAGTAGAAAATTTTTCAATTTATTTTCGATTTTTATATTAATTAAACATAATTAAATTGGCTTGGACATGGTTAAGTGCGGTGTCAATTATGGCTTCGAATCCTGCCTGTGCCTTAATTTGTCTATGTTCCCATTCCATTTATACAGACGTTCCTAAGTCTTCTAAAAATACTTGATAGAGAAAATTCTATAATAATATTTTCATGTATTGTTTATATGAAATAGGTCTTGACCAATTTTGGCTTTAGATAATTAAAAATTCACAGACTAAATCCGAAACGATTCAACTAAAGAGGTTTTTCATCTGTGGACGATGGTTGGTGGTCTATACGAAATTTCGATATTAGTTGCGCATTGTGACCATTAAATACCGTTATATCAATGAAAAAAGATATTAAAACATTTTCACTCATCATTTTAATCTGTGGACGGTGGTTTGTGAGCCAGACGGCATTTCAGTATTTCTACCACCCCTTAATATTATACAATATAAATGTATTCATATAATAAAGTAAGTACATTCATTATCTGATATTATCCTGCTCATATAAATGGATTACGTTTGTTCTTATATAGTTATGCAAATAAAACTTTAATATCTATTACGTTGTGTATGCCATCCTTGCTTTGACTATTATCCTTGCCGCGTATGGAGACTTATTTACTCTCGATTATTATTGAGTCATGAAGTAGATTTGTTTGTTTTAATTTTTCACAGCTTTGGATTCAGATTTGTTATTACTGCCCATTTATGAAACATAAGAATAAAAATAATTAATTAATGTACGTATGGCTAATGGCTGACGGGTCTCCAGCCTTCTAGTATTAATCGTTTAGGCTTCAGGCCGCTGAGGCAGTCATGCAGGGGCATGTCTTATTTTTTTTACTGTTTGTCACAATAAAAATCTCCAAAAAAAGGTTTTCTTTTCAGGACTTGAACGTTAGACTAGGTATATGTATCCTAGAAAAGCAAAGATCGAAATCGAACACCACGCGAGAAATAAATTATAAAGGTATCTATTAAAAGCTTCTGTTAACATCGTTATCGACGATGCGTAATTATTTTGAGAAATGTGTGTATTATATCCTTTACAATTAATAAAAATCCACGAGAACTAAATGTTAAAACATAACGCTTGTTATGAATATAATGCACTACCCAATATAGTTTGAAAATAAATATATAATTTGTATGTAATTTTTGAAACAATGCACTGAATAAATATACATTTTTATCAAATTTATTTATATGAATAAAGCAGAATTACAATATTGTTATTTTTAGATGGAACACAAACTTATTAAGGTAATGAAATGAATATGTACAATGCGCTGTCGAGAATTAGATAGTCTAATAACACTGGAAATTCTTCTCAGAAATTAAAAAATACTTGACATTATTTTTTAATACCTTTTAGAGTATTTAAAATGCACCTTTATTTCTTGCCAAGAGGCAAAATTATGTGATTGACCACGACTCTCCGTTATGCCCCTACAATATTTTCTTTTCGAATGTCACTGTCGCTCTGTAAATGTTAATTGGGTTGAGGAACAGCAGAGGGTTGTCAAGAATCCTGAACAATGATCAATATAATTACAGCGTCCTAGTGATCAGACGACGTAAAAACCGTTGCCACTCAATATAAAGGCACACATCTTAGCTTGTTCTACAATTGGAGTTCAGCAGTGTTACTGAACTGACTGTGTTCTGTTATTAAAAAATCTGAAGAAATGTACGAGGTACGTTCACACGGTCATTGTCTGTATTTTTAGTGTTAATAAGTTTTTTTACCCCTTCGTTGGCTCGTGGGTGTAATGGTAACAATGTACTGCTAATAATCAACGGTCGTGAGTACGATCCCCACCGGCTCCAACATTTTTCTAATCGATTTATAATTTTTCTTAAACGTGTTGCACTTTGATATTAAATGGATGGTAGGAATATCGAATTTCACGGGCCACGAACCACCGTCCACAGATGAAAAAGCCGGGAAGTGTAACCGCGTTACGGCTTCATTCTGTAGATTTCCGAATATCCAAAGCCGAAATAGTCGAGTAGAGGTCGTCAGTTCATCTTGATTATACGCCATATGGCTGGGCTATTAAACTTACCATCAAATGAATCCGAGTCTGCATTCCTCTGTCATAAAGAAAAATCCTTCAGAGAACACCTTATGACTTCGGACACTAGTTTAGCGACGACTGTCGTAAAAGCTTTCCAGTGCACAGCAGCGTAGGGTCTATGCTCTTAAAGCCTTTTAATGAAGGGAGAAGGTTCTCTAGTGATATAATAATAGAATGAATTTTCATTTTTATGTGCGTTTAGCAATAAATGTAGATTTTAAACTTTGAAGGAAACATGCTGATAGTGTCTATAGTTTACGCGAGTAGTACACATTTATATAAAACACTTTAACGGTTCAAAACGCGACATATTAGTTGGCCACGGCTGCTGCAAAGCATCTTTCGGATGCTTTGCAGCAGCCGTGGCCAACTAATAAACTTAAACGTCGGGCCGAAGTTAAAAATTATTTCCAAATAAGTTTAACTAATATATCGCGTTTTAAACCGTTAAAGTGTTTTATTTAAATGTTGATAGTCTCACGTATTTGAGAACAAAGTTTTGTGATTAATTTCGAAGTCATTAACTTTTTTAGTGTGCAATCAAGATCGTAAACGCAGAAAATTAGCATAGGAAATACATTACAGCGTCACTTGTTATGACTCATCGTTGTAAAAAATACTTTAATTTAGAGTATCAAAACTCAATATATTTTTTAATGTAGCATTGTTTTATATAATGTTGTTTTGGGATCTGTAGCGAAAGGCTAATTTAAAAGAGACAGACTTAGCTATCCGTCCATCTATATTTAATGTATGATTTTCATCTGTTGTTTTCTTATGATAGTAGGCCCTACTAGCATAAATAATGAAATACCCTAGCCATATAACATCTAAATAAATGCCCTGTCAACTTATCTTAGCTTTGGATATTCGGAAAAAATATTAATTCTTAGTTTTTATTTAGAATGAAACTAATATTTAAAAAAAGGCGGCTTCAATACATTACATTTTTTTACTCCCTAATTATAACAATACGGAACCATTTGTACGCAAGTCCGTCTTGCTCTTCACCGGTTTTACCATTAATTTTTGCTTCGTTTTTCGCAGAGAGCTCTTCTGGTGCTATGCTTATTGACCGTGTCCTGGGGTCAACGCCTGACTGACACTAGTAGCGTGGGTTCCCGGAACACTGGTGGTTATGGTTTACTCCGACCAGGTTACAATGGGTACGGAGGCTATGGAGGTTACTCGGGATCTGGCTACACTGGATATGCTGGATACTCGGGCACTGGATACCAAGGCGGTTACACAGGATTAGGAGGTAATTCTCATCTTACACACTACACACAATACAATAAAATAACTTTAACGACCCGACGTTCTGCGTGCTATGCGGCATCCGTGGTCACGGGGGTCGTATTTAATAATAAATTAACTATGAAGTTTATATGATTCGCGTTTGAAACCGTTAAAAGGGTGTTTTTTTAATGTGTGCTATTCGCGTAAAACACGATCAATAAATATAATAAATAATTCTTATTTATTTACAAAGTTTGTGCATAACTTTTATTAAATAATAATTACTGTTACTAGGATATAGTCTATAACTAGAAACATCGCGGATTTCCTGAAAACAAAAGAATCCTGATCAATTTACGTGTACGTAATAGATTACAATACATGGAATTACGATAATTACGCGATTCACTTAGTTTTAATTACATTTGTTGTCACAGCATTGAATGAATCGATTAAGAAACGGTTATACTTTCATCTCTATAAGTATTATTGACAAAATGCCATCCTATAAAAGACAATGATAGTCCAGACTTGAAAGTATACCCGGCTACTTAGTACTTACCCTCGACAGTTAAAAATATATTTCGATTAAGATAATTGTGGGTGGGAAAAAAAAATGGGTGGGATTGAACCAGCATCCACCGATCCGTGCTGCTGCTCTAACCAATTAAGCTGCTTAGTATAATTTTATTTCTCTCTACGAGGGAAGCCGGTTGGTAGTCGTACCGGTCTAATACGACTGCACATTCAGATGACTGCTTAAGGTCTTAATTTTACAGTGTGATAAAAGTTGAACAATGAAGAATATATTTAAAGCCATCATTGGTGTTGTCATTTTAGAGCCATGTGTACAGTGCACCAGGATAAACTTTTTCGAGACTTCTTCAGGACTCAGGCAAACGTCTCTGGGAGGTTAGGAGACGTTTACCTCGAAGAAGAAAAAACATTAGATCTTTTTTAACGTTTTTTTATGAACTTTTCTTGTTTCTATCTATAATTTTGTAGGCTTATAAGTTCAAGCTACGTGGAAAGAGGGGATTCAGAGGCCCGATTCTTTACAATCTTTCTTATGCACCCTTGTCCACGTAGCTACGCAATAACATGTGAAAAATAATATAGCTTTCAAAACTAAAAATAAAAAAAAGAGTTCCAGATGAGTGATTTCTTGTTACAATCAAGGAACTTCATAATCTACGAAGTCACTTCCCTTCTCAAATTGACTTTTCGTGTAACACCTTTGTTTTACAAGTTGACCTTAAGATTAATTGCTACCATTTTCTTAAACAAAGTCAATTGTATTTGTTAAGAGCCTAGTGCTATTGTGCTCTGGACCATATTAAGATCGCATTTTTATATTTCTATCACGTCGAGATGGTAAATAATGCACAACAGTTCAATAGACCCATTGTTCTTAATTTGAATCGAGCCTTAAGGGTTCATACATTATATACTTCGCGTATTAAACCGTTTTGCTGTCTTATTGCAGTGTGTACTAATCAATCGTAAAAAAATGTAGCGTACCTAGTAGTATTTTAACTTTGTGTAAAATACTCGCGATTCAGTATTCAGTAAGTTGTGTCGCGACAGAAACATATAAAAGCATCTTTTAACAGTTTAAAACGCGAACTTTATTTTCTCTGAAGTTAATTCTGTGCGTTACTAGTTATTTCTGTGACCGTTACATTGGCTGATTTTGATTCAATGCCAAAAGTTGATCACTTTTACATCTTTGCCTTACCAAACTGAAGCGACTCCATGTTTCATGGGATTTGATGGCCTTTATCTCGTCTTATAGCTAAATTAATTTTTTTTCAGGTGGTATAGGTAGCTACAATCCAGGGTATAATGGTTACAACACAGGATATAATGGTTATAATTCTGGTTACAACGGATATAGCAACGGTTATAATACCGGTTACAACAGTGCTTACAACCCCGGATACAATACTGGCTTCAGCGGAGGTAGGTGTCATCATAATGTATATTTACACGAGTTAGAACTACAATTAGACAATTTTAACGGTTTGAAACGCGAACAAATTTAAAAACGCTGTGTATTTTTTTAAACATTCTAAATATTTATTTAATTTATGGTGCTACATTTCTCTTTTTCAATCTCAAGCATAAATACGAAGCAAAAAAAATGTATAGGTATTATAATATAATTGGTATAATGATGTAAACACTCACCTAATAATAACAGGAAGCTCCAATCTTTATAATAATGGGTAGACGTGACAAGAAAATGACGAATAAGTTTTATTACAAATCGTAGATACTGGTATAATCGTACTTGCGACCTCATAGGCATTTCTAAAATAACATTTCTAGTATTCTAAATAAGTTACTACTAATAGATTTCGTATTTAAAACTGTTAAGAAGTGTTTTATTTACATGTTTATTTCTGGCGTGAACCACAGACAATATTTAATCATAGGGATTATTAAAAAAGTCTATAGTCTTCACATAAAATTATTAATAATCTTCTTTAGGGAAAAAACTAAGTCTCGTGTGTTACTTTGTTGCTTGAACATCTTGGAAAGACAAAGTCTGCCCTTCTTCTGTCAGAGATGAATTAAGTGACGTCATACTGTTTAAAGAAATTCTTTTTAAAACATACTATGTACTCTTCAGATCGTCAAATTTATTTAATTGTATTTCAAGCGTATAAAATTATTTTATTCGTTTATAACATTTGAATGGGGTAAAAGTAGATACTCAAACATTCGCTACGTGATAAGATAACTATGACTAATTATTTATTATCTAATTAATACAGGCTTAAAGGATTATAGTGATATATAATCTAAAAATTTTATGCGAACATATTTGTATACCCTTTGAAATGCTTCGTTAATATACGTCATAATTAAAATATGATTTAGAAAATATCTCATATAGTATAGTCAAGGCCACCTTCTTAGGCTATCCATAATCATATGTCATTTTCGCTGAAGTAGAAATATTCCGTTGTAAACACAACTCTTGAATCTCTGAATACAAAAATTACTAATTATATAATATAATAATATATCTTTTATTTATCCACATATACCCGCTTTCAACCCCAAATAGGGAACCCTGCTAAAGGCCACTATGCTCTAATTCGAGTGTCTCATTCTTACAGGTTACCGCCCTAACTACAGACCCGGCTATGAATACAACAGACCAGGTTACCAAAGCAACCTAGGCTACTCAGACTACAATCGGCCCGGTTATCAGTACGGTTACAAAGGATATGAGCGTCCCTACTCGGGGTACAGTGGCAACTACTTCGGTGGTTACGCCGATGGTTATGACAATGTTAGACTTGGTAGGAAGGCTGAAGATAAAAAAGATAACTAAGCTTAGATTAGGATAAATGGTGTATATATTTTTGTAAATAAATAAGATAACATTGGCAATACTATATTTTCATTCGTCTCTTCATCTTATAACAAGTATAATTTAAAATATACATTACTTTATACATAATTTAACATTTAGTTAACTTAATAGACTGTATTAAGCAATTTCAACTATAATAAGGTAAATCCCTTTTCGAGCTATTATCTGTAGTTATTCCTGGTCCACCATAGCCTGATGACGTCATTCACTCGTGATGACGAAACTTTGAGAACCTTTTATCATTATTGTTGAAATCACTTGGGACGACGCCCGTATTCTAATAAATAAATAAAATATATAGCTTATGGTCTATCCTTCTATATAAACTTAAGAAAATAGAAAAAAAATGTCTTTTTAAAAACAAAACAAACGAAGTAAGGAACATAAAAAAAATGTTTTTAACAGTAAGGCAGAAAAAAGGAAAACTTCTTATTATATTTTTAAATAAAACACTTTAACGGTTTAAAACGCGATATATTAGTTCAAATTAAAATAAGTTTAACTAATACATATATCGCGATTTAAACCGTTAAAGTGTTTTATTTAAATGTGTACTACTCGCGCAAACTATAGACAGTCTTTCTAACTATATTCTTGGAAGTCAATGGAAGTTGCATATCAATATATTTGCTTTGAATAATATGTTTTAAAAGATAATTCTTATCCGCTAAACCAATCTGATGTCATAGAGTTGAAAAATGAGGCGGCACCAGAGCGCGCGTTTGCGAAGTTTATGGGTATCGAGTTCGACATCAGGTCAGTGAGTTCTGATCGGGATTTGTTGGGGCTGGACGATGGGGCTTGCTTCTTTTTCATCTGTAAGGATAAGTATGTTATAATTATTATAAATAGCTATTGCTACAGTAAGCTAAGTTAATACAGTGAAACCTGGTTAATTGGGATCTCATGAGACCAAGACATTTGTACCAATAATTGAGGGTTTCCAATAATCCAGTTTTCCAATTAAGAAGGTTTAAAATGCCGGTAGTCTCATTTACAGAGGTCGCCGTTTGTTTTTTAAACAAAGTTACGTGTTAAAGTCTGAATAATTTGTCTCGCTTATACAGGTAATTAAGCTACATAGTCTCAAATATAAAGGTAAACTTTGGATGTCTTAGAATCCAAATCTCATTCAACCAGCTTCATAAATTAATGAAAAGAACCGGGACCTCATCTCGATAAAGATTTCAGATCATTTGTCCAGGTCCCACTTAACCAGGTTTTACTTTACTTATAATTGAATATATAAATGAGAATTTTGATTTATTGATACATTGGGTTTTTAATAATAACACAATTTTGATTAATTGTTAGTTTGTCAATGATATATCACAAAACCAACGCAACTATGTAATAGAAAAACAACACGAAAGTATTAGTGAAGTATGTATTACAGTTTGTAATATTTTTTTTAATAATACACATGCTTGCTCATGCTATATTTACCGATTTTCTATTTTAAAGCGGAAGTCTTCATTCTGTTAGGATAAAAAAGGTGTATCAATAAAAAGAAGCTAACAGTGCGTGTGTGTCTTTGTCTTGTTATAATACAGAATCATAGTTAACATAAGACTTGGCTTCAAACGTAAGACCTTGTTGCCAGACTTATATCCCATATTATTAAAAAAAAAATATTGTCAACATCTAAATTGAAGTAATAGAGCGAACTTTAAACTTGAATGATCAAATTTAGTCTAAGTTTTTTGTATTAATTTATTGAAATAAAACACTTTAACGGTTTAAAACGCGATATATTAGTTAAACTTATTTGCAAATGATTTTTAACTTCGGCCCGACGTTTCGGATGTTTCGCAGCAGCCGTGGTCACGGGGAGACTAAAGATGGAATAAGTTTAACTAATATATCGCGTTTTAAATCGTTACAGTGTTTTATTTAAATGTGTACTACTCGCGTAAACTATAGACAGTATTTGATTTATTTTGTTTTAATGACAGAGGACGACGTACAAGCATGGGATACACTTGAAATACCCCAGCCTATATCTAAAATTGTGAACAAGATGCGCTGTCGTCCTATTTTGGCTTTGGATATTCGAAAATCCACAGACTGAAACGTGATTAAACTGTACGGCTTGTGACGGTGTTTCGTGACCCGGGCGGAATTACTATATTCCTACCACCCATTCAATATCCAGATTTCCAGACGAGGTCCAACGCGTGTCAGAAAATATATAAATTGAAAAATTAGGTACATGTTGGACCGTCGAGATCGCACCCACGACTCGTTGGTAGTAGTAATGTGTGGCTAATAGCCACCATCAGACCAACGAGCCCGTCAAAGCGTTACAATAATAGAGTGCACTAGACTGCCAACTTAGAAGCCAGCATTAATCCTACCATTTTCCTTGAGATAAAAAATAAGGAAATCCTTACTAACCGGCTTATCCTGTTTCTTATGCGGTGTAACGGGTGTGGCCACAGGGAGAACAGAGAACCAATGGGTGTCGGCAGAGGCCAGTATGTTCGCCGCTTTATCTCCTGTGCCACCAGATGTTACCGGCTTTGTGCTGATAATTCCTAGGAGTTGACCATGATGCAAGACGAGACTACCTAGTAGTGTCTGGAAGTAAATTAACATTGCTTAAAGCTAGTGAAAACTTAAGTACTCCTGTACCTAGAGAAAGAATTAATCAGAGCGCTTCCACCAGCAGTTACGTCTACCAGTAGTTATTCATATTATGAAAAATATATATAACGTAAATTAAAAATATATAAAGGATAATAAAAATAATGGCTTGTGAGTTGGGCAAAAAAGTTATATTGCAGGATAAGACATTAACTAGTCTGAGTTTATTAGACAACTTATTTTTGATTACGGCCCGTGGTTCCGATTTAACGAAAATATTTCTTTCATATTTTTATCTTTTAAAGTTTAATAAAGATAAAAATAATTTTGTCTGCTCAACAACAATTTTTCTGAAGCTCAGAGTCTTAGAGTATCTTTTGGAAAGCTATTATCATAATTAATAAAATAAATGCTTACCTGAACCCTCTGCACGGAGCGTTTCAAATTCGTCTGAATGTATGGATAGAACACATCATAGTCAAATGGATCGATCTTCTCCCTCAGAAACTCGCATATATCTTGAGACATCTCCACGTACTTTTTGTTCTCTCTAGGCACCAGCAGTAACGTTAAATGTCGTACGTCCATCAGCAATTGAAGAGCGCACCTTTGATTTATCTCTGCCTCTTTCTCTCTTATCACAGTGTTATAGTGTGCGAAGGTGACAGATGTAATCTGATCTACGAATTTAGTATGAATTTCTAAGGGCAACGTGTGTGGTATAACTTCGTCTAATAGTCTGCTAACAGTGTATAAGTATTCTTGGACCTTAAGAGACGGGCCAGCGGGCACCTTTATAGTGGACTCTATGGAATTGCCTTCGTCGTCCTTTTCGACAATCTTTATTATGTCCCATTGCTGAAAATACGAATATATTAATATATGAGTATTCCGTCACAGTTGATAGTCTTAAGTAATATTTATTATAAGTGATGTTAACTAAAACGGCATGCGGCATATACATGAAACAAATGTCAAATTTCTATTATTTGTGAAAAAAGCAAATTGATTATTTTAAAGTATTCACACATTGGTAAACTTTTATATTTTCACGTGTCATTGCACATGATGGCACTATATCAATTAAATATCTATTTTAGATTAAAAAGAAATTTCGACACGGGCAGGATTTAGGTTGGTGCTCTAACTGACAGGGTAGCTCAATCGCTAAGAGCAACATTCATTTTCTGTGGGACATTTAGGAAAGTCGCGGGTTTTTTTTTTCTAATTAACTTTAGCAATAATAATAATAAACTACCATCATCAAATAGTCAATATTCTCCTCCAAACTGAATCCTTGCGGTAGACCATTGGTCAAGTCCTTGACCTTTATCACAGCTATATCCAACCACTTTCCCCAGCAATACTGACAGTTTTCCTTCATAACATCGCAAACTTTTCCCCAACGTTTTGTACTCGCCTCGTCTAACATCGCAGTATCATTATTATCTGGGATATAGCACCGTCGTACATTCGGAATAAGTATCGTAATAGCTTGAACGAATCGAGCTGTATATATTGCAGTTGTTTTTCGCTGCAGTTCCGTGGACTGTAGAGTCGGTTCTTCAAAACATGCCTTTATGTAGGTTAACATACTAAAACAGAAAGGTTCCTTGAATGAAGAGATATTTTTAAATCTGAATTTATTTGAATCCAGTGTTACCTAACACTTTTTAAATCACAAGACAGATAACAAAAATCAAAAACCGGTTATAAGTTAATCTGTATCTTGAGATATATTTTAAATCAAAAACAGTTCCTACCTTTCAATGTACTTGTCCGGAACATCACACAAGTACTCCTCAATTTCCATTGTATCTGTGTAAACCTGTTCCCATCTCTCTTCCTCTTCGAGCAACGGGACAAGCCTATCTCTTTTCCTCTCCAAGTACAGATACTCTTTTAAATCATCAAGCAATTTTTGTAGTTCATCCTCAAGACTTTTACACAGTTTCTCCATGTTTGGAGTGAAGCCGTGATCTTGGCGCGACATTCCTGCAATTGAATACAAATAAAAATACACATTTTATAATTGATTTTTACTTTCCATAACGCATAAAACAAATTCAAAATTTACTATGGTATATAATCATAAGGATACTTGATTTTATGTCATATTAACTTCACTAATATTGTGATTTGATCTTAAAATGTTAAGTTTAAAAAGTAATTTGACCTTTATAGACAGTAATAAAACTCTGCCGAAAGCGGAAACCGTCATTGCCACTTTCGGGAGCCAATGGAATTCGTGAATGGTGAGGCAAGGGCCTAAAGAAGAATTGTAAGGATTTTTTCTTCGAGTACAAGGCAGTTATTGCATAAAAAATTGTACAAAAAATACATATAATACTGTAAAGAGTGAGTTTAAAGTGATTATGGATCACATACATTGTTCTGTTGCTAAATAAATCAAACGGAAACGTGTTTAGTGTTACAAAAACAATGACACACCTTTCATAAGAGAATTCATGACTGTTACAACTTCATTTCTGGACTCTATGATTGTATCCCCTATGAGGTCTTTCCAAATAAACCAGTTGATATTAGCTTCTTTCTCAATCTCGCTCTCTGCTGATACCTGAAAACGATTAAAGCAAAATATAGATTCATATAAGCTATTATTGCGTCGAACAAAAATAATTTCACTAAGCAGTAGCTGCTTGTGTAGGGTTATTATGACGTCAATCAATATTTAAATGATAAAATGCTTGGGTTGTGGAGAAACTCGCTATAACAAGAAAAAATATGTAGTGCACTTAAGTGCGCGAGGAAACTTGGCGATAGAAATAGTGACGGCGAGTTTATTGCCAGTTCTTCTCGTTCGTTCTTCGCCCTTGATTTGAGAACTGGTAGTAAATGTAAAGTTAGGTTTAGTTTTTGACGTTTATAAGTGTACCTAGTTACCTAGATAAATAAATCATTTTGACTTATAACTTTTGACAAAAAGTGCTTCCGTTTGCAGGATACAAACCTTTGAACAATTATTTGCCTGTAAAGAAAGTAAGAGCACAGAAATGAGTGTCCCCAATGCCCCATAGAATTTACTTTACTTTTTTATACAGACCTTCGTCAAATCAACGAGGAGCTGAGTTTTGAATGTGTCATATATCTTTTGCCATCGGCTATCTACAATAAATTTTACTCTTGCTGTAAGTAGGGGTTGGAAGTAGCTAACCCATATATGGACTTGGGGTATGTTAAGCGATTCACATATTGTATTCCAGTTTTGCGGGGCCTCTGAAAGTTTCAGTAGTTATTTAAGACATCTCCTTATTTCATATTTATCAAGCATATATAAAACCGAGAAGTCTAACGTTAAAACATTATTAAAAAAGTATTTAAATAATAAAGTAAAGAACTTGAGGTGAGAATTACTTCTAAAAGTTATTGTACCATAAAACATATTAGTAAAGAAATATATTGTTTAAATTGAAAATAATAATTTAAACTCTTAAACATTGCACTTTAGTATATATATATTTTTTACCAATCTTATAATAAATGTATATCATAAAATTTTAGTAATTAATATAATAAGGTCTCATTGCAGTACACAGTTACATTCATACCGATTTTAAAGGCTTCTTCGCGAATTTCGTGTAACACACGAATGCGTGATACACTTTGCAGAATCGCACTAACATTGTCGTTTATGCAATGCTGTATAGACAGACTCCAGTTCTCCACACAAGTCTTAATCTCTTCACTATTTAAAGCTTCAATTGATTTATTCATAGATAATCTGAAAATTGATTGGATTCATCAAATAAGTCTATAAAACAAATCTTAAGAGTATAATATGTAAATAGCTATATTTCTATCATATAAAAGTACGCATATTTATGAATAAAACGGTTTTAAATGCGAAATTTATTAGGTCACTTATTTTTAATTTATTTTATACATCGCAATACATCGGAAGCGTCGAACTGTAATTTAAATAAGTAACACTTATAGTCCGCGTTTTAAACCGTTAAGTGTTTTAATTGCCCTTAAGAAAATGTTATATTGCAACATATTATAAGACTTGATTATCTCCTCGTCGTTAATAATTTAAACTCTTTTTTATTATATAGAATAATTGATATCATGCAATTCGGTAAGCTAATATAAGATAAATATTACTTGTAATTTGATATAACTGATGGTAAATGTTTTAATGCATTAGTGTCACTGAATTCAACAAGCTTCAATAATGGCTCAGAATTTTTGCCATACAATTCCTCTAGCTTCTCTAAAACTACACCACCTTTGTTCTCTGAAATGTACGAAAAATATGATATAAAACATTTTTAACGGTTGAAAAAGAAAAATACATTGAATATAAAATGAATTAAGATTAAATCATTTGACGAGGGGGGCGTTAAAAAAGCTTCCATGCTGCTCTAACCAATGGAGCTACCATGTCACACACAACAGCTGGTCTGTGTTGTAATTTTTTTCAACAATAAATTAAACATAAAAAATTGATTTGATTTTTGATTGTTGAATTTTTCTTATGTAAAAAGTTTCTATGTTCTTTAAGGTTTGAAAGAAATATATTTAACAGTTAAATATGGGAAATATATTACTTAACTTTTAATTTAAGTAAATTCCTAATTACGAACGTCAGATTGCAGTTAAAATATTTTTATTTATGTTGAATTATATATTATAATGTTTGTAATACATGATGGCATTATAATTATTAAAAAAAATATTTTGATTAAAAAAGAATTACTCACCAACAAAACAGGCATATATAAGCTCAATGGTTTTTATGACTATCCTAACTCCACTGACAATCTTATTTTTAATCTGTGCTTTCACATCTCCATCTAATATCTTATGCAAGTCAAACTGCAGTGCTGTGGTCAAACTATTTCTACTATGAAGATTAGTTAATATATTCAAAAGATCCACCATCACTTGGGAGTCAAGTAAGTAAAGACCGACTAGACAAGAACAAGCAACCTGAAAATATAAGTTTAGTTATTACTAATTAATTAATATTAAGTAGTAGAAACAAGTTATTATTATAACAATTTTAATATCATGTCTGGTGACATAGAATTTGATAAATCAAATTTATAAATAAAGCCAGAGTCAATTTAAATATAGTATTTTATGCATATACGGCTTATATTAGGTCATAATCTTTTTTCTACTGGAAAGAAATTGTTATTTGTTCTTTTACAACATTCTTAGGTTTAAAGCCAGTTAGTTATTAAAATTATAGTTCTACATTTCATATTAAAATTGCTTACCTCAACAGTAATATCAACATCCTGTAATCGTTGTCCACACATATCAATAATAGTCTGACTCAAATTGCTGATTGAGTTCCACTGTTGCTGTACAAGTCTTTGCAATGACTGCATCATTGGTTTTTCATTTCTATTACCAAGTTGAAGCTGTAACCCTGAAATATGGATGAAATCTATGTGAATTTGTTTGATATTAAATTAATAAATGTTTTCTTTTGTTTTCAAGGTACTTAGCAGTAAGACAATTTATTTAAATGTGTGATAAAACAAAATTACCAGTATTTATATGTCTTGCCATGATAAATAGTTGCGCTGCCTTCACAAAATCATTCTTATTTATGCACTTCCATATTTTTTCTGGTATTTCCATAAGCAACTTTATCTGAACAGAAATGCTAGTTACCGGATCTGCATTAGCCTGAAAACTGAGATTAATGGGATAAGCCTTTGTACTGTGACATTTTATTAATGTTTGGAAATATTGTGTCTTTAGCTGTTTAATTAATGCTTTTTATCTGTTTTTAGTACTTTACGAGAAAGTAATACCTATATCTTTAAAAGTGTTAAGAGAAATATGAAATGGCCAAAATCAAAAAAATAGTTACCTTATCTGTGATGGCTGTTCTTGTATCTTGAAACCAACCAGATGGGTCTCATGCAAGTTTTTACATATGACTATCATATCATTGATGTGATTTAATATACTTGATGTTGTTGATTTCATGTCCTCTATTGTATCTGCTGCATGAATAAGATCTCTGTATCTTTCCCTGTAAATAATAAAGAACAAGATAAATAGGGAACCAGACACAAAAGTGTGTCTACAATGCGAACGGGAGGTAATGCTAGTCTTGGGCTAGAGAGAGACACTAAACTTTAGAAAATAGGTAATCTATGCTATAGCAGTGTAAACTACATAGAGAATGTTACTCAAACCTATGTAAGGTGTAAATATTACCTATTTTCTTTAATATTGTTTACATACCCCACCATAGCTCTAAGTTCTTCCTTTTTTCTTTCAATTTCATGATGAAGTTTTTTCTGCACTTGGTCTACTTCAGCCACGGAGAATGTTTGAAACAATTTCTCCGGATCTACCTCAAGCAAATTGTTAAAGGACATTTTTTTAACTACACCAATATTTTGCCATTAAAATATTAATGCATGCATTTTTTGTTTAGCTTATGAAATAATAAAACTACAACAACAATTATAACATCCCTACATGTATCGTTTATGTTGCTAATTGTTATAAATATTATTTAAGACTTAATTTAAACTACACTTGAAATTATTTATCGCTGAGTTATTTGACTTATTTGTATTTAATTCATGTTACGTCGCTATTCCACAAGATCTGACAATTGACAGCTAAATCTTATTATTATAAAATGTCAAACTTGACAATTAACTGATTCAAAACTGAAATTATTTTATCTATAGTAACTATTTTATCACTGTAATTTTTTATCTGTATACAGTAACAATTAAAAATCTACATTTTTAATGTAGTTATAAATAATTATTTGTATTTTGTTGGGGATGTATACATTTCACTATACAATAATATAGCGCATTATTACTTGCACTTAAGTATTAATTTCAAAATTTTAGTATTTGGCATTCAATACTAAATTATTTAGATTTTTTTACTATAAAGACGTGTTTCCTTTTGAGTATGTTTCTTATTAATTTGTTTTGACGTGTAATCCATGAGACACCCGTAAAGGTTTTTCAACTAGTTTTTTTTTTCATTTATTTCCGATTTCAGGTTATACACCTCTAAAGTGCCGTATTTGAATATTTAAATGTATACCTATGTCATTCGAGCGATAAGGTTTTAATTTACCCATGCGGAAGAGCAGAATATCGGTTTTTAAAGTTTCTTGTTAAATATTTAACATTAGATGGATCCATAGAGAAACCCAGTTCCTTAATGTACTTTAAAGACAAAGGGTACATTACACTTTACGTGATATATAAATAGTTCTTGTAATATTAACACAAGACCTACAAAAGATATATTTTATTGTTTATCCGATTAGAATAATAAAACTTTATCTTTACTCTTACGTACATTGTAATGACAAACTGTATACTTAACTAAATGTAGAAGTAAAGAGAGATTAACTGTTTTGATATAATTTTAGTATGGGACATTAGTAAAGAGATAGGAAACAGATTCGGCATAATGGGTTCTTCTTATTGCTTCCGCGAGCATCACCGAGATATCCATCGACTGTAGTTTAGGACAGAGTTTCATATGTTTATCTTGTGGAATCGTATTCGTTACAACTAAAGCCTCTAGACAGGAATTATTTATTTTTTCAATAGCGTTGCCAGCTAGAACGCCGTGAGTAAGGATAGCATAGATTTTGTTTGCCCCGGCATCGCGTAGTTTTGCAGCGCCCTTTACAATAGTATCGCAGGTGTCTGCCAAATCATCAACCATGATGGCTGTTCTATTTCTAACGTCACCCACTAAAACAGTGGAATCTTCTTCGTTGGCCCGCTGTCTCTCTTTGTGTATAATCGCAAAATCAATATCTAATCTATCAGCTATTGCCGTCATTCGTTTTACACCACCAGCGTCAGGTGAAACCATAACACTACTTTTCCACTCAGCTATATTATCTTTTATCCATTTTGTAATAGCTGGCTCAGCGTATAAGTTGTCGACGGGAATGTTAAAGAAGCCTTGAATTTGAGACGAATGTAGATCGATTGTTATTACGTGATCAGCACCGGATACCGATATCAGGTTCGCCAGTAATTTGGCAGTTATAGGCGCGCGACTTTTCTCCCTTTTATCTTGTCGCGAGTACGGGAAGCTGGGTATAACAGCAGTTACGCGGGACGCAGAAGCGATCTTGCAGGCGTTAATCATAATTAGTAGTTCCATGAGATTATCGTTAATCTCTCCGCAGCCACTTTGCACAATATAAACATCCTCTCCGCGAACGGATTCGCCTATTTCGACGCTCGTTTCATGGTTGCTAAATTTCTTCGTTGTCGCTCGTCCTAAATCTAAGCCGAGTCTTGCTACAATTTTCTTCGCGAGATCTGGATGAGAGCTACCGGTAAAAACTTTGATATTCGGCATCCTCAGTTCTTTGTCTGTATTTTTGTTATCTTCCGTGGCAGTGTCGTGGTCTCCAGTTGATTTCATAAGAGCGACTGATGTAAACGAGAAAAATTTCACCGTGTTCTTAGCGTTCGCTCAGGCGCTGATAGTAAAGTGACTTGTTATTTGTATAGATTTATCAGGGTTCAAGCGTAGGTCAGGTCAGTTTATATCTTAGTTTTAATAGAAGTATTATTGTTTGCAGCCAAATCGCGTTCAAATAACTAAATAAACAAGTGGGATTTCATCATTAGTGAACGTATGCGATACGGTAATATTATATTTACTGTATCTAAACATATGAATGTTATACTTTGATATAATTAAGTGCCTATTATATAATATTGGAAGGAAATAATTACATAATTACCTGTATGTGTTATATTATAACTTGTATATATTTTAGGTGAGTCTTTAAAATCGTGAAATTAACAGACAGGATGTTTTTTCCAGATGTTATCAATTATTCTAGGCCCTTAAAATTAGTTCTGTTAGTAAATATATTTAGAGCAATTTGGTTTTGTTGGAATCAATTTGGAAAAATCATATTGTTGTATACTCACCTCCATGAACAAATAAATTTGAGATTAACCTTCATTCACCTTTATGGAAAGAGCGTAGATACTAATTTATATATGTAATTCAGATATTTCTACTTACGACAAAGATAACGTGTGTTTTTATAACAAACAAAAGCGATATAGCCTGTGTTTAAAAATTTAGATTTTTTCAATGTATAGTTTATGTGACTTAAACACGATATTTATCTGAATAATATTTTTATACAAGATCAAATTCAATGATATCACTGTTTTCTAAGTTGCAGAGTACGATCCATTCCTCTATCAATCTATACGTGTCGTAATTGTTGAATTGATTGTCTAAACCGAATACTTTGACGTCTTTAACATCTTCCCTAATAACGTTTCCAGGCCAAGCACACACCGGTGTAAAGTCATCGCCAGTAGCTGTGATGTAGAGCTTTTCATGTGTAGCTTTGAAATGAAATGTAAGTCTTGGTAATAGGTACAGGTCACCAGCGGCCGAACAGTTTGTTTTCGAGTTGTAACATTCCAGGGCAATTATCAACGAAAATGATGACTCCGTTCGCGTAGCCTCTGCTGTAAGTTCTGCATCCTAAGAATACAAGTACATAGCGTTATTAAAGATATTAGCTCAGCCAAATATGTAAAACCACAAAAAGATCTGGGCCAATCTAAGATTATTGCACATTAGCAATTAGATAACGTCAATTATGTCGTCTATGGGGGATCCCAGACTTGTGTAGATAGGACCATTTATAATGCATAATATATTTATGAGGCCGCTAGAAGCAGAGTAGCCTAACTGCAATTTTATGACTTTAGTTATTTATATTTTCATAGACTAGAAATGTTAATTTAACAGGAGCACAGTGACCGAAAATTGTCAACATAATTATTACACAAATAATAGTACAGAATAATTTTTGTTATTAGGCCACTCTGCCTCTTGCAGCCTCATATGATCTAAACACATATACGTTCTTAATTGTAATAATTGGAATTTCTATTTTACTTCAAGGTTCTGTCTGTTTCTTTAATATAATCCTGCTTATATTAAAGAAACAAAAATGATTTCCCTTAACATCATCGACGCATTTCGGTAATATTTGTACTTACATTTTGAAGCGCTATGATAGATCCTCCATGAATAAGCGTTAAAAAATCTGATTCCAATGTAGGTATCGTTGCTATTTCCCCCTCCGTCACATTCACTTTTTCACCAGCCCAAAATTCGTACCAGGTACCGGGAGGCATCGTGACATGTACGTAACTTTGATATACGTGTATATTTGGTACAATCAATAAACCATCTCCTACGTTGAACTGTGTATTTACTTGCTCTAGAGCGTCCGCTTCCGGGAACTGGTAAAACATTGGGCGCAAAAGCGGTCCATTCTGGAGTACAGTGAAGAAGTATGGAAGGAACGATAACCGCCTGTTCAAAGCGGTTATCATCTGATTTCTATATGTGCCGTTGAATGCGCTGGGATCCCGTGGAACGACACCAGATTCGATTCTGACCATGGGAAAGTAGGTAGACGCCATGTACCATTTAGCGCAAAGGTTTGATTGACGAGCCGGGTCGAAGTTTACAGTGTCGCCGCAGATTGGAGAAGACCAAAGCCAGTGACCCGATATTCCACCTACAGCGGCCCGAATTAGCTCCTTGTGGAGATTATACCAGGATGCGTCAATGTTTTGTCTGTTTATCAAAACCTCCCCGTTCATCCATTGGCTAGTTACTGCTGGTTGAAAATCTACTCCAGACATATTCATGATAGCCCTTATTGATTCTTGACCATAGGTATTGTGCTTAAAGATATACTTCTTTTCCCTATCTAGAAGAGTCATGTTCCAGACGGGTGTGTCTGTTAAGGCTGCATTGATATCCTGTAAATGTATTATAATCTTATGAGAAATGAATATAAATAAAATATACTTAGTAACACAATGATGTGCTCGTTGGTCTTATGGTAGCAACGTATGATTAATAATCAGGTCGCGTGTCCAATTTATTTCTAATAAGTTTTTGAAATATCGTCTGGTAATCTGGATTCGAAATAGATGTTGAGAATATCGAAATTCCACCCGTAGTACGAACCACCGGCCACAGATGAAAAGGCCGTGAAGTTTCATCGCGAGTCGGTTTCAGGCAAATTTGAGAATCTTATATGGCTGGGGTATTTCTCTTTATCACAAAAAAATAGAAAACAATAAAGGAGAAATTACAATCTCAAAGACATACATTTTTCAAAATAATAAAAAATATAATATTTAGTTATGGATATACATTGTAAGTCTTGTGAAATGAATTAAATATGTCTATCACATTACTATTTAATCTCATAGCAAGTTGCTTAAAGTCCCTTGAGATTACACGGGTAAAAGTTCAGATACGTTTCCAGGTTCTGTTAATAGAGTATCATAATGATATTTCTCACCTCGCTAAAATAAGCTAAGTACGAAGATGGATCGTGAATCGACTTATTTGATATGTCAAGGGGCCAATTGTTTTCTATGAACATTCCATCTAATTTCGTTGTAAGCGGCCACAGCCTTCGTAGAAAGTGGTTTGATACAATTTCATATGCGGGATACATAACTTCTCCTTCGTTAACCTGCCCTTTGTATACTTCAAACGTATAAGGATCGCGGTACATAAATAGCTCGAACTCTGGCAATATTGTACACGAGGGTGCTTTGGATGCGTTAGCTTTTTCGTTATATCTTATCTGTAAAAAATAACTTGGATTATCATACTTTTCACACGTTAAATAGACAGCTTTATTAAATTTAATATAGATTTGACATTAATATATTTTTATGACAATATGCGACTCTAATTCATGGTCTTAACAAAAATATACTAGCTAACTAATTAATTCTTTTGTATATATTTTAGAATATTATGTGCCATTTTTTAAGCACACGCAACGGAAACCCTCAAGGTGAAACATTTTCTCCGCTTATTTAACATTTTCCTGTATTTCTCTGTTTTATTGCCTAAAGTACTTCTCGATAAATACTCTAACCAACACAAAAACAATTCAAAAGCAGTAGTTCTCGAGACTAGCGCGTTTATACAAACAAACAAAATCTTTAGCTTTATAGTAGTATGTAGGTATATGTTGAGGTCGTGGTACATTAATTTTATTTGTAATTTACATCAACATACAAATTTTACTTCTAGAAAATAATATTTCTTTCGACGTAGGGCTAAAACAAAATCATATAATTAAATGATATTTTCCACTTACATACGGCGAAATATGTGGTACGAAGCGCCTTTTTGCTTGTCTTATTACATTAGCTCCATCTTCGACGTCTTTTATGTACTTTGCCTCGGTATCCTCACAGCGATTACTCCCTAGAACAATTGGTCTATGGCCGCAATGGCTTTCGAAAGGAATTTGAGTTGATGTCATCGTTCTAAGAAATTCGTTTAATTCCTTCCCTGACGTTCCACTGTCAAGAAAACGTAGGTATAGATACATTATATTTGCAACTTGTTCTTGTAATCTTGAAGCGCTCGAAACACAAATAATTGACATATTATAGGAAATCGTGTTCCTTCGGATATTATGAATGGAGAATTTTTATACTCTCCATCTCGGAAATCACTTGAAAATACTTAACAGAGTATCAAATAAAAACATAATTCTACGTAGTGTTATTTTTATAAAGCATGATTAATTTTGCGTTTCTTACCAAATATGCGCTCCCAGCATCCAATATTCGAGCTTCCGTTTTGCACCAATAAAACTCATTGCATCGTTCATAATATCTTTTGGCGTAGGTCCCACAAACAAATGGAATTTAAGGCCAGTGTCTGTTAAGCTCCGGACGACTAATTCATTATCGCCCTGCACCGTTACTTCAGTTGGAGTAACTGTATCTATCAACAGTCCGTGATACGAACCGTTGTATTTGGCAAATATTAACGGAATCGAACTAAAGTCTTTATTATGGCTGTAAATCATTTTTGTAGTGCCTCTACTTAAAGGGATTTCTCCTAATCCGTACATTGTCCCATTGGTCAATTGAAAAGTCGCCTCCCAGATCCCATCAGAAGCAATCAAAGGCCCGCGTACTGTACTGAAAATTGTTCCCTGGCGAGCCTTTACTTGTATATTTACTTCGGGAGAAGATACTACATAGGAATACGTCTTGTTGTATAGCCTCTTACCAGCCTCAAACCTTTCTTTGGCGCTATAGAAGTATATTGATAAATGGGTCGCTGATTCCTCACTGATTGAAAGCCTCAAATTGATAAGGCGGTTTTTAGAATTGAAAGGTAGTGTAGGAACTCGAGGGTGTAAGATAAGATATTGAGACCAAGGCCTATCTAAAATGTATGAGAATCTAGAAGGTAAGCGATGGAAGCAGAAGCCTCTTTGGACGTCATAGCAGCATTGAGCGTGACATTCGTCTTGGGGAATGAATCCAGGGCCACAGGGAAGTCGAGCCGTTTCGGGTATAAGACATGACCCAATGGAAAGTTGGAAATCTGCACTCGGTATGAAGTGGAATTGATAAATTGTTACAGGGACCAAAACGGCAACAAGTAGGAAAACAATGAAAACCCTCAACGGCCGGTTATATAAAATATGCTCGTACCATTTTAACTCTGAAATCGAATAATAGTTTTATGTAAGAAGCGTTCATACATTTATATAAATCGTACATTTAATTCAATGTTTCGTTTAAAAAAAAACGATGAATATTTTGTACTTTATCATGTCTTTAAATAATAATTTTAATGTTTTATTGAACCAATTTAAATAGCATTATGTAAAATAAAATAAAAACAAGTTCAGACCACGTAATGACATTGATATCATACATCACATATTACAAAAACAATAAATTAGAAGAATTTTCAATTTAAGTCTACTCTTTTTTTAGTCTTTATTTTAATTTTATCTAATTCAAATAAGATGGGTTTTCAGTTTCGTTGGTTAAAAAAAACTACAATCAATAATAATTATCAGGATGCATTACACATACATTAAAGGTATATATTACTCAAGCGGAAATTAATTTTTAATTCAGCGATAAAGCAATATCTACTTACGTTTTATGCCGTCATAAGAAAATGTGGTATCTTCTGAATTTATAATATTCTTGGTGTCGTCGGCTTGTGCAAACATTATTTCTATGTTACGAAACTTACGTCATATTCCTAAAAATAATAATAGTTACAACATTTTGTAAAATAAGCTTTAAGTCGATAAATATTGCGTGCCAACAGCAAACTATATAATAGTAAGCTATTAGAAGTAAACAAAAATAAAACTTAGTCTTAGTACTTTACAGTCTTTTAAACAAAGACGCGTTGTTACATTAATTTTAAGATACATAAAACTTAAAATTATACTAATAAACTTGTAACCTACCATTTATATTTAACTTTTTATATTAACTATTTAGATAGCGTCACTGCTCCAAGTATTTTTCTACTTAATTTCACTAACAATCACTGCAGCTATTACATACGATTGAATACTAATTACTGATAATATGTTGATGGTTTTTGATAATGCCGATAAAGCGGCATTGAAAAATATTGTTTTGTTGATAGGCCTTATCGTATGATAGCCCTTTGTTTCACCGCGTCTACATTCATATTTCGCAATTAGATTAACAGTTACAATGACATTTATTGATCAATTTTAACACGGTTATACCAACATCCACAGCGTTCTGTGTTGTTGCTATAACCGTGTCCCACACGTCTCCTTAAACAGATGCATTTATCAATGAAAAAAAATCGACGATGACGCGTAGGAGACGACAGCTCATGCCGGTTCAAGTCCTGCCCGTGTCGTATTTTTTTTTTCAATTTATAATCGAATATAACTTATCAATTACATTTATAAATGAAAATCTTTTATATTTTGCTTCGAATTCAAACTTATGACCTCGCGAGTTTAACGTAAAGTTTAATCATTGAGCTAACGAAGACAGGTGTTACACTAATGTTAGATTTATGTGGAACACGAGGATTGATGGAAAACTCTACATGATATAGCATCTTTACTGTTTTACTCTCTATAGAAGGACGATCATGTTTCAGCATAATCATAATGGCTTCGTCCGTCTAAAGGATTAGATTTTATTACGCGGTACTAAAAAATATGATTTAACGTCTTTTGAATAATGATAACTTATATGTGTAATGCATTCTACTATTTACACGTTTTCATTGCATAAAGCTCTTATCAAAACTTAACAAATGTGCTTTTATTTTTTATATTTAACAATATTGCATCATTAAGTTAATTGCATGATTTGTTAGGAAAAATAATGCTGTCCATTTGGCGCTCCCGATGGGAAAAACAGAAACTTGACTACTGATATTATTCTGAAAAATAATTAAATAATAGCCTATGACTTTTTCTAAACTGATAGATCTGTTAATTAGACTTCAAAGGACTAGTAAACATATTGAGTTTAAAATCATCTAAGTTATGGAAATCGAATATCAGTTGAAACTCTTAAGGGAATTATCAATATTGCTAAAGTTAACTACGATTAATAAGTTAATTAAAACTATTCGTTCTAGAAAAGCTTAAAACTTTCTCTGGAAACCGTTTAGTAATATTTTATTTATTTCAATTGTTTCTTTTTGTTTATAAATGTTATGTGGGCAGCCAGACTATTTCGATTCGTAGATTTAGAATATTATTTTTAACACGTTTAGTTTCAAAATCATACGCCAAAAACAATCACCTACTTAAAATGTGTTTTTTCGGTTTAGTTTTGTACGAGCGCAATTGCTAATTAAAAAAATTCTATCTGGCGTTTTATTATGATTTAAAATATAATATTTCTAATTAAATTAATTTAATTAAAAGTATTAGATGCGATAGCCTTTCTTTATAATGCAAACATCACATTTGTTGTTTATTACTTAGCACAAAATAAAAACCGTCTTTATTGAATAATAAAATGTTCTTCTTCGTATATTCAAGAGTTATTAAAGGTGATATCAGACAAAAAAATCTCTTCTGACAGTCTCAAACGCCTCTCCTTTATTTGGGATTGCTCTAGACTTGAATGTCATTAGGGTAAGTACTGGATATTGAGCGCAGAATTATTACTTCGCGTTCAGAAAATTTATCATAGATATCAGAAGATTTTGACCCCAATGTTTTTTACCATAGCAAAAAAGTTTAGTGGAAATTATTGTATTTTTGTTTTCGTGAGCAGTAAATTCTATCGTTTTAATCTGTTTTAAATCACTTCATAACATTTTAGATAATTAAATCGATAGAAAAATATTATTTTGTTAATATAAAGCAAAACATTATATTCTGCTAAACTCAAATTTCATTTTTAATTCATCTTTTGTTAATTTCGCTCATGTTATAGTAGGATAAGGATTCTACTATAACATTATGAGCTAATGAGCTGATTAAACAAAGCTCAGCTTTTTCTGAGAATTACAATATTCTCATCGATAATTATATTTGGACGCTATTGTTACTATAATTTTGTTAACAGTAACGATAAATTATTATTATTTTATCAAATTTATATAATTACATACGTCATTATATTAATTCTATACGAAGCTTACCCTTTTCATCAAACTTATATTTTAAAAACAACAGTGTAGGCGAATAAACAAACAACTGTTTATCTTTTGCATCCTAACAGCTACACAAATAAAAAAATGAATAATATAGATTATCTCATGGACTGCACGAGTGAAAGCATAACATTTAAATCTCATTATTATCAGAACGAGTTATGACAGAGAGACATATATCGTATATTTTTTACAAAGGAGCAATATCTTTACATTTTATCAATGAGTTTCAATTGTTTCGTAGCTGCGTAGGCTGCTACATAAGATTTTGTGTAGCGGTACCATAGAGTGCTACGCCGCTACGAAATGCGGTCGCGTCGTAGACCGTCTACAGATATTAACGAATTAGTATAGAAACGAGTTGAGAAATTTAAATGCATTTTTAATTCAATTAAATGAATTTATTTTTACGAAAAACACATGTGTATTAGTTAAATTCATAATGAACAATACAGTGGACTTAGAACAAAAGTTTTGGGATTATTTTAACACCGATTTGACGATGAATATAACGGATCATACAGATTCAGTGCCAACTTCTGAACAAGAGTTCGTTGTTGGAGTATATAGTGTGTTATTTGTTATTGGTGCAGCTGGAAACATTGCAGTTTTTATTGCTCTCATACGATCTAGACGACGGAAGTCCAGAGTAAACCTGTTGATGACCCACCTGGTTGTAGCTGATTTGATGGTCACTTTTATTGTTATTCCATTAGAGGTTTGTATATAGTAAATTGTTGGACTACTTAAGGCTTCATTAAAATTAAAAAAAAAGGAAAAAATACTAAACCAACGTTCGAATCGCACTTTCACGAAGAAGAAGAGTTACATATCATTTACAAGATACACCCATTTTCTTTTTGTAACCAATAACAAGTTACTGTTTATTCAATTTCATATTTTTTAAGATTGATTATGACAAAAATTACTATATTGTTATATTCAATTTATTATGTATTAATAAAGTACAGTTTTGACTGCAAATGTTACAGTGAAACTTAAAAAAATGTATAAATTTTATTACCATTAACATTTACAAAACATTGTTTCCAAAGTATTTTTCAACAAATAGTAAAGATATAAATAATGTAGTCACAGACTTTGAAGTCTTAGTAAAAGGGTTTCTTTTTATAAACCTTAGGCTTTCAAAAGGAAAGGCAAAAAATCTTTTAATTAAATTACATCCACGCATATAAATTCATAATCTGTTTTAACCACCCGTCTATTTTAATTGAAAATTTTGAATTCAGAATGCATTCGAACATTTAATTGGGTTAATTGCTTATCGCTAGGACAATACTGATTGCAACAGTACTCTCATTAGTAAATGTAATTAAGCGTTTTTGTTTGTATGGAAGTTGTTCAATTTGGTATGCAAAGCAATTATGGGATATTACTCTCACTTAAGAAACTCCATCTACAAGTGTTGATTTAGAAGATCTACAATTCTTTATGTAGAATTTAATAGTTTTTGTACTTAATTATAATAAAGAGCAATAGCACGGAATGCTGACGATGCCGGTTCAAGTCCTGCCCGAGTCGAAAATTTTTTCAATTTATTTTAGAGTTTTAAATTATAATAATTGTCAACTTCATTTTTAAATTAAAATTATTTAGCTTCCTTATTAGCTTAAAAAAGAAGAAAAAACAACGTACATAAGAAATTTTACAAATAAATAATGTTTTCAACTATCTCTCTATGCACAATAAAAATGCTTAGTCTATAGTGTCTATAGTTTACGCGAGTAGTACACATTTATATAAAACACTTTAACGGTTTAAAACGCGATAAATTAGTTAAACTTATTTGAAAATGATTTTTAACTTCGGCCCGACGTTTCGGGCAAAAGTTAAAAATCATGCAAAGCATCCGAAATGTCGGGCCGAAGTTAAAAATCATTTTCAAATAAGTTTAACTAATATATCGCGTTTTAAACCGTTAAAGTGTTTTATTTTTTTATTCGAATAGGTTTTCTCAAAGAACGTATCTTTCCCAGCTATCCCGAAGCTGACCTCGAGAAACACACTTTAACCTACAGGACGTCATAACGATCGTTATGAAGATCTGTCATATAGGCCAAGAACGAACGTCTGAGACCGCTATACTGATAAATCTTATATGATACATTATATTAAATATATTACAAACGTAGCGTTTAAGGTCCTGTTTGCTTTAATTAATAATGATTTAAATATAACTATAATTCCGACCTAGGAATTTAATTCAAATAGCCGTTTTCTGTAGATTGGTTGGCGCACTACAAATGCTTGGTTGGCTGGAAACTGGGCATGCAAATTCTTCCTGGTCCTACGTGCGTTTGGACTGTACCTGTCTTCCAACGTTTTAGTTTGCATATCACTTGACAGGTCAGACATATTTAAGTTTAGATGGAGATTAATGAAACATTATCTGTAGTTTATGCGAGTACTACACATTCAAATAAAACACTTTACGGTTTAGAACGCGATGTATATTTGTTAAACTTGCTAAACGTCGGGCCGTAGTTGAAATAATTTCTAAATGAGTTTAATCGTTTTAAACCGTTGAAGAGTTTTATTTAAATTAGTCGCAGTTGTTTATTTTTATTCTAAAAATAAAGTCTTGTCTTGTAAGACGTACTTAAGAGCTTAATAAGAATCGGTAGTATTAAAGGGAAAGCTTAGCAACTGTTCAAATTAAATTCGCAGCTTTTTTATCTACCTCTTGTTGTTGAACAATACTATAAAATTTCTGATGTATTTTTAATGCCTTTCAGCGTTGGGTAGCTAGTTTTAAGCTTACAAAGACCGTTATACTATTGTTATTGAAGCAACATAGTCCGTATATACGTTTTATATGTTAAAAGTATTCTTCAGAATCCATTTTCTTTTTCATAGCTTTGTGCCTCAAAGCGACTATCTATCTTTTTGTGGAATGTTGTCAAGAAGACATTTTCGGGCAATTGGTAGGTTGTAAATCGTTACTTATGATAATAAAAACCCAAAGGGAAAAAATATGACGAAGGTTGTTTCCCTTAAGAACCAGTTGAGTTTGTGTTATTTGTTACAAAACTTACACGTAAGGTCACATACTTGTATATTAGATGGCACAAATATTTGTTTATTATAGTTTTAGTTTAATCTAATGGTTAGCAAGGCAACATTCAAAATAAAAATTAACATATTTTTTTTTAAATAAAGTCCGTTTATTGATCGATTTTATTTACCAGCCTAAAATAAGCTACTCAGGCTAGCTGCAACTCAAGGCTAGGTTCACTATAATAATCGTAGGCAAAACGTTGTTAAAATAATATTGTTATTTTTAAGTAGAACTTGTTTGTTCATTCCATTCACAGCTGATCGAACACTGATGTGTTGTTTAGATAATAAGCGCGGATAGTTGTATAATTACTTTGAAATTCACTTCTTTTTAACTTTTTAAACGAATATTTAGTTGTACTATAAATACTTAGGCATTCGTAACTTCTAGCCTGCATTGGATTACTTGCTGAATTAGGAAAATATTTAGTATTTTATTATGGACAAAACCGTGACAAATGTTGGAAAAGTACAAGCATTAGTCAGTGTTCTTCATACTTTAACAAATTGAGAACCGAGTTATTTTTTCTTTGATTGTGTAGGCCGGGCGGCTGTGCTCTATTTTTCTTCAACGGTACTTTGTGGTTGTAAATAATTGACGTAAAAGGTTTCGGAGTGTTGAGCTAATTAATTAAAGTTAAACGAAGGCTTTTACAGTGTTTCGGAATTATTTTAGCCTTATAATTTGTGAGGTGACTATCAGAATGTCTAATAAATTTGTTCAATTAATTATTGAAAAATAACAAGTTAGGCTAAAACTTCAATGTAATTTTCAGGTACCCATAAATATCAGTTTAATTTATACATATAAAAAAGAATCCTTCTAAAGGTTTCGATTTTGATTCATATATGTATGTTATGTTATAATGAAATGTCGTATTATATAATTAATGTTTGTTAAATTTATTTATGGTACAGAGTCTCAAAGGTCATTTGATATGATTGAAAAGTTTCTGTAGACGCTGCCTTAGCATTAAAAAGCTTAACGCATAATACAATAGAAGTAATCCTAGCTACCATCGTTCATAAGCTATGTGTATATTTATCACAGGTTCTTTGCTGTTCTTTATCCTCTTCGACTGGCTGTAGCAAGAAAGAGAAGTAAAACAATGCTGTCAGTCGCTTGGGCAGTAGCGTTTTTATGTAGTGCACCACAAGTAAGTGGAAATATTTTTTTTAGGCAAATGGTGTTATTTTTAATCGTTATATGTTTCATAATCTGAAGAAAGCTTTGTTTAGTCTATTGATCAGGTCTATCTTGGGACAAAGGATCTGTCTTTACAAAAGGAAAATAAAATAATTCTATATTTTTCTAAATGTTCATCGCTTAAATGTTAGCAACATATGCTTATAATTAAAAGGTCGTGGGTTCGGTGCTCACCGGGTCCAATAAGTTTCTAATTAATTTATAATTTTCTGAAGCACGTTGGACTTTGTCTAGAAAATGTGGATATTTATTCGGCATTCGAAGTAACAAAATTTCGTCATAATAACGAACTACAGTCCATTGATAAAAAGCGTAAAGTTTAACTTCGTTTGTTTCGCTTTGTTTACATGTAATATGGCTGGGGTATTTTACTTCTCATCAAGCAGAACTCATATTTATCTGTCCTCATCTATCATAAAAAATACTACTGTGTATTTCAGTGTCTATATTTCTTACAGAGCCTGGTATTCCGAGTAATGCGCCATCCGACGGTACCTGAGTTCGAACAATGCGTGTCCTTCGAGGCCTTCTCCAATAAGCATCAAGAGCTAGCGTATAATGTCATTTGTCTTCTTGCAATGTATTTTCTGCCGCTCGTCGTTATAACCGTGTGCTATGCCTGCATCTTTATAGAGATATCACGAAATTCAAAGGACACATCAGGTTTGTATTAAATGTTATTTTAATTTAGAACACACCAATGCAGGTCAATATTCAAAGACGTTGCTTATTGCATTGAGAATGAAAGGTCGTCATTGCGAATATCGGGTAATCGATAATTCCGCGAGAGGTGCATGTATCAATAGATTGAAACAATGCGATGATAAAGTTGCTCAAATGTAATGTTTCTCAATTGGTTAGCGCAACAGCACGGAACTCTGTGGATGGCGGTTCAATACACCCATGCACTACTGCTAATTATAATAAATTAAAATTTGATCTTTTATATACGATTTTTCATTCATATAGTGCCATCATGTGCGATAACATGTGGAAAATATTTAAAGTTTTCTCGCTTATAAGCAAATAATATAAAAAAGATGTATTAAAACATTTGCATTTATATTACGACTAGACGGATGTTCTGAGACTAGTAGATTCTACAAGTCAAAGTATATTTGACTTCAAAGTTCCTATTAACTTTTGTATAACATTATGTGTATCGAGAACTTTTGATATAGTATATTTACCTAAGAAATTCACTGCAAACAAGAAGTAGTACATAGTACAAGAGATCTTACTACTTTAATTCAGACCTAACAGACTGCTGCTCCAATTTAATAAATCAAAATTTTTATCAGTAAATCAGATGAGATCGGAAGTTCAACTAGTTAATCCGGGCGTTACTTTAAAATTACATTAGAGCTTGCAAACATGAAATACCTGAGTCGTGTCCGAGAATAGCTCGTTTGAAAAGCTCACTAAGCTTACACGGGAAGAGTAGAAAAATTGTTTATGTGTACACCTGTACTCAAGTTTTCTCTTAATGGTTCCATACTGTTATTGTTTTCAATCAATTAATAATTTGACGTTCAAATTCACAAATTTGAATGTCGAAATATCATTTATTTACTATATAGTAGTTATTTATTTAGTTTCCATTATAATTGATTCAAAGTAGGCGTAAAATGTATTCCACTGTTTTTACCTTCTAAATTTGAAAACGCCTAGATGTTCAAGTGAACGCGTAAATTTTACAACAATTATTCAAGTAGACACGAATTACAACAATAGGTAGAATGACTTGCTCTAAATATTATTCGTATCTAGGTAAATGTGTACAATCCGACCAAGGCAGAATACAGCTCCGAAGATCCGATCAACGACCTTTAGCTCGGGCCAGACGACGAACACTTCGAATGACGGTCACCATCGTTACGGTGTTTGCTTGTTGCTGGCTGCCGTACGCTACTATGACATTGTGGTAAGCATTTTTAACATGAATAATAAAACCCTTTTTTGTACAAAGAACTAAGAATAAAAAAAACAAAAAAGAAGAAACGTCAACAAGATAGAAGAAAGAATGCTATCAATTCTAACTTATAATAATAATAAATACTAACACCACAAAAATAAATGTAATGTTTCTATGCGATTTTAAATCGTAAAACATACAAAAAAGTACTAGAATTAAAATAAGTTTTACATATTTGAAATGCTTTATTTTTTTAATCACATGTATGTGGACTCAGTCATTCGTTATTTAGGTCATGTTGAAAATATAGTGTCCGTTTCAAAATTTTAGACACAATGTTTTTCTTATGAATGAATTAAAAATACTTGCTACATGCAATTGCTAAATGCAAAAGCTTTTCAATTACGTGACTAAGTTTTTAAAAGCTTTATGTTTCGTTATTAGTTAAGCTTTAAAGTCTCAGGCATTTTGTATCCATATTCCATAATAACGCAATTCAACTGGAATTGCGGTTTACTTAAAGCGTGGCTGTAGTAGTTATCTGAAAGTTTATGAAACAAACAAACAATATAGAGGTCAGTGTGAGGATTCTCATTAAGTACGAGTACTTTGATTTGGGAAATTGAAGAAGTGTCGTCCATGTGTGTGATATTTCAATTGTGGCGATTGCTTTATTAGAGAACTTTACTAAATAATTTTATTAAAAAATAACACTAGTATGAAATTAGAGGTTAAAGAAATTCGACGACAGCACGGAACGCTGATTCCGGTTCATATCCTGCCCTAGTCGTAATTTTTTTCAATTTTTAATTTAACCTAAAATGTATTTAACACAAAATATATTATTATTGATTATATGTTAACTACGACACAATGTTTTTAATGCTTTGCCACATGGGGTCATAGGATGCCAACATAAGTTAACTGATATATTTTTCGTTTTAAACCGTTGTTTTAATAAATGTGTCATGTAAAGCAAGCCGTGAAATTGCCGAATTGAATAAATGTGAAAATTATAAATAGTTTTTAAATTCACCAATAATCTAAATCTAAAAAAGGTGAAATATGTAGAGAAACTAAGAACGTGTCTATATTTACCAGAGCCTAATGAAAAAAATAACAAGCGTTCAGACTTTCCACTCAAACATTTAACTGAGAGTCTCTCGAGTTATTTTTTTGTGGCCCTCTGCTATTCTTAGTATTATTTCGTTCAAGTATGCCGATATAATATGTTGCAGGAAATATACTGTCTTCTTACTGTTCATAATGACACTTAACATCATTTTTACGCGGTAAATATAGTTATAAATATGTATAATATTTGACTATTTCACTGGAAAATTAATTATATCAAATTTCGTCTTGTTTCATGAATACTGTAATGTAAAGAGAGGTATTGTAACTACGAATCCTTGTTATTACTTATTTTACTAATCTAGTCATCTCTAGTTCTATATATAACTATCTTAATGCATACAGCTACATAGATTAAAAGTCTTGAAATACAATTTCTGATGTGAATTTGGATAATTGTACCTCGTAGAAATATAATTATTAGGGTCTTATAAAGCAGGGGCAACCTTTTATTGACTGGCAAAAATAAATATAAATAACAAACTACAATCTCGCGAAACCTTGGTACTGGTATATAAAAAATATGTTAATTGCGGCCAAATTTATCTTAAATAATTTCTAAGATCCGTGTTACATGTGTTACTTACCAAGATTAGTAGAGATATAATAATAACAATTTATTTAACAGACCATAAGTTAAATACTGTCTATAGTTTACGCGAGTAGTACACATTTAAATAAAACACTTTAACGGTTTAAAACGCGATATATTAGCTAAACTTATTGCATTGATTATTTATTACTGCAAAGCATCTGAAACGTCGGGCCGAAGTTAAAAATCATTTTCAAATAAGTTTAGCTAATATATCGCGTTTTAAACCGTTAATGTGTTTTATTTAGACCATAAGTTAGTTGGATTAGTTTAAAGAACAATGATTAACTTAAAATGTATATTAGAATGTCTTACTAAAATTTAGTAGACAAAATGAAATATAAGTAGACACAATGTATGTAAGTACAGTGTAATAGATATAATAAAGATAATATTTTTCTTAGCATCTTATCGCCGGTGTTACTACATTCAATATTTTTTTATTATAATTAATTGGTTGCAGGTACATGTTTGATAGAGAATCAGCTTTAAATGTATCTTCTCGAGTACAAGATCTCTTCTTCATCATGGCGGTCTCTAATTCCTGTATGGACCCTTTAGTGTACGGATCATTCACTCTCGATATGGATATACTTCAAATAATTTTAAAGAAGGCATTTTGTTTACACGAAGGGAATGTTAGTCACAGTGAGTTGTATTGTAATTATATTTTTAAACATAACTATTATACATTTTTCACGGCTCGTTGGTGTAATGGTAGCACAGTAGCAGTGTATGACTTATAATCAACGGGACCTGGGTTCGATCCCCATCGGGTCCAACAATTTGTAATTAATAATTTTTCGGGTTAATGTTAGCCTGGAAATCTAGATATTAAATGGGTGGAAGGAATAAGGTTGAGTTCAATCGCGTTTCGGTTTCAGTCTGTGGATTTCCGAATATCCAAAGCTACAATAGGTTGACAGCGTATCTTGTGTAGATTTATGGCTGAGTTACTTCCCCTATCATCAAGTAAACTCATGCTCGTCTGTCCTATTCTAACATATTAAAAAAAATAATAATAATTATTGCACAAACTGAACGTATTGCTTGTAATAAAAACTAACTTTTCAGAAATTATAGCGGACCCAGGCTTTAGAAAAAAATTGCCAGGTGTTTTGGAAAACAATGTGAGTATTAAGAACTTACTAACTTTTCTATATATATGAAACTTATTTTCTCGGCTAAAAACAAATGCACGGATAAGATAAAAATATCTCCATCTTCTATTCGGGTTGTTGGGATTTAACACAATGAGAATAAATTAATCTAGTTCGAAATTATTAATTATGGTCTTATTAATCTTTTAATATTCTCTTGTAATAATAGGTGCCTTGTAGTGTCGACACTGCATTTTCGGGATTTCAATTTGCTGAATTTCAAGTCGTTCGATACTAATGATGATACTGATATAATTATAGTTTTGCGCATAGTAATATTTAATATGAAATAATTATAGATCAAATTTGGAATCATAATTGTATAACATTAGAATGATTGATATTTGCGAACGTGTATAGATCGGAAAATATAATCATTAAAGTTATAAAACCGCGCACAATTTTATTTATAATTTCTATGGTTTATTTAAATATAGATGTGAAGTTTAGTATTTTCGTTTAAAAAGTGAGCAATTAGTGATATTGTTAAAAAGCAATAAAGATTTTTTCCAGGATAACCGACTTACGATAAGACTTTAAATTATAGTTTAATCACGCGTTTTCTGTCCCACATAAATAGTTGGACGAATAGAAAAAAATACCCAGGAATTGTTAAGAGAAGAGTTGTTCTTCACATTTTATAATACGCATAATAGACATAACAAAAACATATTTTATGTCAAACTTTTGTATGTGTAAATATCACTTTATTCGCGTCTGGAAATCTTAGATTTACAGTCGTGGCATAAATTACCATCAAAATATACTTATAACATAAGAATCGAAAAGCAAAATTTAAGAATTATTTTAAATTTTTAACCTTATATCGGAAAACAATCCTACCGAAAAATAACAATAAGAATTTGCAGAAACACGTAAATTCACCACGCTTCATTGGAGTCTATCAAGAGACGTCTCTCGTTGTACCAAGTGGGAGCAGTGACCCCTTACCCCAGGCTTGGGGTGAACATCAGCACGAAAAAAGGAAGACACCCGATATCTTCATAATGCAGCCTAATCGGTCCTTGAATTCAGATATAGTAATTAATATAACCTATTCTTTAGAAAAAGAAAGGAGTGACAATTAAAAAGTAACATATATTAACATAACATAGGACATATTGTTATTAAAATTCTAAGGTTTGTAGTCCACAAGTATTAAAGATAACATGTTAAATGTGATAAATGTAGTTTAAGATTTCAAGTTGATTGTAGATATTGAAAAGAGAGAATTTCATGATGTTTAAGGCATTGGCGCCTTATAATAAGGCAAGCCGTGAAGGCAAGTGGTTTCAGTCTGTGGATTTCCGATCATCCAAAGCCAAATAGGTCGACAGCGGGTCTTGTTTATATTTATTTATTTATACACACAAATATGTGTTGCCATTACAGATAAAATCCAATTCGACTGTAATACAATGATATAATACACGATATAAAAAAATAATATGAAAACTAAATGTTAATTATTATAATTCTTTTCATTACTACTTGTAGCAATTACGTTAAGAAGAGAGAAGAGTATTTGCTATTATACACCACCTCGTGAAAATATCAACCGTTTGGTGTACAATATTAACCACTCATAATATCGGCTGATTGGTTTTTCGGGATATTCGGCTATCGTGATTGAAAAGGGTTCTCGAGAACCTAAACTACCAGCAAAAAAGTAATTTGTCTTGTGGTATGATTGATTGTTAATTATAATGCTCCTTTGTAAATATTAGTGAGTACTACACAAACTACTACTATAAATAAATATAACTTCGAGGGAAAGCCAAAAACCTTCATCCACTTATAAGGGAAAACCTAAATACTGTTTATAGCAGATAATATAAAGATTTTATACTGAATTTGTCTTTTATTTCTCGGTTAATCCTCGAATAAGTAAATAAAACACCAATTAGTAATCTTATAAGAAAGAAAGAAAGAAAAAATTTATACTTATAAACTCTATTATACATTTCGGCATAGCTTATAAAACCTTTGGGCCTTTATATTATGTTTATGATAGTTAAGATTATAAATTCATAGTAGTTTTTCGTCAACTTATTGTTTTATGGTGTTATGCATATAAAAGTAATATACACAATCTTTCATGCTTTGACTTTACAATACATAAACGTCGTCAACATTTTCTTATGATAAGTCTATGATCTCCTATAAATGCTTTAATTACATTTAGCTCTACGCTCTGGTAAGATTTTTACAACCAATAAGATGAGTTAGTGATTCGATATTTCGAACTACTAATGAATACTATAATATAATGCTGTAACTAAAGAATAGGCGCCAAGTAAGTATACAGCCACACTAAGAAGCACGCCATCTTAAGAAGGAGAATACAAAGCGGATTAGCGCCTTTATAGGAGACCAAAGCTTAACATTACATTTGCGCAAGACTGAAACGAACAATTTTAAAAATTAATCTGTTTTAATAAAATAAACACAAATACTTGTGACATCACTTGTTCCCAAATGTCTTCAATACGTATATGTACAGGTAAAAATATAAGCACTATATATCCATTTTCTTAATTGGGACTTGGTGATTAAGCAAAGTCTCAGTGCGATAACAGGATACGATTTGTCAGCAAAAACTGTCGGAAACATTAATAAGATTTTCCTTAAGACTCTTGGAATTTATTGGAAGGTACTGGATATAATTTAAATAAGTAAATACATATAATATAATTAACAAATAGTAAGATATTATCTTATTTTATTTACTCAATTCTTTGAGTTTTGAATAACTATGTAATACATAGTCATTGGAAGTATATAGCATGTCACGTTTTAAAGTCATAAGTAACACTCTTATTCACACTTAAGTATATAATATGCTACATATTATGTAAAATTATAAGCGATTTTAAACTATTATATCTATAGTAAAATCGAATAAAATTTAATCAAATGAGTAAGTATTGTCTGTAGTGAACGCGAGTGGTACACATTTAAATAAAACATTTTTAACGGTTTAAAACGCGAAACTTATTAGCTAACTTATTTTTTAAGGACCCAGTGCTTCAGATGCTTTGCAGGATTCATGATCACGGCTGTTAAGTATCCAAAACGTCAGGCCATAGTTAAAATAAATTGTAAATAAGTTAACTAATATATTTCAAATGAGTAATTAAAATCATAATGCCACGTTTGTCCCAACCTAGTAAGTCCCATATCTCGGCCACTCCCCTACGAGAGAGCGGCTACCTAATCTAAGTCTCAATCTTTAACTTCTTATATCATTACGTGTTTTGTGCAATTTATTAATGTTGTCAAAACTATGATTTTCCTCTGAATTCATTGAAATACTCTAAATAAAAATGTCGTGTTTAAATCAGTTCTGTCTAGTTTTTCCGTACTTACTACTTCTTACGTTAACTATTTATCTGACTAGAGTATTCACGATTGGAATAACTTAAACACTTCTTTCAGAATGTGTTTTTAATACAACATACGTATAATCAGTATGAGAAACCATATCAATTGATTTTTCTTTATGAAACTACTAAAGTATATTTTCTTTTAACTGTACTACCAACGTTGTTCTAAAATACTCGACGTGATTTTAGTTAAGTTGTTAATGGCTTCTTTTACGAAGTTTGGACGGTTGCGGAATTACTTCGTACCTTTACACCCAGAAGCATTTGTAACATTAAGTTACTCTAGATGGGCTCGTTCGTAACAGTTATATATTTTATGGCTAACAATCAACGTTTTTACATATTTTTTTTAAATGTTGAGTTTCATCTAGAAATCTTGATATTAAATGTTTCGTAAGAATATTACAATTCCGCCCGGGTCACTTCTTAAAATCACTATATCTAAAGCCAAAAGGGTCGACAACACATCTTATTTAGATGTTATATGGGGTATTTCATCTGCCATCAATCGAACCACATGCTTGCTCCTATGCCATAGTAAAGAACAAAATACTTTAGCATCAAAATTGTTTTTACCATATTGTCTTTACTCCTAATATGTAGTAAAAAACTCAGCAGCGTAGTATCTGAAAAGGTCAGCTATATAACGGCATTCTAAACATAATTATGATGTACAATTATATACTACATAATTTGCTCTATGAATTATTTCTGTTGAAACATAACATTGGATAATTATCTCCGTAATTTAATGTTAGCGATTTTAGTTATAACCTTGATAATTAATATCGGTTTGATGTTAATATTTTTCACATGTTGGCATAATATTAATTAAAACTCGATTATAGACTAAAATAAATACGAAGGCGGCAAGACTCTAACCGACCTCAGCTCGACTCTAACAGCGTTACCGTTGACACGGTAGCTCAAATTGGTCATGGTAACTTATTGGTCAGAGCAACAGCACGGAACACTGTGAATGCCGGTTCAAAACCCGTGTAATTTTTTTTCAATCTATAATCGACTTTTTATTCATTTCAACTCAGTTACATACATTTGACAACACATTCATTAAAATTGTCCCAGTTTAAAATAGAGAGCTTAACTCAAACATATTACCCATTCGTTCGTCTTAACGCATCTCAAAGTCCATTTTAAACATCCGTAAACAAATGTATCTTATCTCACTAATATACATTAGTGCGGCATAGGCGAAACGGAGCGTCTTGCTTGTAGAGCCTTGTTATCGCAATACGTCCGGATGTCCTGCATGGACTGCATGAGAAAAACAGGGACGTCATCATCACGTTTCTAGAAAAGAGAAAATTGCTTTATTAATCGCTCGTATTATGTTTTTCCCAAGGATCTCTGCTTCTTCGCCAAAAAAGTTTTGCCCCTTTGATTTTACCTGAACTTCGCTCCGCACTGTAATTTTTTTTTTAACATTACATCAATCTACAAAAAGGGAACTGTTACACAGACGTTATCGTCAAAGTGTGGCAAGTGATAATCGGCCAAACAATTTTCGGCGAAAAGACTTAATCAATTTTTCCAAACACGTTTGCAGTCGGGAAAATTGAGACAGTAAATTGGTGGAGGGAATATCGATATTTCATCCGGGTCACAACTATTAGCGTAAATCCGGGTTTTCGTTCCTGTCTATGGATTTACGAATGTCCGGCAAAAAAGTTGACAGCGCTTGTTAATGAGGGCTGGGGCATGTCACCTACCATCAAGTTCAGCTTGGCTGTCCTCTAGTCTTATTTAATTTTGTGAATATTAATGATCGGCTTAAATTGGGAACATTTAGGTCCATGCTAACGTATAGCTGAGCTCTCAAAAACGGTTTAATAAATCGTTCTCGTCTCTCTGCGCTTGTTTTAATCAAAGTAAATTAATTATAAACATATACGCCGTGTATATGTTTATAATCTCTATACTAATATTAGATTCTTATTCTTATTAGATTCTTATATATCTATACTAATATTAGAAAGATGAAGAGTTAACGTCCTTATCTCAGAAACTACTTTTTCGAATTTAAAACTTCTTATGGTGTTGGTTAGAGCAATTGAGCAATGAAAAGATGCTGAGGAGTTTAGCAAAACGAATGCTGATACCCATAATAACTATCCTACATAGACAAAGACGCTAGCACAGCTAGTATGTGAATTAAAGTGGCAAAGTGCGAGTCAGAAGAGTGTCCACGGAACCCTAAAAATGTAGACTTGGAAGTGGATAAGTTCGTAATTTAAAACGCGCGTAATCAATCCTTGAAGTTTCTGAGAATACTTACTTGGAATAAAACTTCGCCTTCAAAGTAAGTTAGTCCGTATTTTCGCGTTCTTAGTAAGATGCCGACTAGCTTATCTGAGATGACAGTGTATATCTGTAACAAATAACACGTAGTTTGAAAACTTGAATTTTTTCCCCTATTTTATTTAAATTTGCACATGATAGAACTGTATATGTTAAAAATCGACTATAAGCTACCGAGCTCTACAGGTAGAACACTAGCTCAATTGGTTAGAACATATCGATTTTTAATTGAAATTAAATATATAGTTGTTATATCCTGTATATATTGTAGCTATATTTTAATTTGGTAGTACAAACAATCAAGAGATAGAATGTATTAAAATGATGACTATTATATTTTTTCAAATTTATTAAATGTAAACGAGTTTCAAGTAAACATTTTTTTAAATGATTACCTATTTTAATGTATTTATAAAATATTATCATATTTTATATTTGTTTAGGTAATAATAATATTTCTTGTGTAATTAGCTGTTCTTCGAACCATCTTTTTAAACTTTAAGCGAACCTGTATGATATAACATAGTAATGTAATCATTTTTTTTCCAACGTGAATCAGTTCTTTAGTTTCTTTTCTCTCGTAGCAGATGTAACTTTGACATGAAGAACATTCTCCATCCTCAGCCTACTAGTTACTTTAACTACAGAAAATTTATATTTTTGATAGCGGATTAAGCCAATGGTATACAAGCTATTGATCTCGGGTTTTGTCTGTATCTGTGTCATAAATTGTGTATGTACTTTTTGAATTTGTAATGTGCGTAAAAAGGTCTATTTTCAGACATCTGCGGCCATTTCCTAATTCGGCGTGGCACGATGTTGCTAATTATGAGTGAATGAAGATGTATGCCAAGTTTTAGTGTTGGCGTGTTGTGATCTACGGCGGGGAACGTATCTACGTAGCGACGGAAGTGAAATGTGTTCGTACGTCACTAATGAGACGATTGTTGTTGCGCCGGGTTCGAGAGGCCTTTTTTAAAAATACACAGGCTACAGCTAGGGAAGTCTACAAAATAATCGTTATTACCAATACATACAGAAATATGATAATATGCAGGAGATATTTACATATATATAGACACAAATTTTAAGTGAAAAGCTACAAAGCGTCTAAGACATCGGAAAATGTGAAATTAAATTAAAAATAAGTGATTAATATAATTTAGCGTTTTTAATAATTAAAAGTATTTCATTTTTTTATATAGTTTGGAGAGTTTGTCAAAATAGAGAAAAATAAAAGATAAATAGATTTTTTTTTATTTTCCAGAATAAATTAAAAAACCTGAATTTGACTTAGAATATTGTTATTTTCGACACTAGTATGTCATCTGCATTCTTAAAATGTATTATTTGTTATTTAGTTTTTAAAAAGCTTTCTTACATTGTCCAAATTTCTCTTGCTTTTAATTTGGCCGTCAATGGATAAAGAAATAAATTTGCGAAAATTAAAAACAATACAGAACAGCGATGATGAAAAATATTGCTGCATAATTTTAATAAAGACTATTAAAATGTTCTCTCTTTTTAAAATAATTATAATATTTAACATATTTTAAATTTTCCGCTCAATATAAGATATAGTCTGCATTTTCATGTGTAGAGGATAATAACCTGAGAATATCAAAGGATGAGCGAAAATTACGGTCTACAGTTTACGTTAGACTTATTTTTGCCATAGATAATGAGACCACGTATTTTTAAAATGAAAATACATTATAATACTAATCATCTACGAATTATGAAAAATAACAGTTCAAATTGGACAAATCGAAATCTAAATGACGAACTTTTAAATAACGTGTTGTATATTAGTTAAACTTATTTAAAAATTATTTTAACTATCAGCTGTGGTCAAGGTGCCTCCCCGGCTGCTGCAAAGCATCCGAAACGTTGGGGCGTAGTTAAAATAAGTTTCAAAACACATAACCATACATCGCGTTTTAAACCGTTAAAGTGTTTTGTTTAATTGTGTACAACTCGCGTAAACTACAGACAGTATTTAACGAATAACCTGTAAATAAAAACAATCATTGAAGCAGACACTCAAATATGTCTCCCGCATCATAACCTAATCACAGTAGACGGATTCTTGTTAAACTAGAAAATATTTCTCGCTTCGTAAGTCTTTTATATCTCCACTTCAAAGAACGTTCACCGCGAAATGGTTTCATATTGAGTTTAAATTAAATTTTTCAAAAACATTTCGATATCAATGCACTTTTGAGACGAAAGTTTGAAGTCTCTTTATACCGTAATATTTAATGACAGACTGATAGTTAATAGCTATTAAAAAGTTGAGAAAAATCTGCTTTTTAAAAGTAAATCGAATTTAATATAATTACTCAGACGGTTATTGGCTGTACAACTAATAGAAATATTTACTTATTATTACACATTATTTATAACACACTTTATTGGTTTTAAAAGCGATATAAATAAGTTTAACTAAATTATATCGCGTTTTAAACCGTTCAAGTGTTTTATTTAAATGTGTACTACTCGCGTAAACTACAGACAGTGTTTTATATTTTACCTTCTAAAACTCCTAAGTCTCCAAGAGAGATTGTTTATGATTCCCATAGAGATGTTTTTTATGATTGGATTGTAAGGTATTGGGCCCGGGGCATCGAACCGGACGTTTAACCATAGAGATAAAAAGACTCAAGATACATGACATCTTGAAAAGATGCGCGTCGATCTATTTTGTCTTTGCTTATTCGAATATCCACAGACAAACCGCAACGCGAATAAACTGTGCAGATTACTCATCTGTGGACGATATTTCGATATTAGGTGTTTCAGAAAAATAAATTAATTTAAAATATGTTGGACACAGTGAGGATCGTACCTACGACCCGTTGAACCATAAATTGCAACCATTAGCTCAAAGAACCTGTTTAGATAATTAAAATGTGAAATAATAGGCATTCTTAACGCTAATCTAATTTTGCCGAGCTGTTGTCGCGATCTTGAAATATTTCCCGCGTGTATCATCCGAACACGAGCCAAGATCATTACTGTCAACCTGCATTGATTTCTTGCGTTTATTTAAAACTCGACAATGACTAATAAAGTACGAAACGTTTTGCGTAAGCTTTGTCTTGTTTAGTGACGGAAGTTATATTTTTTCCCGTCGTATTATCGATGTGTTTCGTTTCAAAGCGAAATTGGCATCTGGGATAAACACGAGTAGATTTGGGTTAGGAATAATGGATTAGGTTTTCCATTATCATTCAAAATACAAGAGCCGTATCTTGTGTTTCTTATGTTTATAAAATTATGTTTATATGAAAGGTGCAATGCTTTTGAAACATAACATCTTATAAATATTTGCACTGCTATATTGTTTTCGTTATGTTTTTCGAAAATCCATAGACTGCAACACAAACGCGATTTTACACTTTACGATTTTCAAGGTTCCTGGTCTGAATGTTGGTATTTCTACCCATTAAACTATCTACACGATATTTAAATAAAACACTTTAACGGTTTAAAACGCGATATATTAGTTAAACTTATTTGAAAATGATTTTTAACTTCGGCCCGACGTTAAAAATCATTTTCTAATAAGTTTAACTAATATATCGCGTTTTAAACTGTTTAAGTGCTTTATTTAAATGTGTACTACTCGCGTAAACTATAGACAGTATCTATCTACACGATAAGTTTAGTTGAAATATCATAATTTTATTCACGTGTGTACTTGTATATGTGTACGTGTGTACCCGGTAGAAATCAAACCCACGATTTTCTTGGTGACTTCACTACTTTTTTAATCACTTACTACGACATTTTACTATTCCTGCAGATTTTTTAAAAAAGTTTCTATAAATGCAGATTTATTTTGCCCTTAACCCAATAGAACCTAAAGATAATATAAATTCAATTGATAACGTAATATTTGAATGGCTATATTAGATATTTATTATAACAACATTTGAGCCGTGCCACATTTAACTGGATCTAAATTTGAAACGAAGTTCAATACAAAATTTCATCACTAATAATTTTGGGAGCCGTATTTGTTTTCTTTTCGTTATTATTCAATAAGCCAACGCCGTTATTTGCGCGCTTATGACATAATAGAGAATATTTATAAATGCTAATGAGAGTCACGTAGAGTGGAAAATTTTCTTGTTACGCTATTAGCGAATTATTTTCTTCACTTAATGATTTTTAGTGTGACCGTCTCCGTAGATCGATGTCCTACATTCTAACCCTGGGGTATGATAACAATTAACGATGTAGGCAGGTCTGTTCCACTTACTATCAATAAATCGAATCAATAGATCAGACACAGAATTGTTTTTACCCCGTAACGCATACATCAAAGAAACGGGAACGCATTGGGAATTCTAAGGTTTTTTTTTATTATACATATATTTGATTACTGTCTTTAGTTAGTATACATTTAACTAAAACACTGTGACGGTTTATTTTAACTACGGCCCGACGTTTCGGATGCTTTTAAGCAGCCGTGGTCACAGGGAATCATCCCGTAAAGTGTAATCTCATAAAGATATTGATTAATTATATTACACTAAAACCATTTCTTCTAATCCTTGTAGTGTGGTGCCTAGCGTTGCATTGCACGCAACACATGCAATGCTAGTTTCGTGATGGCTTCACGAGGTATTAATAGAGGGTCAGTGAAAGAGAATGGTAATTTACCCCATGCCCTCATAGGGTAAATGGAATTTATGTTATTACTTCTTAAGGTAGATGTACTTCTTATCTATATATATAGACTAATTCTATATATTGTTTAGGCATTGTACTCGGTAAAAACTAATTGAGTTTTTCTTACCGTAAATAGTTCTCCAAATGAAATTACTTTTGTCGCACACTGTAGATCAGGAGGTAAGAGGCTTTTACAAGGCGGTTTTCCGTATTCATTGATTATTTCACAAAGTTCTTTCATCTCAGTACACACCCTGGCCTGGGCTTCTGCTCCTCTGTATTCTGTTTTTGATCCAGGTATTGGTCTGAAAAAATAAACGACTGTTAACCTTGATACATTTAAAAATATATAAATTGAAAATAATTCGACTCGGGCCGGACTTGAACCGGCATCCACAACGTTGTGTGTTTATACATGCACCTCTCACGCAATGTAATTTTAAAATTTATAATCGATTTTTAATTTATATAGTGCCATCCTGTGCGACAACATGTGAAAAATATTAAAGTTTTCAAAACTGTTAACTTGTCTTATTGGATATGAAAAGTAAAGTAGATATATTACTAAAGACAGAGTTAAACTTGTTTGTGACAGAGAGGACAAATTGGGTTCTTTGTGGAAAGTAGAGGCAAATAAAATAAAAGTATTTTTTGGTGTTATACCCAAACTGAAACGCAATTACATTCTAATGGCCTTTTCATCTGTGTTTTCACTATATCTAACGGATACGTAAATGTTAAAAACGGCGCCGTTTATTTTAAGATAAGCGTTGTTTAAAAATACATATCGTGTATACCCTTTAGGATTACGTTAATTGACTTACGTCAGAATAAATAATTACGGTTTGTGGGAGATAAGGTTTATTGTAAAAAGTATGTTACATTTTACAACGATTACATAAAATTACTACTCGACTAAATATAATTCTTTCTCAGCTACCTGTTGAAAAAGTGTATACCTACAATGTAATGTCAGTTTACGCGAGTAGTACATATTTCAATAAAACAAGTTTTTACGGTTTATTACTCAAAATGTATTGGTTAACTTGTTTAAAATTCATTTTAAATACGGCCCGACGTTTCGGATGCTTTGCAGAAGGCGTGGTCTCCGCGTGACCACCAAAGAAGTGTAGGAACATATTTCGAGTTATATACTGTTAAACGTGTTCTGCACGTGTTCTGTATGTATGCAATAGTTTATCTTCTGCTTGCTGGGAAAATGTCTTTGTTACGTTTACGGGATAAAAGAGTCTTTTTTGGGTGGTTGGCTGTTTTCCAAATGTCTAAAAGTAAAATATATCGATATCTTCTCTTGTTGACATTTTTAATGGCTAGGATATTTCATCTTCCATCGTGTGAACCTATTCTTATCTATTCCCTGCTGTTAAAAAAATTAACATATTGATCTTATGACAGCGCAAAACATATTTATACGAATCTACCTCAACCAAAAAAACCTCATTAACGAAATTGAAAGTGTTCAGACTTCTGGTAGTGTTACTTCAAGTAACAAATTGTCTTGATATTCCTGCTCTGTTTTAATTACGGATCGTGACTTGAATATTGGATAGTCTTAAGCTTCAAGTTCTGTTGAGCTATCTACATGTATATATTCATCTATGTGGGTAAATGAGTATGTGTGTGTGTTTACGAAATTAAGGCGGAATACTTCAAAACGTAGTTTGTACAGTGCTGTTATCATTGTATGACCAGGAAACTAATCGTATTTTAACAAAATCCTTTTATAACGTCACCGATTAAACATAAATCCCCCCTTCTTTTGTAAATCCCTTTTGCCCCTAGTATTAAATTCAGGCACATTTCTATGCCTATTCTACTGATTAATTTTATTAATAATCAAGTACCTCAGCAAACTTTTATACCCCGCTTGGATCAATAACACAATAAACATTTTTTTTGACGGACTAAAAACTCGAGACTAATCTTAAAAACAGTGCTAGGCAACCTGTTTAATCATAGACTGTAGAGCAATAATGGTAGTTGTATGGGGATTACTAAACATTAATTATTAGGCTTAAAGTTTTTTCTAAATAGATATGAAATTATATTAATTCCGCGAGTATGAAAGTTGGTTGTTTTTATCGGTAATTGGGCAAGGACTGTCAACGAATTCGTTCCCGTCGGTTTTTTTGGGAAAACCATTTTTTATTCCCCCCAGAATTTCTACCTTAACACTTGGGTATTAAGGCTCAATGTTTTATATTTTTATTAGGAAATGAAGATTCAAAGTTATAACGTTTGAAACATTAAATTTTCTGACATGTTATTGACACATGAAGGCAAAAAAATAAAAAAAAAAAAAAAAAAAAAAAAAAATTTTCGACTCGGGCAGGACTGACCGCTGTCAGCTTTCCGTGCTGTTGCTCTAATTGGTATCGCCCCCAAAAATCTTTCAAAGAAGATTAGAATTTAATGAGTGTTTTTATTTTTTCAGATATTGCACACAAAAAGATAAGATATATTGTCAAAGAAAAGTGATATATTTAATATGCCAGAAACGAAACGCAAAAATAAATCAAAGCTGATGTGTGATGTTCATTGTTTAATATTTTCCGTAGGTACTGAACCTAATAATAATTTGATTGTAACAACTTATTTCAGATTTAAGTCCACTTATTTTATACACAGACTGTGTCATTTCTTCTCATTTGTCATCTTCCAGCACCCAGTATGATTTTGTTTAAAGATCTTGAGAATTAACTCTATGTGACTTTTTTTCTTTTCCTTTTATCTCGTTAGCCATATTTATATCGTATTTTAAAAGTTAACTTATATATCTCTTTATGTTATTTAAATAAAGTAAAGTACTTCTACATTAAAAATCGATTATAAATTGAAAAAAAAAAATTATTAGGGTATTTTTAATTTATCATATACAATAATAAGTAAAAAAAAATAGTTCTCAAAAGTACTTACTTGCCATATTCGTCCTTTGAGAAAGTGGGTTTGGCGTTTTTGTCGAAATGCCCACTGAATGCTGTAATTTTCTGTAAATCACTGTGCGCTTGAGCTTTTGTGTCAAATGCGGAAATCAGATCTGTCAGTGATGAACTCTGAAAAGAAACGAAATCAAATACCGTCTGTACTTTACGCAAGTAGTACACATTTAAATAAAATACTTATTTGAAAATTATTAAGTCGCGTTTTAAACCGTTAAAGTGTTTTATCTAAATAGAAACACGATTGTTGGAAAGGAGAATTTAAATACGATTTTTTAGCATATAGACTATAAGAACACCTTGTATAGTAAGTGATTGAGAGGCGGACTTGTAAGCATAATATTTTTGGTGGAAGGTGAAATACCGTAGATAGACTCACAAGATGTGTTGTCGACCTTTTTTGACTTTGGATTGATTGACTGAAACGCGATTAAACTTAAGGTTTTTCATCTGTGGACGGTGGTTCGTTGCCCAGGCAGAATTTTGATATTTCCACCCCATTTAAAATTGCAAAGTATTTGAAAAAATATAAATTTATTAAAAACAAATAGAACAAGGGAGAGATGGAACCCGCGGCCCTTTGTTTAGCCAGGTTTGATTTTTAAATATAAAAAAAAAGGGCCAATAAAAAAAACACCAAGACAAAGACTGATAAAATGTTTACTTTCGTTTAGCGAAAATATAACAATCTTAGTTGGTCAATAAAAATTAAGAATACGTCCTCGGGGCGGCTTTTGCCAAACTTTGAAATGTCTTGAAAAGCTAAATTATTCCACAACAGGTCTGGAATTAGTTTGAACATTGGCATTCAAGTATTTTGTATAGAGACGTAATAATATTAAACTTTAACATAACAACACAGATTAAATACAATTGTTTAATAAGTTTAAATGTATAATCGTTGAAGTAGAGATTAAACCCGGTACAAGTTTATTAGAAATATGTTTTAAATAAAAGGTTTAGTTCTGAAACATGAACTCTTTTTAAACATAGAACCGATACGACATACTTTACAATAATTATTTTTCTGTTTCCAAATTACAACGATTACAATTGTATTTTTAAATATCATCGAAGCGACTATTATATGCAAACGTCCTACATAAATAGTTATTAATTAATAAATAATAAATAATTGGCAATCAATGACGCTTTTGTTCTAAAGTGGTGAAATATGGTGGTGACAGAAATCTTCATAGACTTGCCAGTTGTTCAAGAATTTGTTGTCATAATTTCTCAAACATGACGGTGTATTCTTTTTTAAGTTTTTAAATATTACTTTTTCCTATATTTGTACGTTTAAATTATCCATAATTAAACAAAGGCTTCTATCTATATATTTTTGTATGTTGGCTTTATTTAGATTAAAAATCACAGGACACGGGGCACGAGAGGCCCCCGAGGTGTATTGACACCTCTCGTAGAAGTTCAACGGTGACGTGTAGGACTCGGTAACTCAATTGGTAGAGCAACAGCACCAATCGCTGTGGATGCCGCCTGTGAAGTCCTGCCAGTGTGGTATTTTTTAAATCCAAATACATTTATATTAGACTAAGACACTAAGTTAATCAATCGTTTTTAATCCTCAAGTTTAAATTTAGCAAACTTCATACTTCTATAACTTAATCTGAATTTTAATTATTATGATATAATATATATTTCGGACTTTAGACAAGCCTTTGTAATGATCCTAAATAAATTGCTCAAAGGGATTTAGGTAAACAAATATTTCTAAAAGGGTTGGTGAACTTCTAAAGGGGTGGTTATAAGTGAACTATTAGGACAGTATGTATTTGGGATGGCTTTGAATGTTTTTGTTATGACAGTAGACAGGCAAGAGTGGGGTACTCTTAACGGAAGTTGAAAGGTCCAAGATTTGTAACATTACATAACGATGAGCTGTCGTCCTTTTTACGCTTTGGTAAATCTAAGACTACACTTGACGAACAGGATTACATATCTATCACCTATTTAGTGTCTAGACTTCCTAAATGGTCGTAACTTATTCTAACATGATAAGGAAAATCAGAAATCGATGTAAGTCTTGTATTGCTAGTACCAATGGGAATCGAACTCTCGACTCTTGCTCTCGGCTCTGGTCAAATTTATTGGAAGTACAGTTTAATATCCTAGAAATGAATGTTGATGATTTCATATTTATTTCATTTGATATTTAAAGTGAGATTACGTTTCCCCCGGTGGGGTATGAAGCGACTACATTTCTGTGTCCGTTTTTATTTACAGACAAGTAGTATATCAGATGTCTGTGGCCTGCCGGGCCGAACCAATATATTGTTTTCCTCGGGATTCGAAACCAAGTCCTCTCGCGATTAATTCAATGCGTCTAATCATTTAGCTATAGATTTAATCGTTTCAAATTAAACGTATCAATACGTTTGTAAATTAAATTTTAATAGTAGTATTTGAAGTGCCTTTTAAAAAGAGCAAGTGGATTTTTATTTAGATCTATAAAGGACCTTTTATGGAAGGAGGTAATTTGTCTTCGAGGAGTCTAAGTTGACAGCCCTGCGTATTTGCCTTCGGGGAATAGTAGCTTGAATTAATCACACTTGGGACCTTTGTAATTTGTGTGTGCTTAAGCTACGGGCGAAATCTGTGTCATATTTTTTCTCTTGCCAAATCATGTCACATATAACAAAGGTAATGGTGTAATCGAACACTGATTTATTACTCAATAATGTCTGGATGAATTTTTAAGGTTTTTTTATGAAACCCCCGGGAAAAGTGTGCACAATCATTAATTCTGTAAAAACAATTCAATTTTTTAAATAGTTTTGTTTATCTTAAAACTTCTATAGACGTCAGTCAGTGTATATAATTTTTCTTAAATTCTTATATATTTATGTCTACCCTATTTTTTAATGCCAAACTTTTTCCTGCCATTGTATATAATAAGTAAAATAGTTTTAAAGGGAATATATAAAGGAAGGCAGGTGAGACTATAGGATGGGAATATATTTAATGATCTGGATAGAGGTCTGCGTGGAAAAGTGTCACCAATAAACAGATTTTTGAAGAAGGTTTTCATGAAAGAAAAATTTATTTTTATAAAACACTTTTAACAATTAAATGCGAAAACCTTTATTTCGCATTTTTTAATTGTTAAAAGTGAAAAAATAAGTTGAATACTATATTCAACTTACTATACCCCGACATTTTAGATGCTTCCCAGCAGCCATGGTCACGGGGGACTATGCATCAGAAACGTTTTGCCAAAATTATAATAAAAAAAATATTTTATCATATATAATTTCAACAGATAAAAGTGTTTCATTTTATGTCTCCTACTCGCGTAAAACTACTGACAATACTTAAAGAGATAATTAAAAAATATATCGTTTCATCGTTCATTTATTTTATTAAAATAATCATATGATGTGTCATAATGTATAAAAACTTTGTATGTACTTTACGCGAGTGGTACACATTTAAATAAAATACTTTAACGGTTTAAAACGCGATATATTTTTGTTAAACTTCTTTCTTTCTTCGGATGCTTAGCAGCAGGCCGGATGCTTACGCGACCGTGGTCGTAACGTTTTAAACCGTTAAAGTGTTTTCTTCAAATAATATGTTAAATAACAATAAGCTCTCAAATATTGTATTGTAAATAAACACCTTTAAATCTAATTTAATACAATTTCAGTGTGCAGTCTATATATGAATCGGAATGCTGTACGTAGGCATTGTTTGAAATCCTTTGAGAAGCTCAAGATCATTAGAATGATTAATCTGAGTCTACCATTGAAATTGCGTTGCAGACTGGTGAGTCACATTGTTATATATTTCTCTTGTTAGTCCTTATGCTGTTATAAGAAGACGAATTTAAATTTCATTCTTTAATCAGTTTTGACCTAGTAATTCTATATTCTATCTTATATCTATACGTTGAAAAAAATCGACGATGAGGTGTAGGACTCGGTAGCTCAATTGGTAGAGTAACAGCACGGAAAGCTGACGATGGCGGTACAAGTCCTGCCTGAGGCGAAAATTTTTACAATTTATTTTCGATTTTTAAATCATCTAGTTATTCTATTTCAGTACTAGCTGTGTCAGCAACTTCGTCCACGTTGAATATTTATTTTGGGCATTAAAATTGTTTTTGCTAATATCGTGCAAGAACGACGTCGTCCGCTACCGTCCGCTACCGTCCGCTACCGCTACCTACGTCGTTCTAGCAAGTTAATCTTAAAAGATACAGAAAGAGAATATACGGTCGTTGACTTTGTTTTTAACATTAAAAAAAAAACATTCGTTCATACATATTTCCTAATTGTCTTTAACCGTTTTCGCATCGAAAATCCACAGAGATGAATAACTTCCCCCCGTGTTTCGACATTTTCCGCCATTTCTTCGCCCCTAGTATCGCAGAACGATTATAGTCTTCATTAATAAATGCTTTAACAACACAAAAATAATTATTCAATTCGAACAAGTAGTTCCTGAGACTAAACAAAGAAACAAATTCTTCAGCTTTATATGTTAGTGATAGTGTCTCGCTCGAATAACATCTAACTACATAAATTGTGCTGCTGAACTATTTCTGTTTCATTTATAAATCGAATTTTGCAATCAACGGCTTTTCTTATTAGTGCACCGGAATTTTTGATATTACTAATATCCGATATTACTACGAGTTAGTCACTGAGTTTGTACAAGCTGTATTATCATAGATGTAAGGGAGATTCTTAAAACTAACAACATTTCAATAAAGATGCCTAATGTTTTTTCTCAGTCTTTAAAATGAAGAACTTGAAATAGTTAAAATACAAACTTCTATATTAATATTATAAAGCTGAAGAGATTGTTTGTTGGTTTACACGAGATAATATCAGGAATTACCGGTTCGAGTTAAAAGTTCTTTTTTTTATGTTGGGTGAAACATTTATCGAGGAAGGGTTTAAGCTATAAAATGAAGTGAAGAGAAGAGTGAAGAAAAAAGGGAAGGCTTTAAGGGTTTCCATTGCGTGCGCCGCGAAAATGATTCAAGGTACCAAAACAATATGTATGGAAGGGTCATCCCTCTTTAAATGATGTAAAAAAAAGTCCGCGACGCTATATGTCTATCTTTGAAGATTAACTTGCAAGAACCACCCGAACGACGGGACGCGTACGACGGGATACGAATGTCGTGGGTAACAGCTGTAATGAATTTCCCCCGTTTTGTTCACATTTCCCGCTGTACCTTCGTTTCTATAAGTCACAGTGCGATGTTTTATAGCCTTAGCCTTCGGTAAATACCTTAACTAACATAAAAATATTTTTTCAATTTAAACCAGTCGTTCTTGAGATTAGCGCGTTCAAACCAACAAACAAACTATTGAGGTTTATACACTAGTATAGATAAAGAACTTGTAATAGTTAATAAATATTTTATATACTTCAGATAATGTAATAACTCTTCGTATGCGAGTATAAATCGCACTTTACCGTTTTTTTCGTGAATCCTTAACAACTGCCACTAAATCCTACTAAAAAATGTGCGCAATAAAATTTGTATATATAATTAAAGAGCTCGCCTCATTATTTTTTGATCAACAAACGGAAGTGTTACACATGCATAAACATCTTTGTGTATGACGGAATACATCTTCCTTGGCCCACAGCCAGAGATGTCCGTGACCCGAGACAAAGTTACAAAGATCGGTTCGTGTACAAATAAATTTCATTATTATAGTGTCTTTTATCCGATAGGCATAGAAACACTAGTGTTTTAATAAAAGTGAAAGCTTTATTTAAGTATTACACTTCAACAGTTTAAAACGCGATATATGTTAGTTGAAACTTATTTAAAAAGGATTTTAAGCGAAACGTCGGGCCGTAGTGGAAAGAAATTAAATAAGTTTCACGAATAAATATAGCGTTCTAAACCGTTAATGTGTCTTATTTAAATATGTACTACTCGCGTAAAGTACAGACAATGCAAGTTTTATATTTATAGAAAGGTTTCTTATTTGAATAATTAAATCACGTTGGAAAATATGTATAAAAAAATATATTTCAAAGATTTTAATCAACGGCGATTTTAATATTAATAAAATTTCGTGTGAAGGATAGACCAATTTCAAAGATATGTTGGTTATTTTACTCTTTATACAAAGGTTGCCTGGAATGATTCGTCAAAGACGATAGGGCCGGGCCGCCTTTGCGCTAACTCCTTTTATTTAAATAACAAATTTAATATTACTATATTTTTATTTTATGTGTTTGTACAATAAAGTGGTTTATTATTATTATTATTTTAATAAGGAATATATTTACGTTTCATATCAAGGATAAGCATATAGTAGGGTACTAATATAGCTAAAAATTAGTAACTGTCAGGTAACAATTTAGCTAAATTGACGTTAAGTCATACCGTTTTAATAAACTCGGAAGCTTAATTATCATTTTAATTATTTTGTCATTAACGAAGCTCTCAATTTTCGCGCAGTAAATTTTATCAAATTTAAGATGTGTTCTATCACTAAAAAGCCCATTTAATTAGTATGCGCATACGATTTTCGCTTTGAATCTTCCCTCTGTAAATATCTACATTGACAATTCACGGGAGCTTTTACGATAACGTAAGGTCTACATTTTCCAGGTGATAGGTCTTTCATCTTTAATTTAAAAGCAGCTAGTAGACGAACTAATGATCCTTTGATTCTTACACATTTATGTACTGCACCGACAAATGTATGTCGTACGTATAATTTAATAATTCGTTACAACAAAAATTTTAAGTGGTAAGAAATATACGAATCATTCATTAAACGCCTATTAAATACTAAATATTAACACCTCAAGAATATTCATCGATATAAAATTAATACTTAAACAATTTAACGGTTTAAGACTGAGCTGGGATACTGCTGCTGCCCGTGAAGAATCGGGCTGTAGTTAAAATAATTAAAAAAAATAAGAACTAATATATATTTCGCATTTTTAACAGATGTTAAGTATACTTGAAACATCAGATTTTTAATTTCATTTTTGTATGCGCGTTATGCGATGCAGGCAGAAAGAGCGTAAGAGCGAGATAGCATGCAGCCGTCCTCCATTTTTTAGATTGTTTCTGTAAATGCACGAGTTATAATAAATAAGTAGACTATAAAAAATAAATCTTATATATTATTCAGTCACGTATTTTTTCAACATAACTAATTTCAGCGAATTAATAAACTCCTAAGTAGTTTTCTAATGCCACTTCCCAGCTAATCCCGTCGGTGTGGCACTAAAATGTGTTAAAGCCTTAAAAGATAAGTCCATAATCCTGTTAGACGGATAAACTGATTTACTGATTTTTGAAAGACAGTTTTTCAAAGTTAGTGGTATGGTGTACTAGGGTTTGTTTAGCTATGTCTATAAATCAATACAATCTTGTCATATGAGCAGACTGAAATTTATCAGAATATAAGTTAGATTTGTTATAAAATAATTGTACCTAAAAATAAAAATAGGTCAACCACAAGTTGGACTCTTGCGCGATGGGTTCCGTAGCTATCATTGAATTACTCGTTTTATTTAATGTTTAATAGCCCTTGTAGCAACACAATAAAAACTTTAGTGTAATTTTCAACACTGTAGTATTGTGGATTTTGAGGTACAACTTGGTGATAGACAGACCAGAGAGACAGACGGCAAGGTTCTGGTAATTTATAAAAATAAAATATACCGTATTCTCTATTTATCTATCTACTTCTATTACCGTATTCTATTTTAATATTTAAAAAAAATATTTAGATTCGTCAATTTTTTTTGTTTAATTTAATTAATTTAATTTTCTTGTCATTAAAGAATATCGTTCAGAATCGTTCAGACATAATATGCTTTTTGAGACAATCAAAATTTTATAACGTTTTTATATTTATTTATCGATATATTTGAAATCTCGTTTGACAATGTATTAACATACGAATACAATTCCCCGCAAATGAATATATAGATATATTTTATGGAGCTTATATTTGGGGATAGCTAGTTTATCCTTATTTCGTTAGTTCAAATGATGCCTATCACTATTTATGCTAAACTTGCTTCTATCTATGGTTAGATTTCCAGAGGAGTCTATGATGTTTCAGAAAATATAAAAAATGACTAGAAACATGTTACAAACCCACAACCCATTGTTTATTATCCATAAATTACTACCATTACACCACCAAACTCGTCATATATATTTAAAAGCATGTATATAATAAATCATCTTGCAATTCCATCCGTTACTCAGAATAATCCACATTTAATTTGTTTACAGAACCCATTCCAGAATAATTATGGGTCAAGGTGAATAATGTTATGACGTTAACTAATACATAATTCCTGTTTACAAGTCTTAAGGAATGTTTTCAAGAATTTTTCTCGTATGCTATATAAATAGAAATAACTGCCTTGTTGATTTTATATCCTATATTGTCTATATAGATTTTATATTGTAGGCTTATATTCGACATTCGGCAGTTAGGTTAGTTTAAATAAAACATTTTATTCTGTTTAAAACGCGAAATAAACTAACGCGAGAGCGTTTAAATATAAGTTAAATCTACATCCCAAAGTATGCCTGTTTTGTAAGGATTTAGCTACTTTCTCTTAAAACCTACAACGACGAAACAGATGGCGCTAGCGTAAGAGGTTTAATTTTGACAATAAGCATCCGAATATCCGCGATAGCTAAATTGAATCAAAAATGAGTTAACTAACATGTTTCGCTCTTAAAACTGATAAAGGTGTTTTATTAAAAGTTTCTCCTACTTCGAGTTATCGATATGATGCATAAATATAGGACGGATCTTTTGTAGCCTATCTTAATATAACGATTTATACTTCTAGTATAAATCGTTTATCTACGGAAGTAAACCAATAATGATTAAATAGAAAGGGGCTACTAGAGTTATATCAACGTTGCTATCCTGAAATTATTCGCCCGAATAAATCTGTATTTGGGCTGAATCAATTAGATTTGCAACTCATGAATACATTAATCAAGGAATTAATTACATAGGCATGAAATACATCTCATTTCGTGACGCTAAGATTTTTTGAACACAATATATAAATAACATTAAGCCCATGCTTGCCTGTCCTCTATCGTTAAAAAAAAATTAAAATGTCTACCACTAATAAAGCAGAAAAGTTTTCTTAAATAAAGTTTTAGATTAGTTGAATTAATCTAAAACTTTATTTAACATAATTGCCATTGTACATATCATATTTAATAATTTTTATCTAGGTTTAACTTTGCTTGGGGGCTTTGGAGCCGTACAAACGTGTTCCCAGGGATCCCTCAAAGCACGAGAGGGGGGGTGTGTTTAGTGGTAACGATTTACATGCCACACTTCCCATGTCACACTTGGCCGACGTGGGTGTGCATTAGGCATTCATACCATCAGTAAAAAAAATGGTTTGATTTTGCTAACAGACACGAGAAATACTTGAGGAAGACATAGTTCTATGTCTATTAGGTTTTACAACCATGACATCTACTACTTAACGCAATCGTTGTTGCAGACAAAGCATTTGCAAGTAGACTACGGTAACGAATTCTTCAATTGCTTCGATTCGCTACAAACGCTTCTGTGAACGTCTCTTTTTATAAATAAAACCTTTTTTGGCCTCTGTTAAGTAGTTACAGTTTGAATAAATTTAAATATAAAACTGTAACTGCTGTAACGTTTCTAAAACGGGCTGTAAAATAAATTTGAAATTAGTTAACGGATGTATTCCGCGTTTAAACCCTTAAATGGTTTCCTTTACACAGAAAGTACAGACTATACTAAACTAAAACAAAATTTTTGCGAGACTAATTCTTTTTGGATTTAAATTAAGAAAATATACCAACGGGACCTCTAGGCACCTCAATTGAGCGAGGCTGTTTGAGATTGAAATCCTTCAAGTTTAGGTTGTATGTTACCCGTTACGACTAAGTTATGATAGTGCACTGTTTACATCCACAGCGTTTACATCACACGCTAGATTAATACAATTAAAACTTATATAAATGAAGCCTTACCCTAGACCGGCGCTGTATTGAATCATCGCTGGGTATCGTCAGGAAATTTCCACTCATTTTTCGAATCACAACACTGAGGTACGTGTACACAGTATAACGTTGTGTCTTGTAATGCTGAGGAGGGTTTATGAATGAGTGACGGTTTTAAATAGCCCGCCTGACCCTGATAGTGACTGTAACGTAACGTAGCGTCTACGCTAGGATTGTTTAAATAGATTTGATATGTTGGAATTTGGGAAAGGGATTTCGTGAATCAGTATTTCAGCTGCTTGATATAGAGGGGAAACATGTCTGCGCCCAATTTACTTTGTTATGTGCTGTGTTTCCGTTTATAAGTGTCTACCTTCTTAAATCGTATTTTTTTTTATCTGTGTACGACTGACTTTGTTTGGTCGGAATAGCGATTCTGGGAACGTTTAATAGATTCAATTACAATAAAACAGTGAAGTGAAACCCCTTTTCCCCTCGTAGGGCATAGGGCGCACACAAATTTTGTGTCCGTTTCACTGATCGGCTTTATTCACAGGCAAGTAGGTGATCAGACTTCTGTGCCCTGCCCGACCGAAACATTTTACTGTCTCCCCGGGATTCGAACCCGGGACCTCTCGCGCTTAACCATTTAGCTACAGAGGCGGTTCAACAATGGAACAAATACAATTAAAATTTTATAATGAGATGGAAAATCTGTTCACATGTTTTTATTAAATATACAGACATGCTAATTCTATTAGACAAAAATAAATTAATTTATTTACTACCGTTAGTCATATGATATATGTAAATATAGATGTCCTTTATCTAGGAATTTTATAAGTAGATTTATATTTTCCGCCTCTAATATTTGTTGACTGTTTCTCGAGATTTTTTTTAGTTTGTCATTTCTTACTACACTTCTACACATGCTATGCATGACTCTAGTTGTTCAGAACTTCCTTTATCCACACTGGTTCTCTAACAAAAAGCTTCCTGTAATTACATTGTTAGGTAGACCATATTTTCTACAATTATTATGTAATATAGAAATAAACTGTTATTAACGCCATCTGTGACCTCTTAATTTAACTAATGGCGTCGAATAAAACAAAAGCGTATATTTGAAATACGGATATTTATTTTTTTTTCATAAAAATTCTAAATTCAATAATGTGTTTAAACATGTAACATATACATATATGCGTTTATACAAAGATATATGCAATGTTTAGTGATATTTAAATCTAGAATTGGAGCGTAACCGACTTACAAACATACTGATGTTGTAACATCACAATTTTATTCTTAAAAATAATATTTACCAAGTATTGTCAATTGGTAAAGGTATTTGTTAGAGCGATGACAATGGTTATGAATCTGTGCGCATTTTAAATTGAACGAAAATTAATCTATACTTGTCCAATTTAGGATGATGAATTTGACAAATCTTTGCACACATATCGGAACACTACGGCACTCTATCGGTACCCACCAATTTGGAAAGTGTCTTGCACCTTTGCAAATAACAATAAATAAAATCGATGGTAAAGTACTGGTGGGGTCACCTTTTTTATATAAATATTCCAAATACAATCTATTGATTTAAAGGAAAATTAATGAAAAGTATTTAAATTTATTCATATTATGTTATGACTTCCGAATTGCTATTATCATATATCAAATTGATCATCCTATATTGGACATATATGAACAGAGTTTAATGAAGAAAATATACTATTTATGTAGGCACTACATGACCAATACTATTGGTTTCAATAATGGACAATAAATCGCTTTTAGTACTATATTTTTTCAGAATATTTGACGACGCTAGTTATATAACAAATATTGTTTACAGATACTGTAAAGTTTTAATTTGAACACTTTAACTAAACTGTCTATAAAATAGAATAAAAAATCTATTTGACAACGATACTAACCACTCATTAATTCTTTACTACGGAAATCCTCGAAAGTCCCAAAACAGCATTTTGTGTAGTTAAATAAATGTTTTGAGATATTACAACGTGTTACAACATGTCCAATACGAAATATAGGTGGAAAGATTATAAAATCAACGATACGCGAGTCTTGAACCCACTATCCATAAGCTACCACTCTAGCTGTTGTTATACCAACTCAGCTATACAGCTTGGTTAATTAAAAACAACAGAATAAACAAAAAAATAATACTTAAGTTACTGTTCAAAAAAACTGCAGAGGACTTTCAGAATTTCCTACCTATAAAAGTAACGCGACTAAACAACAATTCTATAATAACACACGGAAGTTTCAAATCTATTAGAGATTAATAAAATAAAATCTAAGAAATATTTAATCTGCATCTACCATACTGTGCTTGTAGAAAAAGAAATCTGAAAATATTCAAATAAAAATTTATCGTTTACAATTCTAGAATTTCAGTCGAATCCGAAGTGATACAATTCAAAACTAATATAGAACTATTTTTTTCGAAGAAACATGTGTCTGCCAGAGTCTTTGAATTATTTTAAGTAATACAAATGAAGCAAAAGCTCTTAACATATATCATTGTATCGACTTTGAGGAGTTTAATGGCTCTCGTATTAAACCACTAACGGTTGGAAATACAAAATATTGATAAAAAGATTTATTCACAATTAAAGAGGCGTAAATATATTTTTTAATTTATAGAGATTTGGACTAGACAAACCACCTTTTCTATCTACAGATATGTTATCCATGATAAATGCTATAATTATTTGAAAATCTACTCTCCGTGTCGGATTAGTGATGTGCCTATTACATATATTTTCATCATCGCTTACAATGGATAAAAAATAGAAATAGGGATATGTTATACATAATATAAAAACAGGACTAAACTATATCGTGTATACGCTTTAATGTTGACCAGTGGGCATAGACTTACAGTTGGCAAAACAAACTATATTTATGACTTAACACTTTTCGTTAAAATGGTTTTAATCGCTATCATATAAGAAAACTAAATTGCAAATACAGCATTCGAATAAAGAAGAGGACGTGTAAGTTTTCGTAAATATTAAGAACGAATAAATAGATGGCGCTGGCATAGCAGTTTTAATATTTACGACGCATATTCAACCAAAGCTATGCTAGCTTAAAAGCAATACTTGAATCAACCGTTGCTGTTGAATTAGTTTAGTTAAATATTATTCGCGTTTATAGTAGGTTTATTTAACTCAAAGTTTTCTTTTTGTTAATAAAGGAAAGAAAATAGCCTGTAAATTTACGCGCGTAATATCCATCAATCACTAGTAATTACGTAGTTTAACGCTCCGAAGTTATTTCTCGCACCGAACCACGTGCAGCGCGCAGTCTAATTTCGTTAACGCGGAGTTGTATCATTGAAATAAGTCACAAATATGACGTTTATGCTTTATGCATCCGGGAAGTTTATATTTTCATAACTACTGCCCCAATAACATACAGAGCTGGAATTAAAGGTAAGTAAAAATTTAGTCAACTGTTTCCCAAAGCGTGTAGTTTACGCTAGTAGTTAAAACATTTAAATAAAACACTTAACGGTTGACCACGCGAAATAGATAATATATTTCGGTGGTTAAGTTATTTTTTTAATAACGTCTCAACGTTTCGAATAATTTGCAGCGGCCGGGGTGACGGGGAGACGTTAAATAGGGGATGTCCCTAATGTCAAACTAAAAGAGATGGCGCTAATTTAACAGATTTTCGCTGATAAAAGCGTTAAATATGTCTTTAGTTAAGAAGACGTGCGTTCTTCTGTTTCGATAAATCATTTTTTAATAAAAACAAAATGATGGTGTAATAACTATCATCACTGGCTTGACTCTCCAAATACCATATTAAGAGAACCGTATCTTGGTTTCAATGGAAAATTGTATCGTTTTTAAATTAATATAATTAAAATGATCTGATTTATCTTATATATAGATCATTATATTAACACAGCGATTTACCGTTTAAAGAGATCTGGAATGAATATTGTATCTACTAAATTAAGATCGTATACATCTTGAGGTATTTGCGTTTTGCGATGTTGAAAATATATGTGATTGTATTATGTGTGAATGCCAAACACCGTGTTCCTTACTAAAAATCTAACTGGACAGTGAGTTAACGTAACACCACAATTGTAACGAAAAATAATTTGAGCACTGAATGTCTAATTATATTATATTAAACACCTTTAAAAGTTATACAATATTTAATACCGATAAACCAGTATCCAGATAGGGACAAATGAACGATGAGCGAATATAACACTTAACACTCACGAACTATGAAACAGGTTTTATAATAATATAAATAACCACGACAGATTAGATATCTCATAACAATATCACAATTTTCAATAATTTTTACAAAAGGACGTAGGGAATATTTTTAAGATAACATTGAACAGGTGAAGCGTGAATGAATAGTGAATATGTGTCGACGTCTTTATATTTACACACAATTGGATCACATTACAATACGAACATGGGACGAAGGCTATGATCGTAGATTGAAAACATATTATTAACGTCTATTAGAACTTTCCTGAACATTCACCTAAAAGAACATATCTAGTCGAAAACCATTCTTCCGATACATCTTGCACTTACACATTTTCTCGTCAGAAGCATTAACAAAGGAAATAATTTACATAAGGCCATATTATATTAACTGTACACGTATAACGATTAGATGATTAATTAGATAAATAATGTTTGATTTATTATTACTTTTTAAGGATAAGTTAATACGTTCGTATTAACGACAGTTTGGTCCATAAACAGATTAGTACATAATCGCGTAAGTCCATCGAAGCATCAAGGAATCCGCCAAAACGTCGAATGAGAAACCGTATCTACCCGAACGCCACAACCGGGCTCTAAATGGAAGATGGAATGGAACCGCACTATGTTTTATTGAAGTACTATAGCGAGAAAATTCACGAGAATAATTTCGTCGAATCCCTAAATATCGATGGACAGAGCGCCCGGCCGCCTACGGTCAGTCTTTTTCGCTAATTACGAGTTTGTGCAAAATATTTCTACTAGTCGCGATAACTTAACACCGTATATTTACAAGAACGAATCCCGAGGAGAATAAGTAACGAGCTCTGACCGAGAACCGCCGGAGCGCCTCGGCTTGGAACACCTCGAGATTGTCAATCGTCCCTTACTTCGCTGGTGTTTACGTATTAGGGCTATTGTTAACTTATCACAACCGGTATGTCCAGTCGTATTTAAGATCCGCAGATGACCACCAGTGGCTATCATAAACGCCTGCCATCAAAGAAAGATGACGCAACTGCTATGAGGATATTACTTTCCTGATCATCATAACCACTGTTGGAGCGTCCCCGATCTATTGGCTTCACTGGAACACTAGATCACAATTTACAAAGTTCACGTAGGGCCCGGAGTGCCAGTCGGCGCTTCAGCTCGCATCTCCGACTTTAATTTCACAAATTCACGAGCTACTTCGTCACTATGCCTCTGCGATAGGATCCTAAGTATCGTCCATCCTGTTTCGTCCATTTTGACACGTGTCCCGAGCGGCAGCCAGCACGCGCATGATCCCTGGGAATAAATACGAGCATTATTTTGTAATCTATCTAGATGATAGAAGTAACAGCGGAGGTACACCGAAGGAAGGTAGACAGACAGTTTCTAAATACTACCAAGAGTTAGAAGCCGCAATATCAGAGGATACATCTTCGTTTCAGCCACATCGAAGGAAGGTAACTAAAGAGGACAACATAGATATCTGCTAAATACGTTCTACCAAGAGGTTGCACATTCATACGACAGAGAAATTCTCCACAGAAATAACTAAAAACAAAAACACAGATCGAACAGTCTCTGGACGCGGCACTTACAGAATCAGCCATTTGGTTTTGCCGATCCGCCACGCGTGTTATCATTCGGTTAACACTTTCGTTTTTCTAGTGACAAACATAATATTATTATAGTTTAAAATGATTATTGACATTTGGAAATGGTACGTGCAACATTTTATTGCGTATTACATTATTTTATTTTTGCCAAAAAAATTTGAGTTTAAAGATACATTTTACGCCTAGGTAATGTGACGTTTAGCTGAGAAAAGCGAGTATTATGTTTATAAGTAAAGATGATTGAAAAAGGGGTCCAAATGAAGTGTCTTTGTTTAAAGATATGTGAAATGTAATGAATACAACTTATGAAGATGATCTTGTGTCTATTCTTGTTCTCTTTCTTTGCAATGTTTGCATGTACCATATGAGGATAATGAACCAAATTATAATTGAAACAATAACGTTAATTAGCTTTCTTATGAATAAATGGAATGTTAGGAACACTATCAATTGTGTGTTGTTTTATATACTACGTAATCCATTTCTATTTACTAATAAATTCGTTCCGAGATTCCCTTGTTTTGCGCCATTGATCCACTGAGTTCAAAACTCTAATTGTTCTAAGTAAATTGTAAATTACTTTCAGCTGACTTGCTATTGTAAGATATAGTTATACCATAAACTAATTTATGAATGAATGTGTTGCCCACCTGTTCAGCAATATCTGCTAGACGCATGACAGCAACGCCAACCAGCCGGTCCTCCCTTGCAAAGCAGTAATCTCGTACACAAACGTGCAGCTCGAACAATTCCAGCTGTTCCGTCGCACTCACCATGCTGCCAATATTATTTCAGTTACAAAGAATCCCATTGAGGGTTATTATTGTCGAGCAAATACAAATATTGTCGAGGCTATTAGAGGGCTGAGAAATTCAATAGATTAATATTAAATAAAAAAGAAAAAAATAATAAATAATAAAAACGAAAATTTTACACATCGACCCTTGTAAATAATGTGATTTTACTTACGACGTAGAAGTGAGTAGAACTCGTTTCCCGACCCGCCTTTTTGTATATTTTTATTATTTGTTTAAATAAAATTTGAACTTAAATAAGCTCTCAAATGCATGCAAGATTCCCCTAAACACGACACTTTAGTGACAAGACGCCATACAACTTTTTGTTTAATCTTAAATTGGTTTTGCTATCATAATTTATTGTAAACTCTTTTCGAGTTTATTGCCAGTTCCTCTCGTTTGTTCTACGCCCTTGATTTGAAAACTGGTAGCAAATGTTAAATTAGATTCTCTAGTTTTATGATGTACTTAGTTACCTATATGAACAAATGATTTTTGACTTAGACTTACAAATGAAACGTTTCATTGAACTTGGGACTCCAGTTGTTACTCTTCGACTTAGTGGCGAATTTTCGCTTCTTGTCAGCGAGGTGAGGACCGATGAGATTCACCTCGATGAACGGACGGAACATTCCACTTGCTATCACCCACTTCAAGTCGTTCGCTGCCACAACTGGATTAAGAATGGTTTTTGTACACAAACAGTTATAATAGTTTTGTCATGCTTACATCCTAATACGAAACCTTTTCTTAACTTATGATGAGAATGCCTAATGCACGCCCATGTCGCACAATAATGACGTGGGAGAGTGTGGTAAATTGTACTACAATCTCCTCAGAGACAAAATCCGACCAGTACCACTAAACACACCACCAGCCCATTACCAATAGTATATGTTTCTGTATGTTTATTTCATAGTTTGTATACGTCTATTAAGAGGGATCAATTAAAGATTTATGAAGATTTTTTTTGTGTTCTATTGATCTAATTTTGTGAGTCTATAAATAAATTAATTATTTCCTGTATGTATGAGCACAGAGATTCTATCAATATTTAAATAATATTTTGCGTTATTTACTAACAAAACATCTCACAACTCACCCTTAACAGTAATCTTATGTTCTCCAGTGCCTGGATGTGTGAAGAGGTCCACTTGGAGCGAAATCTCACCCACACTCCCTTCTTCTGCCACTGCAGCATCTTGAAATTTTAATTTTTCTTTACATAAAGTATCAATAAATAGTTCTATCCTTAATAAAATTGCTTGTAACAATTCTTACTCAAAGTATTATACCAAAACGAACCTTGGTTTTGTTGACTTGTAACAAACGTTCTTATAAGCGTATCTGTGGTTTGTGTGTACAGACTCAAAGCGTATCTCAGAGATTGCAACTCAGGACTCTTCTCCAAGAAAGTTTTCTTTAGCCCATTACCACCCGCATGGAAGTACTGCTTGATGGTGTCTAACGCTGCGTCAAGAACGGCACATTGCTTTGGTGTCAAACTCTTCTCCGCTGATAGGTGCTGTAAGTTTTAGAGTCAATTTGAAACGATGTCTAATATATATTCGTATTTTAGGCCTTAAAAAATTAAGTAAGTCACATTCGACAAAAAACATTTATTGAAAAGTTTGATGGGTAGGGTACGAGTCAAGGTAAAATTAAAAAAAAATAACAAACAAAAAATATAAAAGAATAAGGAGAAATGGTAAAGTGTGCTTTGTTGCGGCGCCATAAAAGTAGTGAAGGAGAACGTAAATCTTTTCGAAGCAGCATTGTGTGTAATTTTTTGTATTCTTATGTCATTTTTAAGTCATTCATATCATTTAGAGTAAAATTAAATGTCGAAAGGGAAACATCTAGAGTGTTTTATTCTCGACGACGAAACACACTAACCATAACATTCCTATATATCAATAAAGTTACCAACAATTAAACAACGACTCTAGAACCCTATTCCATACCTCTTTGGAAATATCCATCACCCCGGATAAGGCATGCTTCACGTCCTGCTTGCCAACTGTACTCTTGAACAATTGCGTCATGTCTTCAATCTTGGCGTTCGCTGCCAAGTTCTTTGCGTTGTTCGTCAAATTCTTCAGCATCATCTGTTGGATTGATATAATGTTGTTTGAAATATAATTTATTTGCTTCCATATGGTGTGTTGACGAAGATAATAAATCAGTCTTTAGTGGTTTGTTATAAAAAAAGTTATTTTGTGTTGTTTGGTTTATTATATTTATTTATTTATCACAGATTTTTTACATGCTCAAAAAACAATTTGTTCTAAAAGGAGTCGAACCGAATTTTCGGGTTCGATCTTTATGTCATATTTGTTAAACATTTACAATAGAAAAAAAATTACCGTCTTATCCGTCATCGGCGGAAGCACGACAGTCTTCTCAAGAATCTTCATCACAATCTTCCAGAGCTCCTTCAGCAGCCGCTTTAGAACCGTCTTTTCGCACGACTCGGCATACATCGTTAATGAACCATCCTGTAAATAATCATTAAATAATGAAATCCTCGTTTCTCCTGTGGAGCATGCGGCAAACACATTTCTATGTGCAAACAAATGATTGAATTTTTTCGCAGGCAATTGGTTGAGCAAAACTCTGTGCCCTGTCCGACCGAAGCATTTAAAATTATAGATTATTCTTCTTAATATAAAATACATTTGTCGTAATATACTAATGTTGTCTTCTTTACCAAAATATCCATAAGCGGTCGAAGAACTTCATCAGCCTCATGATGTGCAGGTGGCTGTGGCTGGCCTGGCGCTGCTCCGCCGCCTACTTTCTGCAGCAGTTCTCCTAGTTCTTTTACACTCGCTGTTATTCTTGTCTCTAAGCTGCAGAGCAAAAGGAAAATGGTGTTAAAACTCTTCAAGAACTTTTAACACCATTTTAAGATGCGCTGCCGGCCTATTTTGGCTTTGGATATTTGGAAATCCACAAACTGAAACCTAAACGCGATTAAGATTCGCGGCTTTTTTATCTGTGGTCGTGCCCGGACGAAATTTCTATATTCCTACCACCCATTTTATATCCAGATTTCCAGATGAAGTCCAACGTGTTTCAGAAAAATTAAAAATGGAAAAATTTGAAACATGTCGGACCCGATGAGGATTGAACATCAGACCCGTTGATTATTAGCTATACATTGTTACGATTACCAACGTGCCCGTCAAAGGCGTTTTTATTTTTATTTAGAATAGGCTACTGTCATTACGATGATAATTTTACTATGAAGATTCATACATTTATATAAACGTACCTATTAGCAAACATCGAAGCCAGTTCATCCAAAGTACTGTTCAGGCTTTGCTGTAAATCATTTAGGATATCTGCCGCATCTCTCTCAAGCTTGTTACCGCCCATCGCTTCAAACATTTTTTCCAGTTGAACGCGAAGTTGTTGAATATTGTTCATTAGAATACACGCCTGCCATAATGAATTGTATTTCTTTAATAGGAGAATATTTCATATAAACAATTTAACTATATAATATAAGACAAAACTGTTTCTTATATAAATAGGTAAATTTTACATAGCTTTACCACGTACACCTTTGTCACCAAGGTGAAACACAAAAATTCTATACATTTTTAATTGTAAGAGGTAATAAGAGTTATGTTTTTGTTATTTATTTAGTTTAAATGTGATCAATAACCAAAAAGTATCAAAATGTTCACGTTTATTGACACAAAATAGCACTTGTAGTAACAAAAACTTACCACTCTTTCTTCCTTAAGATGTTCAGGAAATTCCTTCTTAACGATATCAGCATATGCCACCAGTACCTTGACAATGGTCTTGGCAAACCTCTTCATATACCTTTTCCAAATCTCTGGGTCAGGACATTCAAGCTTGGAGACCACGTCGAAGCACTGCGTCAATTGGGTGAAGACGTCCACTACTGAATTACTGAAGAGGGCGTGTTCACTCGATTTTTGGAACTAGAATAAGAATAGACACGTTTGGTAAGGAACACACGGAAATCTATACAAATATTACAAAGCTTGTTTGTTTGTTTGTTTCAACTCGCTGACCTCAGAAACCACTGGTTTGAATTGAAAGAAATTGTATTAGTAAGAGAATGTATCGGGGAATGCTTTAGGCTATAAAAAATCGCGCTGCGGCTAACAAGAGCGAAGAAACAGTGAGAAATATATAAAAAACGGGGAAAATTATTTATCTTTGTGGGTTACTCTTGCGTACGCCGTGAAATCTATTTAATATACCTAAAAACATGTATGAAAGGAGGATTCCTCTTAAAACGATCTAAAAAAAAATGCGATTCGACGAAACGATTCGACACGGACGACGTAGTGGGTAACAGCAAACATTTATAAAGATGACGAGAAGGTTTGAATTGGTGTCAAAATAACTACTCAACGCAGATGAAGTCGCGGCCACATCTAGTATTTATATATAAATATTGCACTATACCTAAAAAATCTTAGTTTACCCACACCAAAGTTTTATTAAGTATGTTATCCATCATATATTTCGTTTCACTACTCTCAGTAGCTGGCATAGAACAATATATAATTAGCAAACAAAACAATACCATCATCACTACTTACTCCATCTCTCTTATCTCTGTTGAAAGCGCCAGTCAGGTATTCAAGAGATACATCGTCATTCTCATTGAGCCACTGCATCACGAAAGGCTCGAACCAAGCTGGATATTCTGGTACCGCTCCACAATATGGTGGAACATCTTTCACATATTCAGTATACAGCCATTTTACCTGAAATGTGACAATACAATATTAATTAATACACAATAGAAATATTAACAAAGGACACCCCCTTAATTAGTTAGAGCAACAGCACGGAACGCTGTCGACGCCGGTTCAAGTCGTGCCCATGCCGGATATTTTTTTCAATCTAAAATCGATTTTTAATTTATAAAGCGGAATATCCTAACCATATTATAATATCTCAACAAGACTAATAACAACACCGTCGGCCTAGTTTCGTTTTGGATATTCGGAAATTCACAGACTCAACACTCACTCACTCTTGATTAAGCACAGTACCTTTTTTAGCTGTGACGGTAAATTGGAATTTTCAATATCCCGACAAAAAATCAAACAAATTACAGAAAAATTATACATTTATTGCATTAGGTGGGAACCGAACCCACAGTCCATTGATTTTACATTTATTGATTAGTCATATATTGTTTTTAATTTTATTTTGACAGAGTAACAGCACAGTACTATTATTTGATAGAGAGATTGATATTAAGTGTTAATTTTTAATAAATAATTGTACCTTGAAATGTAAATTCATGTAAGCGGACGATTTACATAGTCTGTGTTGTTCATGTTCTTCGAGCGCATACTTCATATCGACAGCAAAAAGAGACCACATCGTGGCTGCTGATAACTGAAATTATAATTATTATTAAATCTTCACAGAGGAAAATTACACCATACATGGTTATTTATAAAAATAAATAAATAAGAGATTTTAATGAATAGATCGTTTTAATTTTGCAATATTCTAATTTCCTGTATAATTTAAATAAAACACTTTAACGGTTTAAAACGCGAAATATATTAGTTAAACTTACTGACGTAGTTTTTACTCAGTCTCTCCATGACCACGGCTGCTACAAAAAACATCCGAATCGCCGGGCCGTATTTCAAATAATTTCCGAATATATTTAACTAATATGTTTCGCGTTTTAAACCGCAATTTTTTTATTTAAGTGTGTACTACTCTGTGCGTGTGCTGTGTGTTTACCTGTCCAATATTAAGCTCCTGTGGAAACTGATTCAAGACGGGCGCGTAGCTGTTTCTATCTTCCTCTATGACAGATATGATAAGACCGATAAGTTTGTGCCAAAAATCCACTGAGTCCAGTTGGGGGCCGTGATCCGAAGGGTCCCTTTTCGCTTCGTTGGGGTCCACCTGTAAATTTATTCAATATATATTAGCGACAGGTTGACAGACTGTGTTTGGTTCACTTCATGGAAGGCACCGTCGACCTATTTTCGCTTTCGATATTTGGTAATACACAAAATTATACTAGTTGGCAATTAGGCAGGGCGATTAGTTGTACAGACTTAAGTGCCCTGCCCGACCGAAACGGCCAGTTTTTGGAATTTGAAACCCATGTAATTCCAGGTCATGCTATTAAGTATTGTGCCATCGAGGCGGTATAAACATATTTATTATACGAATTATTTTCCATTAGGGGCATGTGGCGAACCCATGTCTATGCGCCCGTTTCACTTACGGACTGTTAAAAGCTACAGGAAGAAGCAATATTATAGTTATACCGATCTAAGTAAAGTACAATATATATTTGTTTTTTTTTAATACGTTGTTCATTATTAATTTTAATTATTCATAAATTGGTTATTATTTTTCACGCGTCTAAGAGAACAGCTGATAAAAAAACGGTTTACAAAAAGTGTTGAACTACTAAAAACAATACTAACCAATCGTAAACGGTATTAAATTGACGTTTACCATTGGTCAGTATTACACAGTATTAAATATTAAAATAATAAAGACTTACTTGAAATTCCCTGTTAAAGAGTTCGTAGCAATTTTCGAAGAGAAATTGATATGTTGATCTCAAACACGCTTTCACGCAATCTTTCACCACTGTACTGGCTCGCGGAGGGCTACTCAGCTCTTGGACCTAATTCAAAGCAGGTGTAAACAAAATACGATAAGTTATAGAATAAGTAACGTATGATAATAGCATTCTAAATAGACCCTTTTGACCGAAACGGGGACTCTATCGTCCGTATGTGGTAAAACACTATTGACAAAAAAACAGCTATAAAGAAGATATTAAAGTAACTTGTTCTAACTCTGAGAAATTGTAAGAAATCTCATTATATACTTCACCTTCATCCTGAAGAAAGTTATACTCGTCAAAAGATCGACGGTAGACTTGAGGTCCATAAGTTTTTCAGCGCTCGACGCGGGGAAATTATTCCTGTACATCGAGAGGTCGATACGAAGCGAGTTGTGGAGCTGGTCGAGGAGTTTCACGAACTTTTCTTTCTGTTATTAAAGAATAAGTGGATTATCGACTTCGGCTATAATACGTTAGTGTGAAGCTTTGGAAACTGAGGTGATTGAATCGAACTGAACTTTCGGAGAGTTGGATGAAAAGAATTTTACCCCGAGTATGAAATGAGATGAGATTGTATAGATTTCTTTGCTTTTAGTGTTATGTATATAACTGAATATATATGCCAGTACTTGTTTATTGTTTGTTTTATTTTTTTTATTTATTTAGTTTATTATTATATATTAGTAGGTATAATTCTTTAAGTGTTATTAATAAATTTATAAATATTCATTAAGTAGATATAAGGTTTTAAATTTAACGTTGTCTTCAAATATCTTTTATTCACAAGACATTTATTCTAATGATTCAAATAAAGCACATAATGCTAAATATGCAACGGGACAATTGTTTTTAATTGAGAAAGGGTTAATTCCTTTTATCTTTAAGGGTCGGCTTATAAAGCGACCCAAATCCACCATGTTTTATTTACGCAAGCTTTATTAAATCTAGATACCCATATTAAATTTAGCAATAAAGTCTATTACAGACGTAATTATTACGTAAACATTTCCACCACAACACAAACCACGTGTGTTTTTTTTATAAATATCACACGTGGTGTAATGTAATTATAATTTTGGATCATAAAAATATATAAACTTTATAAATATTTTAAAGAGATTTATTATATAACGCACAGATGACACCTCATACAATGAAATTACGATGTATATTATCTACCAGTTCACATTTGGCCAGAGCCAATACCCAAATAATATTTTTTAAAATAGGGATTAAATCTTACCCCAAAATTGGATGCTGCGAATCTATCTGACGCTGAAACAGCAGAGGAGGCAGTTGTGTGTGCGTAATAAGCATTGATATTCGCTAACAGCGTCGACATAACAGCTGGAACTCCCGCGCAAAGATACTTTGTGGATAGACAGTGGAAATGCCTGGAAATAAGATTACGTATGTGAGTTATTAGCTTGTTATTACAAAACATATCTTTAGATACTAAATACACAACTTTTTTTAATAAAGCTTCAATATTTTCAAAAGTTCTATATAGCTGATATTTTCAGTAATTCCAGTTAAAAAGCAAAGATTTAAAATGCGCCATATAAACATTTTGAAATATAATTGTTGTTTAAACTCGTTTAAACTAGTTTTGTGTCATGTCTAATTTCTTAAATGGATAGCTTACGTCATAGCCTGGTAAATGGATTCGATGCCGTATCTCATAGCGAACTCGTCTACGATTTCCTCTGGATTTTCATTGAAGTAAATTTTCCATGCGTCATCTCCCCGCGCTGCCGGCAGCGTCACTGCTCCGCCGTTTTCTTCACAAAGGTAGTGGAAAAGATTTTCATGAAGACAAGTGTACTGAAATAAAAAATATATCATTAGCATCATAGTGCTAAGAACAAGCCTACTACTATGACAGCCGCATTCTAAACATACATATGGATTATCACAATTACGTTGTTTATAATGTAAACTGCGTTTTAATTCATTTCTTAAAAAAAGCCCGAAGTTAAAAATAAAACTTAGTTAACATTTTTTATTATATAATACTGGCTTCTCTATAAATCTACAACATATTCCATTTTTCACGCTTTAAATGTGCCAGCGACTTAGTCCGCGAGAATTGTTATTTTGGGCATCCAAATTTGTTTTTGCAAACCCGCCACAACGTCTATCGCCTCCCTTCCTGTCGTTCTTGCATGTTAATATTAAAAGATAGACATATAGCGTTGCGGACATTTTTTAGATCATTTATATGGGGAATCATTCTTTCATACACAATTTTTAGGTATCATGAACCGTTTTCGCAGCGTACGCATCTGTATCCCACAGAGGTGAAAAATTTTCCCCGTTTTGTTTACATTTCTCGCTGTATATATATCTTCGCTCTTATTGGTCACATCGCAATGTGTCAATAACTTTCCAAATTATAGCCTATAACCTTCCTCGATAAATGCTCTAACCCACACAAAAATAACTTTTCAATTCGAGACCTTATTTTCTGAGATTAGCTGGTTCAAATAAACAAACAAACTCTTCACCTTTATATATTAGTATAGATAAGTAATACGTAAAAGTATGTATATTTTAAGTTTTCCTTTCCTGCACATTCTCCTAATTTCATTTCTTCTGTATTATTTTCCTAAGAAGGATTACATGGAAGAGATCGCTTAATAGTAATAAAGCCGCCTGTTATACTGTATAATGTAAGATATTATTTATTTGTCAACTAAAAGATCGAGTAAATCACAGCATAATAAGAAAGGCGACAAAGGCCAAAGACATCAGGATGACTTCCATAAAGCTGAAGTGGACGTGGACTGGGCACCTGCTACGAGTAAAGGACAACCGGTGGTCCCAGGTTATCACAAGTTGGACTCCGTTAGGCGTAAAAAGGAAAAAAGGTAGACCGTCCAGGAGGTGGCACGACGAATACAAAGAAACTGCAGGCATGTTCTGAGAACGAAGCGCTTCAAACAGAACGGAGTGGAAGCGTATGGAGGAGGCTTTTACCGCAAAATGCGGACCCGACATATACAACACTTGACAAATACGAATTGTAAACGGAACGCAAAATTTGTAAATATGTTTGGTAATAAAAAGCTTTTTATTTATTTTTATTTTATTATTTATTTGTTTAATTTATATTGTGTGTGTGTTATAAAGAGTAAATAAATAGATACTAGTATTAATAAACATGATATGTCCCATATATAGCTTCCCCTTTTACACGCGAGTCCCGAGTTCGACTCTCGAAATAATAAATCGTGTCGGTTAGGCAGGCCACGAAAATGTGATGAAGTATTTGCCGACATTTCTTTTTAAAAACATAAAATATGTCTTTTTGGTAAAGCAGAGATAAAATGTGGTGCCCTATCCCCCCTCCCCCCCTTGATGAAAGATTTCAACCATAGACTAACAAATTAAAAAGTGTGTAGTAATTGAACTTGTCAAATTCGGCGGTACGATTTCAATTCGAAGTTATAACAAAGGTGAAGTCATATGGGAAATCAATGCGGTTCGGACCTCAATTGGATTCAATTTAGGCAGTTGAGTTAATAACACACGTCGAAATATTTTTTCGTTTATGATGAAACCTAGTAGGACAAATCGCTTAAAATTTAAAACACAGACTAGACTAAGGCTATTAAGAAATGATAGTCTAACTCAAATTGCTAAAGAAATATTTGAATAAAGAATGTATCCATTAGTACTAGGTATAATAAATAAATAATCCGTTTATTAACACAAAGAACTAAATTTACAACCAAATTAAGTAATAAAAAAACTTACGTTTAATTAATGAAAAAAAAAAACATTTTAAACTTTGTACTAGAAGGCATCAGGCTCAGGTTGTGCTCAGCAAGTCTTGCTAAGCACTGTTTTTAAGTCTGTCACTTATCAGATAACAAGTAGTACAAACAATTTAGTAAAGAAAAATATAGTAAGTAATGAAAGGCGTTTCCTCATTGTGTAGGAAAAAAAAGAAGTTTAATATTTTCCCGGAATTCGAACCCGAAACCACGATAAACTAGATACATTTTAGTTTTTGAGTTAGTTGTAACATTTAGACTGTGTGAACATAAAGAAATATGTTCCATTTTCTCCCCGTGACCACGGCTGCTGCTAAGTATCCGAAACGTAGGGCCGAATCTAGAAGCCATTTTTAAGTAAGTTTAACTAATATATCGCGTTTTAAACAGTTAAAGTGTTTTATTTAAATATGTTATATGTATATTGTAACGCTACATTGTTAGTACCGACGAAGCCTTAAGCTTAGTTAATCTAAAGTGTTTGTATGGCACTTTATCTTTATCGGCCTTCTTTGTTATGTACGAGCAATATTATTTACCTCCTATCTGCTAAGAAGCCTCTCTAAGCCGATAACAAACAAAGTGTCGGCAACTGAATCGCATATATCAACTACCACACAGCAAAACATGGCATTACATAATTATATTATTTCAAATAAAACACTATTAACAATTTAAAAGACAGAAAATATTTGGTATTTTTTTTTAAAGTTATAAATAATTTAACTACTATATTTCGCGGTTTAAACCGTTAAAAATGTTTCGTTTTAATTGGGTTGAACTTGTATAATCTACAGACAACATGATACATAATATTTTTGATACTTTAGGAAATTAGGATTACTTTAAACGTTTAGGATTCGATCTCGGCTGGCGTAGTTTATTCAACTTTTTGGCGTTGCATGAAACTTTCTAGACATTTAAAAAGATTGTGGTGTTGTTATAAAAAAAATAATTAAATAAATATTAAAGAAAACATTCCCTCAATTTATTAATGCTTTGAAGTAATACTTGTCGTTTTTTATGAAGGGTACAGACCCTTTACACTTTGATATTGTTGAAGTTATGAACATAGAATCTTTCTCACTTCAATGTAATAATATATCCAAATGTAACCCCCAACAAAGCGACACAATAGCACATTGAAGCTAAAAAATGTTCAATCTGAAATTTATTGCGTCAATTCATCTTTTCATTTATAAATGACGATCATGTTTCAATAATGTATCATTTTCACAAACAATAGCGATGTATGTTGGAATACGCTGAGTCGGGTTCTTTTGTTCGTGGTGGAACTAATAGTAATTACTATGGGAAATTACTGCTTTCATATAGTAATAAAACCCTTATTTTTTATAACACTCTTGAGTAATTTCAGTGGAAGTTTGCTTTTTTAAATGATAGAGCAAGACAGACAAGCTCATATAGATAAGACAGACAAGATATATCCCAGCCTGTAGCATTTTTACAAGAAATTGGGAAATCCACAGACTGAAACCAAAACGCGATTAAGATTCTCTTATGATTAAGATTATAAGCTATTCATTTCTACCATTAGACCAACAATCCCGTCGTTTGATATGTATGTTTGATAGTCTTCCTTAAATTCTGTTCACACATATATACATAAGGTGAGATCCAAATAAAACAATAGACAGAAAAATGCATTGCGCAAAAGCGTCATATTGACACAATTCGATGAGGTGTTCGACAGCAGCACAGGACAAAAGATTGAGGTCGTGGGTTCGCATTTCACCCGTGTTATTTTTTAAAATCAGTTTCTTTACTCGTAAATCAACAACAGTCACATTCGAATCTGTGAACGTATTACAAAAAGATAATGATTCTCTTTTTTGATAGGTTATTTAACGAGTTTATTAAAATTATTGTAATGTACATCTCCTTTAATATTGACAGTATTTCTTTGCTACGATAAAAAATAATTAAATATTTTTACATTTTTAAGCGGTTCTTTGATCATTGTAATAAGAACCCACATCTTGTTAAATTTAATGAACAGTTAAAGTAACAAAAAAGAAAGATGATTTATTGAGGGTTTGTATTTCTACTATTTTCATCTACCGATTATTTCCAGTCTAATTGTGTACATTGTTGTTTTTAGTGTCAGAAGAATGTATAGTATATAAAAATGTCATAGTTTTATATACTTCTTGGTTTTTACTACTGGGTTAGGAGGGCCTCTTTAGTTATATTTTTGTCTTTTAAAAGTATACATTTCGGAGACTTTATCAGCTTCTTCTTTAAAATTTAATGAAAGTCGACAAAAAACGGTCGTAAAGCTTATTACGCAAGTTAGGATAGTACCTTAGAATCCTCTGAAAGGGAAAATTACCTGTTAGAAAAAGTATTTACTTCAACTTTTGGGCACAGTCATTAATTCTTGAACCATACGCGAGGCAGGGACATTTTGAACAAACCGTTTGTTAGCGGCAGTAAGGTAGCGACCCGTTTTAACTAATTTATCTTCACTTGATTTAGTGAGGTATCTTTAATTAATTTTAGCTCCGAATGTTCTACAATGTCTGGATCTGTCTGGCTTATAATATTATAAAAGACGTTATTTTAATTATTACGAAAAATTCTAACATTTGTAAAAATTAATAATATGTAACCTAACTGTGTCCTTCTGTTTTCTCAGTCTCTCTATCTCTGTTTACTCAGCCATCGTTGTATCGTTAAACATTATTCCTTGTTTTTAGGGCCGTTAGGGTTCTCTACTTTCTTGACGACAAAATGACCTGGGTAACTGTTTATTTGCTACCCAGGGTAGCTTAAATTGGGCCAGACACAAAAATCTGATTAACTTTTTGACATTAATTAAAAATGATTGACAGCCAGACAGTCCCAACATACTATCTGCCCTATGTAAGAGAAACGGAGAAGCACTATAAAATTGAAAAAACTGTTATCGTATTTTGTAATCGTAGTTTTTATAAGTGCACCTTTATGCTTCAAAATATAGCTTCAATTCAAGTAAAGTACACTAACGTCAAATCACATTTTTGCTAATCTATTAAATTAAGA